AAAATTTTTTTAGTTCCTTACTCTTTGGCATATTCACTTTTTAAAAATTGGACATTTAATGTGAGAAATGTAATACCTTACTAAATTCTATTTGTTCCCACACTGATTATGACACTATGAAAAGTGAAAACGAGGAATACCGCCAAAATAAGCAAAAACTAATTGCGGCTGGTTATAGTGATTTAGAAATGCTTCTGAATGATAAATTACCGCAAACTCCAACTAAAAAGCGTTGTCAGTGTAAAACGAAACTAGAACAGCAAAAGAAAAGGATTTTACAGAAATTTATCACGGATTTAGACTTGAAATTAAGAAAGGAGAAAATAACGACTAAGGAAATAATTACTACTATTCAAAAATTATTAAACAAACCAGGAGCCGAAACTCCAACACGAGTTGAACCTTTGCAAGAGAACAAAGATTGAGAAAACCAAATTAATAGTTTCAATAATAAATTAACCAACGCTAATTCGCAAAAAAACCAATTGGTGGAGGAACTAAAAAAAGTTAAGAGGAAAAATAACTATTTACTTAGTCAAAGCGACCACCTCCACTCACAATTAAGTCAAACCAAACAAGAAAAGTGGTTATGAATACTATTGAGTACTACGCTGGGAATAATATTAATAATGACGGCCATTGCCTCAATTTTGACCAAGAAAAAGAAAAAACTTGGCAAGAACTAAGTAGTTTTATCACCCTACAAAAAATTGTTTGCCACTTTTTTTTATAATCTATAATTACTAAGTAAAAGAGTAAAAAGCGGAAATTTAATTTGTGCGTCGTAATATACTGTTCCATAAAAGCATTAAAGTTAAAGACAAAAATTAATATAAACTCTTTTATGAATAACAAAATACGTCAACTTTTTCCTCTTTTTACTCACCACCAAAATCTGATTTATTTAGATAGTGCTGCCACTAGTTTAAAGCCCAAAATTGTTATTCAAGCCATTAGTGATTATTATGAAAAATATTCGATTAATAGCCATAGCGAGGGCAACAATTCTTTATCGAATGAGGTGCGAAATACTATCGGCCGAACTCGCCACCTAATTGCTGAAAAAATTAACGGAGGAAGCGAAGAAATTATCTTCCTACCTTCAACTACTTATTCTTTAAATATTTTGGCGTTATCTTTGCAAAATTATTTAGAAAAAGGGGATAAAATTGCTCTAACCCATTTAGAACATAGTTCCAATTGTTACCCTTGACAGTTTCTCGCCCAAGAAAAAGGAGCTCAAGTGGAGTTCTTGCCTTTGAATAAAGATTTTACTATTGACATCAATCATTTGGATAATTATATTGACCAAAAAACCAAAATAGTCAGCTTTGTTCATATGAGTAATAGTTTGGGAGTAATTAATCCCGTAAAAGAAATTAGCAAAAAGATTAAAAAAATAAATCCGAATTGTTTAGTAATAATTGATGCTTGTCAAAGCGTGGCTCATTTGCCGATTAATGTTAAAGAATGAAATATTGATGCTTTGGTTTTTTCCGGACACAAAATCTATGGACCAACTGGGATCGGTGTTCTGTGAATAAAAAAAGAAGTAGGAGTAAAATTACCCGATATTCTATGAGGAGGTGGTAAAAAAATTGGTCCTAAGGAGAAAATAAACAATAGTTTGCCCTTGGCTCAAAAATTCGAAGTCGGTACTTTACCCTTGGCGCAGATATTTGGTCTAAAAGCCAGTTTGGAATTTCTCAATAGTTTTGAGAGCAAAGAAGTAAGTAACTATGAAAAAGAATTAAAAGATTATGCCTTGCAGGAATTAGCAAACTTAGAGAGAATAATTATTTATAATAAAAATCTGGAAACTATTGATATCGTTCTTTTTAATTTAAAAGGCTATCATGCTCACGATGTAGCCGACTATTTAGGAAAAAATGATATTTGTGTCCGAGTTGGTAATTTTTGTTGTCCCTACTTAAAAGAGTTAATTGGAGTAGAAGCCGCACTTCGAATTTCCCTTTTTATTTACAATACCAAAGAGGATATTGATAAATTAGTGTCTTGTTTAAAAAAACTAAGTCAAAATCCGCACCTGATTGTTAACTTTGTCAACTAGCCAAACATTATTTAAATTAAAATATTCCCAACTAAGAATCAGTTGAGCATGGTCTTTTAGTGCTTGGGCTTTTTTTAATTGAGCCTGTAATTTCGTTTTCCTTTTAGCTGTTCTAAATCGGTGCCAAATACTTCCTTTAACTTCTTTAAATCATTCGCAAAAGCAAATAAAGTAGCCATTTCCTCCCAGGTTCTCCTTTGTAAATCCTTACTCCACTTTTTTACAAAAATACGATTTCAAACTTTCTCAGTCTCTTTATCTTTAAATTGCTTTTGCTCGGCCATGTTGTTTTGTTTCTCGGTAAGGGCGAATTATTACCACTCCTTCTTGGCGGTCTTTTCAAATCTCTAAATCGTAAATTTGCTGTAAATTTAAAAAGCCTTCGGCACCTACTTTAAAATAGATACCAAGTCTGGCAGCTATGTCAATGTCGATATCTCTCTTTCCCTCCACTAATTCTTGTAATTGATAAAGAGGCAAACAAGTATCTTTGGCAACTTTTTCTGCTGTTAGGTTGCGAGTTTTAAAGAAACGTCTTTCAATTATTTTTCCGGGATGAGTAGGGGGAAATTTTTCTCTTTCTGAGGAAATTTCTTTGTTTAAAGAAAATTTTTCATTACTTTTCATATAACTAATTTTTAAACTTATTCATACTTTTTTTGGACAACTCCTCACGAAATTTGGCTAATTCAACTTCTTTTAAGCAGGCTTGGCTCTGTCTTTCTAATTGCTCGGCCGTAGTTAGATAATTATTTTCTATAAGTATTAGATATTACAATACTAAAAAGTTTAACATTAGTTGATAAAAGATAAAAAATATTCCTTCCCTAATAGTTTATTTGATTTTGTGTTTGATTGTTATTGTTTATTTGGGTGTCTAATTCATGCTTAGCATCTTTATACTGTTGGTTTTGCATCAACAGTTTTTCTCTTTCTAAGCTTTCCTTATCAGCTTTATCACCAATCAAAAATAAAACCTAATTAATAGCTTGCCAATTCCGGTAATTACTGGTTCATTAGTAAACTATCCAGAGAACCGAAAATGTAAAATGACTTATATGGTAAATTGGCAGGATATGCATAAGGATTTTGGTGAAAAAATCTATTGGAGTCCTGATTTAACTTATCAAAAATTATGAGAAGAATGAGGATTTGGTTGCGAACAGGCTAAGTTGTGAATTGCCGCAGATTTTACTCCTCGGCAATGTTTTCAAGTTATCGGTTGAAAAAACCATGGTTTTACTCCCGAACAAGCCAAGGAATGAATAAAATTAGGATTAGAGTCTTGGGAATATAAATATGCTCTTTATGCTCAATCCAAAAACTATAATCTTTCAACAGTTAATTGTGAGGAATTAAAAAAAGAATATCACCAAACTCAAACTTATTTATTTTGCTATCCCAAAGAGAGAACTTGTCTCAGGAAAAATAAAAGGCAGTTATTAATTTCTTCTACCATCGAAATATCTCAGGAAGAAGTTGAAGTAATTAGAATAGATGAAGCACAAGAACCCCAAGCCCAAATAGAAATCCTCCCTAAACAAAACTAATCACTAATATAAAAACAACCTTCTCAAAAACCCTAATTTAAGAAAGAAATAAATATAACTATATAACAACATGTTTTTATATTGTAGTAAAATTGTATAAAATAAACATATGAAAGTTTATCAAAATTTCTATATATTTTTATAAATGGAATCGAAAAAAATTAAGGATACGCTTTTGCTACCTCAAACTAGTTTTCCGCTGAAAAATACTAATCACTGCGAAACTGAAAAAAAAATTAGGGAATTGTGGGAAGAGAAACAAATTTATCAACAAGTATTAGAAAAAAATAAAAATAATTCGGCTTTCATTCTTCATTCGGGTCCACCTTATGCTAACGGTAAACTTCATACCGGGCATTATTTAAACTTTATAATTAAAGACATTATCGTCCGCTTTCAGGCTAACCAAGGAAAGCATGCCCCTTTTTTGTTAGGTTGGGATACCCATGGATTACCAATTGAGCACAAAGTGATTCAGACCTACCAAAGCAAAAAAATAAATCTGCACCAAGTCTGTCATGACTTTGCTTTAACCCAAGTTCAAATCCAAAAAGAACAATTAAAAAAATTGGGATTATTTACTGAATATAATCACTATTATATTACTCTTAACAAAGAATATGAAGCCGAGCAAATTCGAGTTTTTGGCGAAATGGTGAAAAAAGGGCTGATTTATCAAGGATTTCGACCAATTTATTGGTCTTGCGGACATGAAACCGCCTTGGCCGAAGCCGAAATAGAATATTACGAAAAAAAAGATACTTCTCTTTATTTTAAAATCAAGTTGTTCGGAAAATCTGATTTCTTGGGCCAAGAAAATATTAATCTTCTGATTTGAACCACCCAGCCGTGAACTATTCCGGCTAATCGTTTAGTGGCCGTCAAAAAATCGGCTTCTTATGCTTTGGTTAATTATAATAACGAACATTTACTAATTTTGGAAAGTAAAATCCCTCTTTTAGAAAAGTGAGGCGGGGGGAAAACAAAAGTAGAAAAGGTATTTTCAGGAGAAAAATTATTAGGACTAACTTATTTTCATCCTTATCAAAAGGACAGAAAGGGATATATTGTTGACGGAAGTGATTTTATTGAAGAAGGGGAAGGAACGGGAATAGTCCATTTAGCACCCGCTTTTGGGGCAGAAGATTTTGCAGTAGCAAAAAAGGAAAAATTAACAATTGAATGCCCACTAGAACCGAATGGAATATTTAATGAAAAAATCGCGGTTTCGGAATTGATTGGCAAACATTATAGTGAAGTAAATAATTATGTTATTACTGATTTAGAAACAAGAAATTTAACCATTGAAAAAGAAGTAATTAGTCATAGTTATCCCCATGATTGGCGGGACAAAAGTCCGTTAATTTATCGTCTAACTAAACAATGATTTATTAAAGTAGAAGTCATAAAAAAAGAGTTAATAGAAAATATTGCCAAAGTAAAATGATATCCAGTTTGAACGGAGGAAAAAATGAAGTCAATAATTTCTGCTCGCGATGATTGGTGTATTTCCCGCCAAAGAAAATGAGGAGTGCCGATTCCGGTTTTATATCAGAATAATGAACCGATACTTAACCCTAAAATTATTGATTATGTGGCTGAAATAGTTGCTAGTCGTGGCTCTGATTGTTGATTTGATGGCAGTATTTTACCACTTTTGTGGGAGAAATTTCCAGATTTGATAGGTGAAGAAACCATTTTGGGTGAAGATATTATGGATGTTTGGTTGGATAGTGGGGTTTCACATTGGTGTGTTTCGCGAAGAGAAATGAGGGACTAAAATCAATTAAATAAAGCATAAGGTATGAATAATGAATCACCAATATATAAAATCCTTAAGGATACCCCTTATGGACTAAGTATTTTTAAGCCAGAAAAAGTTAAAGAATTAGAAAATAGAATAGTTTGAAAAGATTCAAAATCCTACGTTGTTTGTCTTATAAGGAATAAAGAAATTTTATTAAAACCGGAGGAGATAGTAAGGCAGTTATATATCGTTACATTGCTAGAAGATTATAACTATCCAAAATCGAGAATCAAATTAGAACACTCCATACACTTTGGGCGAGAAAAAAAATCAGCTGATATTGTAATTTTCGATAAAGATAGGCCTAATGTTGAGTATATTATAGTCGAAGTTAAAAAACCAAATGAAAAACTTGGAAAAGAGCAATTGAAATCTTATTGTAATGCCACCGGTTGTCCAATTGGAGTTTGAACCAACGGAAGCCAAATTTCAAAATATAATCGTAAAAATCCCAATTATTTTGAAGAAATAACCGCCTTGCCAAATTCTGAACAAAGCCTCGCAGATATCCTTAAAGAGCGTTATACTTTAAAAGACTTGATTATCAAAGATAAAATTCCCAATGAAGGCAGGTCGCTTAAACAAATTATACTATCTTTAGAAGATGAGGTTTTAGCCAATGCCGGAGTTGATGTATTTGAAGAGGTTTTTAAGTTAATTTTTACTAAACTTTATGATGAGCATCAAAGCAAACGAGACAAAGAAGTTTTATATCGAGCATTAAGAAAGAATTTAGGAAGTGGTTGGTACAGTGATTTTAATAAAGTAAAGAATTTTTTGCTTAACTTTGATGATGATAGTGATTTCAGGGTTTTAGAGTTTCGAAATACAGGACAATCGGATAACCAACTAAAAACAAAAATTCAAAAATTATTTGACTCTGCTAAGCAAGCCTGAAAGGGGATTTTTCCAGAGGAAAGTAATATTGAATTAGCGCCATCACATCTTGCTATATGCATATCTGGATTACAAGACGTAAAGTTGTTTAATACTAATTTACAAGTAATTGACGAGGCCTTTGAATGCCTAGTAAGTAAATCATCAAAAGGAGAGAAAGGTCAATATTTCACGCCCAGGCATGTCATTGACATGTGTGTAAAAATGTTAAATCCAAAAAAAGGAGAATTTATGATTGATACTGCAGCTGGCTCGTGTGGTTTTCCGGTTCATGTTATTTTTTATATTTTTAATTCACTATTGTATGGTGTGGCTGATGAAGAGAAAGAAAATATTGAAAAAATATTTGGAATCGATTTTGATGAGAAAGTTGTGCGAGTAGCTAGAACATTGAATTTAATTGCGGGAGATGGCAATACCAACGTGCTTCATTTAAACACCCTCGATTATGACCGATGGAATGAAAATTCAGAAAGCATAAAGTGGTGGGATATTTACGGTGAAGGTTTCAAGAGATTAAAAAAACTAAGAAAAAATTCCAGCAATAAAGAATTTTTGTTTGATATTTTAATGGCTAACCCACCTTTTGCCGGAGATATTAAAGAGTCGAGGATTATCCATAAATATGAGTTAGGCTATAAGCAAAAAGACCAAAAAAGGAGTCCAAAAAACCAGATAGGAAGAGATATTTTATTTATTGAAAGAAATTTAGATTTTTTAAAACCAGGGGGGAGAATGGCAATAGTTTTACCACAAGGTCGATTTAATAATACATTAGACAAAGAACTCCGTGAATATATTGCTAATAGAGCTAGAATTATTGCGGTTATAGGTTTACATGTTAATACTTTTAAGCCTCATACAGGAACTAAAACGAGCGTCTTATTTTTGCAAAAATGGAATGATAACCCTAAATTTGGTGCCTTATGCCCCAAGTTGGAAGACTATCCAATTTTCTTTGCCGTATCCGAAAAAGGAGGTAAGGATAATTCCGGAGAATATATTTATGTGAAAGATGAATTAGGCAAACCTAAAATAGACGGGAACGGACATTTAATTATTGATAACGATTTGTATAATCATGCTCTAAATGATAGCAATGATTCCAAAGAACTCCCGGATGGAGTAGCTGAAGAGTTTATAAAATGAGCTAAAGAAAATAAATTAAGTTTTTGAAATTAATTATGCAGTTTTCAATTATAAATAAAAGTAATTTAGAAAGAACGTTTAGGATAGATGCTGAATTTTATAAACCAGAGATCTTAAATTCTTTAAATTTACTTAGTAAAAAACAACCTTTAACTAACTATGTTAAAGTAAGTGATGGTAATCATTCAAAAATAACTGAATATTTCCAAGACTATCCGGGCATTCCTTATTACGGAGGAAAAGATGTAAGCGCCAATTTCTTTATTGAAAATGCTAAACCTGTTTATATACCAGAAAAGAAATATAATAAAAAGGAAATGAGAAGGTCTCACTTTCTTCCAGGAGATATTCTGCTTACAACGGTGGGAATAATTGGTAATTTATCATTAATAACAGACACTATCAAAGAAAGTACCGGTGCTCGTTCGGTTGGGTTTTTAAGACCTACATCAGAACTTTCTTCTGAATATATAGCATCATTTTTAATGTCAAAATATGGGTTGATTCAATTAAAAAGAATAGCTAGAGGCAGTGTTCAAGTAAGGATGATATTAGAAGATTTTGATCAAATTCAACTATATCCTTGCTCTAACAAGTTTGATCAAACAATTAAACAGGTGATTCAATTGTCCATTAAACTTAATGCTACAAGAAAGCAACAATATCATAAGGCCGAAAAGATTCTAGCAACGGCACTTGATTTAGAGGAATTTCAACTTCAACATAAATTAACTTTTGCTAAAAATTTCTCAGACATCAAACAAGTTGAGCGATATGATGCCGAATATTTTCAGCCAAAATTCGACGAAATTATTAAAAGAATAAATAAATATAAAAAGGGGTGCAAGAATCTAGAAGATTTAATATCAGTCATAGGACACCCTGCCAATCCTCCTTATGGAACAAGTGATGACGCCAAAGAAAAGACATTCATCATCACTCAGAAACATCTCGGCGAATATTTTCCTATTGATGATTTTTGAAATGATCAAGAATCCCTTTATACAACTGATGAATTTATTACAAGGAATAAAAATTACATACTATCTAAAAATGATATCATTCTTTATTCAGCAGGTGCTGCATATGTGGGAAAAGCTAATTTATATAATTCATCGGTAAGAGCAACTTTTGGAAGTTTCTTAACCCTTATACGTCCAGTGCAACAGTTAATTAATCCTTTCTATTTGTTAGTGTTTTTCAATTCTTCAATCGGGCAATTATTAACGAGGAGAAATTTAAGAGGATCAATTCAGCAGTATGTTTATCCTTGTGATACAAAAAAAATGCCGATACCTATATTGGACAAATCAATTCAAGAACAAATCGAAATCATTATTCATGAAGGTGAAGATAGTTTTAATAAGTCTTTAGAATTGTTAAAAATTGCAAAAAAAGCTGTAGAAATAGCAATAGAAAAAAATGAGGAAGCGGCGAGAATTTTTGTTGATATTGAGTTGCAAAAACTTCACATAATTTACAAAATTTAAAAAATAATGAATAATAATAATAAACACAGTTTAAAAAATTCAACAATAACTGAGGTAAAGAATAATTGACCTGCTACCCTTTATGTCGAAGGGCAAGACCAATTTCGTGGTTGGTTTAACTCCTCGCTAATTACTGCGGTCATTCTTGCTAACCAAGCCCCTTATCAACAAGTTCTTTCTCATGGTTTTGTGGTCGATGAAAAAGGACATAAAATGTCCAAATCATTAGGTAATGTCATTGACCCCGAAGAAATTATTCAAAAGTTTGGGGCGGACGTTCTCCGTTTATGAGTAATTAGTTCTGATTTCACTAAAGAAGTAAAAGTTAGCATTCCAATTTTAGAAAAGGTTCAAGAAAGTTATCAAAAGATTCGTAATACTTTGCGGTTTTTGTTGGGTAACCTTGCCAATTTACCACCCGAGATAAAAAGTGAAAAAGACTTAGAAACAAACTTAAATTCAGTAGATTATCATATCCTTCATAAATTAGAAAGATTGGTAGCAGAAAGCCAAAAAAATTATAATGAATACAATTTTAACCCGGTTTATTCCTCTTTATTGAATTTCTGTATCAACGATTTAAGTTCTTTTTATTTCGAAATTAGCAAAGATAGTTTATATTGTGATAGTCTTTATTCCCCGCGAAGAAAGCAAATCATTACTACTCTTTATTACTTATTGCAGGGTTTATTAAAAATTATTGTGCCAATTTTGCCTTATCTAGCGGAAGAGATTTATCAAAACACCCCTTTCCAATTTGGCTTTGCCGGCCAAGAAAGTATTCAATTAGTAAATTATCATTGGAATTTGCCTCTTTCCCTTGCTAGCAAAAAGAAATCGGAGTTAATTAACGTTTTTTTCCTCCCCCTTCGTCAAGAAATTTATCAATCCTTAGAACAAGCTCGCCAAGAAAAAATTATTGCAACTAACTCACAAGCACATTTAATAATTTATCTCAAAGAGGAAAGTAAATGAGATTATTCCCAACTAAATCTTGAAGAATTATTACTAGTAGCCGAGGTCGAAATTAGAGCAAAAAAAGAGAATGATGGGCAAGAAAGTAATTTTTGCTTGGTTAAGGTCAAAAAAACCGACAAAGAAAAATGTATTAGGTGTTGAAATTATCGCGACTTAGAAAAAGATGTTTGTCAGCGTTGTAAAAAAGTTCTAATTACCTAGTTATATAAAGTTCTTAAAAATAAATTAAGTAAAGTGGGAAAATTGAGGACTAATGAAAGAGATAAATCGTCTCTCTCTCTCTCTCTCTCTCTCTGCTTAATAAAAAAACAGTAATTATTAAAATTAAACTTAAATATCAATGGCAATAATAGAAAACATAAAATTCGGAAAAAAAATTTCTACAAGTGGCGGAAAAGAAAAATGAGAAGTTGTCTCGGAAAATTTTGAGAATAAGACAGTTAAATATGTTTGGCTTGATGCTGGCGGCGGAATAAAGGAGGGCGGCCAAGGAGAATTGAAGTTCAATGCTTTTAAATGAGGCGGAGGGCGGAATAAAACTTCTCTCACTATTGAATCAGAATTTACATTTACTCCCAAAGGCATAGAAAGAGAGATGGAAACAAATACTAGGCAACCATCTAGGAATCCCCACCGGGGCTTCTCTGAATCCAATGCTCCTAACACCGAAATCAGAGAAGATTTTATAAAATTATTGGCTTCATTGGCTGGCATCTCAAAAGAATGAGAAGCAAGTTCAAAACTTTCCGCAGAAATTAGTGAAAAAGAAAGCAAATTACTATCAGAAAAAGAGGGCGACGAATCCGAAACAATCGAGAAAAAAAGTGGTGAAGCGGAAATCACTAATCTTTCTAATTACAAGGAGGAGATAGATAGGATAGAAAGTGAAAGTTTTGCCGCTCAGGAGCAGTTAAATAATTGAGATAAAAATAAGTGGGGAGAAGACGAAGAATCCGCTTGGGCCAGTTATAAAGGAAATTTTAATAAATTAGTTCGTTTTACTTACAATATTATTGGTAAACTAGGAGGAAAAATAGGAAGTTTGAATCGAGATTTAAAATCTGCTAATAAAATTATCACTGAATATGAAAAATACCGAGGATATTTGGAAAAAGTAAAAGATGCTTTTGGCGAATACTCAATTTTCAGCGATGAAAAGGGGAAAGAATATGAGATTAACACTGCCAGAGTAGATAGTATTAAGAATAATTTCAAGGAAGTTACAAGATTAAAAACAGAAAACGAAAAACTCGAAACAGAAAATAAAACCGCAAAAAATTTAATTAACGGTGTCGAACGTGCGTTGACAGGAACTTACGACATTTTCCAAACTGAGGAAAACAACAAACAAGTTAATCAGAATGCGATAAAGAAAATTAGGGAAAATTTCCAGGAAGCAGGCAAAGTTAAAGGTTTAGAAGAAGAAAACAAAAAATTAGCCAAAGAATTAGAAGAAAAACAAAGCTTAATAACCGAAATTGATAAGCAGTTAGACATTTTCCCGAGCGACCCGACTGGTGATGGAAAAGCTGATTATAGCAAAAATTTTGACAGGGACAAAGTAAATAATATTAAAAAAATCCGTCATGAAGCCAAAGAATTAGATATCTTAAAAGGTGGTGAAGGGAAGGATAAAGAAAACATTGACAACGGCAAATTAACAATACTTAAAACCAAAATTACCAGTTTAGGGACTATTAATAACCAGCTTAATATTTTAAACGAGAATGGTAGTCTAAATGAAAGTTGAGAGGAAGTGCGAACGCAGAAAGAGAAAACTGAGGAAATTCACGGAAAAATTATCGGAATTAATGAGAAAATAACCGCCAATTTAGAAGAAAGCGAAAGAGAACAAATTACGACTGAGAAAAAAGACATTAAAGAAATCGATAATTCTCTCCAAACAGTAGCAGCAAATTTAGCAAAATTAGTAAGAAAGCAGGAAGAAGTTAAAGAAAAAAAGGACGGTTATGAAGCAGAATTAAAAAAATTACTTTTTGAGAAAAATGAAGCAGAGGATAACGAAGTGGAAGATGTTGATTTAGACAATTGAGAAACGACCGTGTCAGGTTGAAAAAATGCTGCCCATAAAGAGGGTTTGGAAGAAAACTTAAAACGAGCCCTAAACACGAGTTTTTTACCGAAAGCGGAAGATTGAGAAAGAACAATCAGCGGATGAAGAGTGGCGAAAGAAAGATTTGAGGAGGCTTTACGAAAGTTAAAAGAAGGACTACATCCAGAAAGTTCCGAAGAAACTCCAACTAAAAAAAGTGGCGTGGCCATTACTAATGAAAATTTCCAGACTTTTATTGGTATTAATGATAATTTTTTGGCAAAGATGCAAGCAACGGGGCAAAATTTTGGACTTAGTGCCGAAGAACTGGCAGATATTAACTCTTTAAGAGAAGAATTGGGCGAATATCCGTTGTTTCTTTATCAAGAATTTAAAACAGAGGCCAAACTCCGCTTAGACGAATTCTACGCTGCTTATCCAACTGACTCAAACATTTCTTCTAATTATCAGGAGGAATTAGCGAAAGTAAAAGACTTTGATTTCAATACGGTTGGTCTCAGAGAAAACGAATGAAGAAGAGTTATTGCTCTCAGCCAAATCGATTTTCAATTGCAAAAAGCAAAAATTAGTAGGAAAACATTGAATGAGGAGGTAAAAAAAGATTACGAAAACTTAAGCACAGATGAATTCATTGGTGATGCGAACCGAATAAGAGCCAAGGTTATAGCAGAAATTCAGACTAAATCTCAGCCTAATTTGGACGAAGCGAAAACGGCGGCGAAAGAGCGTTTAATTGGCTTGATTAGAAAATCTGTATTAGCCGGCAGTGACGACCAAAGGGATACAAAAATAAAAACTTGATTAATCAAGGAAAAACAAGCGGCTTTAACCGAAGATGACACCTGAAAAACTTATTTAGATGGTGCTGTTAATGCCGACCAATTAAGTCAGCGTAGTGAAAAAATTGTGGAAGCAGCCAAATCCATTGAGGGGGAAGTTATTAGTAAAGCCGGAATAACCAAGGATAACGCCGAGACTTATAAAGCGGTCATGGACGAGTTTAACCGACAAACTGAAGACCAAATTAACCCGCTGAAAGACCCAGGTTGAAAAATTAAGTTTAACAATAATTGATTGGGCAAAATCTTGCTTAAAGATATGAAAAATCCACAAGGCGTATTTATAAAATTAAGCGAATTGGTAGACAGCAATAAACGAAAACACCAACGGCAGGAGAGAATTACGGCTGTGCTGGGTAATGTTTTCACTTCCGACGATTTAAATAAAGAACCTTATTTTAAAGATTTTGAAAAGGATAAAATGGGTAAAAAAAGTTTGCAAGATGCGTTTTGAACTCTCGCCGACACCGATAAAAAAGTTGGTGAATTAATTATAAATTCAGAAATTTCTAGTGCTACAATTACAAAAATTAATGATTTGTTAGCAAGATTAGGATACCGTGAAACTGATAATGATAAAAAAAATGGTGCTAATGGCAGATATTACGGTGGTTTCCAAACCTGAATGGGCGATAAAAACTTCACTGACCCGCATGTTTCTGAGGAGTATGATACTGGCAAAAAAGGCAGGAACGGTCAGCCAATAATGGGAAGAAGACCCATCCGAACTTACACCCAACTGGTTAATAATAGTATCGAATTAACGAAAATTATTGAGGAAAAAGATACCAATATCACTGCCACCAACGACAACCCAAACCAATTAGTTTTTAAAAAAATCCTCCAAGATAACGACGAAACCAAAATTGATATCGACAAATTAAAAAAAATAATTGAACTTAGCGATAAAGTAAGTGAAGAAAAATTAACTAAATATGAAGAAATTGTTTCGCTTCTTAATATTAATTTAGGTGCTAGCGAAGCCGATAAAAGGCAAGCTAATCATTGAGGCAATTTAGAGTCGGATTTAAGAAATTTACCCGAAAGCTACCGCCAACTTCTTAATTTATATCGGCTCCAAGATACTAATAATAGATATAATTTTGATAGTGATGGTTCACAATTAAAACAATTTTTAACCAACACGCTGGGTATTAAACACCGAACCGATGCCGTTCTGCTTGACCAAGCCGAGCAATATAATTCGGCTTGAAAAAATATTTTGATAACAGAATTAGACGAACGGAAAATTTTTGACTTAATTAAAGACAGTGATGACTTGAAAGTTAAAAATGAAACTATTGCTAGGGTTGAAAATAATTTAGGTGGTGATGATGGGAAAATTAGTTTGGAAGATTTAGTCACAATTGGTATGCCTGAGTATGAAACTTACGCTTATGGAAATCCCAAAAAGAAAGCGGGTCTTAACCGACTGATAAAAGTTTTCGCCGAATATAAAAAAATCTTGGGTAATGACACGACTAGCGAGAGCCTGGATATTTTCGACCAAACTAACAAATCAATTGATAGCGTGGTTGATAAGAAAAAAATGGCTGACCAACTACACGCCCAAAGAGTATATCAAAAAATTGAGGTTCTCAACCATATTCCCAAAGATAATAATGGTAAAGTTAGCCTGACGGAATTAGAAAAGATTGTTAAATTTTATTTAGAGATTGTTAATGATAAGGATAATAATCAAAATAAGACTTACGATGCTATTCTTACTACCGAGAAAAAAAATATTGATAAGAACAAATTAACCGAATTAGTTAAAGATAAACCAAAACTTGATGAATTTCGTAAGTTTTGGTGGGAGAAATTTAATAATGAAGCAAAGCGACTTGGCAGAAAAAACAATATGGTTTATTATCTTGGTATTGGTGTTAATGAAAATGAAGAGCAAGAATATTTTGCCAAATTAACCGACTTAAACGATTGTCGAGCCGAAAGCCAAAGATTATTAAAAGAACTTTATCAATTAGCCAACGAACCAGTGCCAGCCGACTTGCTAATAACTGAGAGCAACGCCGAAACTTACCAGGGAGTAATGGACGCGTTCGAAACTATGACAGGTCTTAGACCTCTGGAAAACGCTGATTGAAAAACTGATTTAGATACTGATATATTAGGTAAATTATGAAATCCTGACAGCAGTGAGTATGATGGCGAAATTGCCAGTTTTAAAGACGCCAAATTGGCGGCAGATGACAAGTCCGAGAACTTAGCCACATTGATTTCAGTTTTAAAAATATCGGGTGAAACTATTAAAAAAGAACAACAACTTCTCCAAATAATTGGTTATTCTGCGACGGATAATGACAAACAATTAAAACCTGACCCCCATTCTACCGAAACTGACCCCACTCGGGTTCTCAAAATTTACTATTCCGATTTCAAAAAAAACCGGGTTGGTGAGAAAAACTTAGCACATACTAACCAGACCATTGAGGGGTTAATAGATATTGAGAATGGAACCGATAAGACTAATAATAAATATCTAGCAATTGAGGAAGATTTTGGTTTAACGCCGGACAGACTGCGGACAATATTAACGGAAAATTGAGGAGTGAAACCGAAAAACATCCGGGCCGACGACGGAAAAATAACTGCCGCTAATACTAATTATGATAGTCAGTGAGAAGCAACAATTAAAAATAGGTTAGGCTCTAATAATTTTCTTAGAAACTGAGAAGGTAGTAGCTTTATTAAAAAAACCGATGGTGCTATAATAGAAAAATATAACTTGACCGAAATTCGAGATGAATTTCTTAAGAAAACTTTGTTACTTTATAAATTAACAGAAAAACTCAATTATACTCCGACTGATAATGACAAAATTCCTATCGAAAAAGGAACTAATAATTTTGAATGATGAACCGATTTTGTCCCTAAACATTTAGGCAATAAAAATTTTGGTGATACTAATAATAACTTAGAGGAATTAATAACCATAATTGAAACTATTCGCCGGGCGGGATTAAAAAATTTAGTTTCCGAAGTGGCGGCGGGTGATAAATTCCCACCCAGAGCCAAAAAATGACAAGTCAGTGAAACCGAGGCCGAGCGATTAAATGAGATGGCTGCGACAATTAGCAACGCCGAAGCATTTTTAGGTATTAATAGTGGTGAATTGAAAGATATCAGCACTAATTATCAAAAACCTGATACTGGAACAATAGAAGATTGAATTCATTGATACCAAGAAGTTCAAAAAATTCAAAAACACGGCACTGGCCTAGAAATTTTCTCCCTTAACGATACAGGTTTGTATATTGATGAGGAAAAGTTGGGAAAATACCGCCAAGCCAAGCAATTATACGATAAAATTATTCAACTAGATGGCACACCTAAAAATGATATTAATAAGGTTGATGCGACTGCCCTGGCTAAGATTATTACGACCAACTGAGAAATTATTAGTGAAAAAGATAACGATGATAACCATATTTATGAAAAAGTTTTGGATGGCAATAATCAGTTAGACCCCAAACTGGTTAAAGAATTAATCAATAAAAGTCAAAAATGGGAGGAAATTAAGAATATAACTAATATTCCGAAAGACAACCGCGGCAAAGTTGATATTAACGAAATAAAGAAAATTATAAATACATGACACACTATTATTCCGATAAATGCGACGGTGGTTCGTGCTAATGGCCCTTATGATAATATCTTAAACAATGCTAAGGATAATATTGAAATAGCCAAATTAGAAAAAGTAATTGAAAATAGTCAAGAATTAACGAGAATTAACCAAGATATAATTGCGGAAATTAAAAAGAATACTGGTTTGCCTAATTTAATTCAACTTGATGCGGTTGATAATCAGGAAAAACTGAATCCAACGGAACTGGCGGACATTAAGAAGAAAGTCGACCATTATAAGGATTTGGTGGCTGATGCCGCGAACGCTGCCGATATTGTTACTGGCGACAAACTGGATAATGCTAAGATAAACGATTTGCGAACTCGTAGCAGTGAACTAACTACGGCAAAAGCAACTATTGCTAATTACGAAAGAGCGGTGAAGGCACAATTAACTTGGACTGGTCATTCGGCTCCGGCTCAGGTATCACCCGACACTGTGAAAGATGAATTAATTGCCAAATTAAAATATGATTCTCTTAATGACCAAGTAAATACTGTGCGGCAAGAATTAACTCTTAATCACCCAAGCGGCTCGACTAACCTGACTAATCCGCTGATTAAGGATAATTTAGCACCGTTCAAAAAGGCTAAAACGCTCTCCGAGGCTCCCGCCACTGCTACTGACTGGGATAACCTGCTGGTAAAAAAAAGTGATTTGCAAGACCGCGACCGCAAGATTAATAATCTCCTCGACCAACAACCGAACCGAAATTTAACTGCTTACGATTGAAAAAAGCGTTTAGATGACCTGAAAACCCAAGCCACTGATTATCAAACCCTGGTTGATACTAATAATGGTGCTAATAATCATCCTAATTTAATTAGCAATGGCAAAATAAGTCAAACCAAAATTGATGCTCTCAACCAAACCGCTGCCGGTCACGGAACAGCTGTAAATACTGCCCTCCAAGACCAAATCGATGAATACCAAAACAAATTAAAAACTTTATTACAAGACTTTGCTGCTGCCGTCGAATCTGATGATGACTGAGAAGAAAACTTAGTTAGAAAAGAAAAATATAATATTATTGCTGATAAATTAACCAACATAAATGATAACTTAAAAATCCTTATCAATCCAATCACCCAGCAACCAAGTAATAATCACCTAACTAATGATTGAAATAATAATTATGATAGTCATAAAAATGCCGAAAATGGTTTCACTACTATTAAAACCGAATTAGGGCAAAACGCAACTGACATTTTAGACCCTAATTGACAAAATAACTTGGTTAATGTTGCCAAATTAAAAGACCGAGAAAACGGAATTAATAATTTATTGGGTGCTGCCCCCGGCACGGCTTTGCCGAACACTTGAAAAACTGATTTACCGAAAAAATCGGACTATGCTACCGCCCAAACCAAAATTACTAAGTATGAAAATACTATTCAAAACGATTTAGGCTATGACCCAACTAATCCTAATTGAGAAAATGAGTTAAAAGGTAAATTAAATAGCAAAAAAATAACTGATATCCCCGCCGGTCAAACCTTAAAAACTTTACTGGAAAATAGTGGTGGTGGCAATAATCCTCAATTACAAAGCCAATTAGACCAAGCGAAACAAGACCGCGATAAGGCTACCCAAGAGCGGGATAATTATAAAAACCAGTTAGAAAACAAGGAAAAAGAAATCAGCCAAAAATTAAACATTGAATTAGATCTTAATTTAGCCTCAGAACCCACCTTAGAGCAAGTAATTACTAAAATTCAAGAGTTATTACGTAAACCGGATAATTCGGCTACTCTTGCCAATTTAGAACAACAACTAAGCATTGCCCGGCAGACTATCGCCGATTTAGAAAAAAAACTCAGTGCCAGCGAGCAATTAACCGCGATTAAACAAATTAGTCAGACCGTAATGGAAAAATTATTCTCCCCTGAGATTAGCCAGTCCTACCAAGAGCAAATCAAAAATGTTACTAGTTATCAAGAAATAAAAACTGTTGAAGAAAAATTAATAACTCAATATCTCGGCAATAAAGAAGTTTGCCAGCAAGAAAAAAATCAATTAATTAAGCAGCAAACGCGGGAACGAGTAGTTTTTGGCAGTTTATTAGTAGTCAGTTTATTGACTATTAGCTTTTTAATTATGAAGTTGAAAACGAGCAAGAAAAAAGTCGGTTAAAAATGGGGGTTGGCTAAACGCCTTGGTTTCTTTATTGCGTTTATTTTTCACAATTATTGTCTAGTTGTTTCTGTGAGTATAACTTGGATTTGTTCTTGAAGTTGTTGTCAGTACTGTTGTTGTCAAATACGAATATAAGCCATTTTTAAACAAGAAGTATTGTTAGTCTCAAAAAACGACGCCACCTCTTCCCCAACATCAAGAGTGTTCTGCAAATTGTTTACTCTTGCTTCTGTTCTGCCTTGGTTGCCAAAAGTAAATCAACTTAATTTTTCAGTTGGTAAATATTCCAAGCCACTATCAACATCAGTAGCATTAATATCTAATTCGAACAATCGGTTTAAACTACATAAATGAATAAGGGAACCGTTTCAATAATTACATTTACCTTGCCTTAATCCATCTTGGTCAGTTCCTAGATATAAAAATTTTAAATTTCTAAAATTAGTAAAACAAATCAAATCTCTGGACAGAATATTATTGTTGGTTAAACGAATATCACTTAATTGTTGACCATCAACAGGAAAATCAATTATTTCTAATTCGTTATCGTCAACTGCTATATCTATTAAATTAGAGCATCCGCTTAAACTCAAACGAGTTATTTTTTGGTTGTGAATATTTAATTGTTTTAAGTTAACCAAACTAGATAAATCTAGTTCTCCCGTCAAAGGAATATCTAAATAATGTCTATTGTTCTCAGGAACGTCAACCATTGCTAATTGGTAAACTCAGTTATTTTGATGATTGCTTGAAGAAATTGATAACTTTGTGATATTTGTTCTTTGATTAATAGGAATAGTATTGTTTAGTCAAGTTTGGGCGTCGTTGTTCATATACTAAATTTTTAAGTTTTCTTTTTAGCTTAAAAGCAATATACGAATATAAACTAGCGGAAAATATTATCGCACAAAGAACCGACAGAGCAATTATTGCTTCGTAACAACAACCATATTCAAATTTTAACTTAAGATATTTTCCCTTTTCTTTACTCAAAACTAGTTTACGAAAAAAATTCTTTTTGAGCCTTGACTTCTCGTAATATTTCCTATAACCTTATGTTTTTACCCATGATTATCAACTATAAAAAAATATAGTTATATGACTGACTGGACAGATATTCATGATGATTTTACTGACGAATTACAATCGCAGTGGGAAAAATACGGTTTTAATTTTTGGCAAGTTCAAGAATGAATTGACGCTGGTTTAGAACCTGAGGATGCTGACTTTGCTTTTTATATTGAAAAACAAGGCTATACCGTTGATGATGTGGAAAGAAAAGAAGGAAGAATAAACAAATTAAGAGACAAATACGATAGAGGTGAAGAAATGATTGATGATTTTTCTTCCGAGGAGGAGGATTATGAAGAAGAAGTCAAAATTCAAACAAAAAAAGTTCGTTTGTCTAATCCTCCTAATCAAGACTGAAGAGATATTCCATTTAAATTTTACCTCTACATTAATTGAACTTTGGCAGGATCTTTATTTCAGTTATGAGCAAACCCAAGAATGAATTAGTATTGGTTTTCAGCCCTCGGACGCTGATTTTTGCTATTGAATAAGAAAGGTAAAAAAGTTTACTCCCGAACAAGTCCTAAATGAACATGATTTAGAACAATTAAGAGAAGAATATCACCAACATTTTATTGCTAAGCAATTGGTCATTAAATTATAATATTTCTGAGGAGAGTAACATTTAACTCTTTTCCGATTGTCTACTTACTCTTGATTAAAGAAATAAGCATTTTTAGGATTTTTATTACTACTCAAATAACAACAATAAGGACAATTATAAAAATTAATAGTTTTCACCAATAATCCTTAATATAACCGCCTAAATCACTAATATTCTTAATTCCTTTTTCCGGTCATTGCAAAAATTTTTTTAGTCAATCAAACATAATTTAGTTATAATATATTTTTATTATTAGTCTTAACCTTTCATTGCATAAAGCACTGACAATACTATAACTATAATAATAAAGATAAAAAACACTGTCAACGAATTGCTTCCGTCATCTCGAACTGCCGTTTTTTTCTCCACCTTAGACATCTCACAACGATAAAATTCTTCTTCTTCATTAAAACCATTGGGTTGCAATTTTCCCCGATAAGTAATTAATTCTTGTTCGTTAACGGTTTCTGCTAATTCATTTTCCTCCCATTGACCCGGTTCTTTGACTCATTTTTCTTTTTTGATAATTAGTTCGCTTGGATAGAGACTGATAAGTTTAATCCCCAGCGAATTAGTTGGTAAATGACAAACTCATAAGGCCGGATTCTTGATATTAGCATCAGGTTTCTGCCAATGCTGAGGAATTTTAAGACTTATCAAATTGCCTTCTTGCAGAATAATTTCTTTGGTCGATTTTTTAATGGTAATAAAGAAAACTAATTTTTTTCTCATATAATGTTATTATTAGAAAATGGCGCGCTCGGGAGGATTTGAACCCCCGACCCTTTGATCCGAAGTCAAATATTCTATCCACTGAACTACGAGCGCAGGTTTTATTAAGTAATTTTAAGGTTAAAAACTTCCACCCTCCTTTTAGAGCAATAAAAAACTAAGTTGTGGATTAAATCAGTAAAAAAAGTAAGAAAATGGTTTAATGCGAGATTATATTACTTCCTAAAACTAATTAAAATGATAAAAACATTAATTGTTGCAAGAAGCAAGCATGGCTTATCGTAAAAACCGGAAAAAAAACCAAGAAGGAATAACCACCAAAATTAGTTTAGTTCTTTTACTAACGATAAACATTTTTTTATTTTTTTCGTTAGTTTTACACTGGTATTTTTCTCAGCAAATTAAAAATAACTTCAATGATTTTTCTAATCAAGTGAAAGAGGAATTAAAAAATTTTTCTCAGTTGGCCAATAAGGTCGAAGAAGAATTGCAAAACATCCAAAAAGAAGTTAAATCGCTAGTCAAAACTATTGAGGGATTAGTTGCCATTGAAAGCGAGTTAAAAAATGTCACTGCTAGTTTGACAGAATTGAATAAGACCGGGGAAAATATTAAAGGTAGTTTGGACAATGTGGGGGAATTGAAAGAAAAAATAGATGAATTGACTAAATTAGAAATTCCCTTAATAGAACTAGAAAAATCCCTCATTAAAGGAGGACAGGGATTAGAAAAAGAAATTAGAGAAAAAATTGGTGGACTGGTTGACCAAATTAAAGAATATAAAAAAGTTTTTTGCCCTGCTTGTTTTAATTGAAATTTTAAAACTAATTATTCTTTTGAAATAAATAATAACATTATTGAAGAAGAGAAATGAAAGGAACTTTTTAAGAGCAGAAAATTGATTATTTCAGGAAGAATTGAAACAGTTGATTATTCTAAAGAGTGGTTTGGACTGGATAGACAAAAGGCAGAATCCGACAAAGAAATAGAAGACATTAGTGTTGAGAAAAAAGAGGAAATACAAAATTGAGAAGATAAAGAAGAACGCGAAGAAGATGGGAGAAAAGGCGTAAAAGAATTTATTTTTAAAAAAGCCCATTGTAAGGATTGCAAAAAAAAACTAAAATTACAAAATTTTAGTATTAAAAAATTAAGAGAGGCAATTTAAACAGAGCACTTTTTTTGTTTACTTTTTAAATAACTAATCTCTTACTTTGGCCGCAAATAATTTTTCTATCCTTGCCACAATATCTTGCAATATTTCTTCTATTTCTTTATTTTCTAGGGTTTTAAGAGGACTTTGGAAAATTAAATGGAAACCGACTGACTTTTTTCTTTCTTTTGCTAACTCAACACTCTGATAAATATCAAAAATATTTACTTCTTGTAAGTTGACACCTGCCACCTTTCTAATTTCTTGAATGGCCTCATTATAATTAATACTTTCGGGAAAAATAAAGGATAAGTCTTTGGTACTAGTCGGAAAATTAGAAATTGGGCGATAATGGAATTGAGGAGGATAATTATTAAGATAAGCAAAAATTTTGGTTAGCGAGATTTCGGCGATAAAGACTGGTTCATTAATTTGATACTTTTTGGTTATTAGTGGTTGAATAGAACCAAAAAAGCCTATTTTCTCTTGGTCAAGGGCTATTTCGGCACTTTGGGAAGAATTTAAATAATTAAGGGAATTAGGAACAAAAGCAACTTCGGAATTAATTTGTCATAATTCAAAAATGTTTTCTAATGTTCCTTTTAATCAATAAAAATCTATTTCCTGAACTAATTTATGAAGCGATTGGCGAAAAATTTTACCTACTCCGCTCAAAATAAGCAATTCCTCGTTATGGGAAAGACCATAAACTGAACTAATTTCAAAAAAAAATAGATCTTTATTCCCACGAGCAAGATTGTATTTTATCGTTTTTAAGTGACTGGGAACAAGAGTTTGTCGATAATATTCATGATACTCATTTTTTGGCAGTAATAACTGATAAAACTGATTGTTCGTTGAAAAAGAAAAGTCTTTTTTCATTGCGGATGAAATAAGAGAATAAGTAATAACCTCTTGTCAACCATGATTGGCTAAATAATTACCCAAAACTTTTTTTTTCTCAAACTTATTATTCAAAACATTGTCCATTCTTATTAAATTATTTTAAGTTTGAATTAAGGATTTTATATGAATATAGAAGAATTAATCTTTATCTATTTTATCATTTATATTTATATTGTCCGGCAAATTAGAAAGAGAAAGAAAAATAAGTTTTTTTATGGAAGCAAACCAATTACTTTATTATAATCATAAATCCTTAATAACTCCTCCAATAAATCCTCGGGAATAGTAATATCTAGTCGTGATAAAGGTATAGTAACATAATAAATGTTTGCTTTTTTTTGATAAGAAAATTTTAGTTGTTGTCAAACGCTTTCAACCGTTTGTTCGGTTAGTTTTTGGCCGACTTTTTTGGTAATGAATTCTTCACTAATAGTGATTATTGGTGGGATTTTTTTGGCTGTTTGGTTTTGGTAAGAAAAAAATATTTTGGAATTTAAATCGCTTTGGTAATTATCAGCAATAAGCAAAATAAACCGGGCGAGAACCTGTTGAGTAGTTAAAACTAAATTGGCTCCACGAGAAAAAAAATGACTAGCGGCTGTCGAAATATTTAATCGCTTAGCAGTTTTTTTAATGAGTTTGGGATTAAAAGAGGCACACTCAATAAGAATATTTTTGGTCTGGGGAGTTATTGCGGTCTCGTGGGAACCAATAATCCCAGCTAGACTAATAACTTTTTCGCCCGAACTTATTACAACATCTTTGGAATTAAGCAATAACTCTTGACCGTGCAAGGCATTTAACTTTTCTCCTTGGTGGGCTGGGCGAACCACTATTTTTTGCTCCGGCAAGGCGTCATAATCAAAAATATGAAGGGGTTGGCCACTTTCCAACATTAATAAATTAGCACTATCGACCACATTATTGATAGTCCGAATATTATTTACTGTTAATCATTCTTTTATCCAGGAAGGACTTTCTTTAACTTCAATATCTTTTATTAGACCCAAATAAAATTCTGAGCAATCATTAGTATTAATTATTACCTCAACCAATTTCTCCTCACTCTCATTTATAACCAGGAAATCAACTGGTTTTACTTGACAATTTAAGATAACCCCCATTTCTTGAACTATCCCTCACCAAGATAATAAATCAGGACGATTAGGAAGCACGTCAAACTCTAGACACAGATTATTTTTGTCCTCAACTATTTTTGTTTCTAAACCATAATAGGTCAATTTTTCACTGACTTCTGCGGGAGCAATTTTTGGCAAAAAAAGGTGTTTTTTTAAATATTCTCAGGGTATTAATAGCATATTAAGAAATTTTCTGATTTTTCTTCCGCTGGTGAAAACATCAACAAACAACAAGAATAAACAATGATATTAGATAAATAAGAACAGAGAAAAAACCAAAAATGGCGTCTAATATCATTTTTTTGTCTATTCCTTTCAGACAAAAAAAATAATATGCAAAAGCAAATAACCAATAAAAAAGCGAAAAATAGATAAGTGATTTAGTCTTTTTTCTCCGTCCTAAAATTAATGCCAAAATAGAAGAAACAAAAGAAAAAAATAGCAAAAGTAAAGAAATGGGATTAAAAAGAAACATTATATTTTAGCAATTTTCTTGGAGTGAAATTTCTGGACAATAATTGGTACGGGACAAGGGACTCGAACCCTCACGCTTTCGCACCAGGTCCTAAACCTGGCGTGACTACCATTCCACCAATCCCGCAAATTTTTTTTATTAGAGAAAAACGAATTTTAATTCTATTCGTTAGCAGAAATCAAATCCATAATCTCGCCTCTTTCAGTTAGAAATTCTTCTCGGCTTATTTCCCAGTCGGTTGGGTTAACCAAACCATTATTTTTAAATCTTTTCAGCAAAATACTGGTAATAACCGGTGGGTAAGTTCCGCAACTTCCTCAACCATCATTTTGTCGCGGACAAGATACCTCAACTAAGTTACCATTAATTGTTTTTTCTTTAATGGTGCTAAAATTACACCCTCCCAGACTATCATAATGACGAAAAGTATCATCGCTTTTTTTATAAACTAATAGTGAGTGATGAAAACTGCCCACATTAACCGGAATAAAAATAATTTTGTTATCTGGATAAAGTCTATTTTCCCCTTTCTTTTTTAAAATGATTTAAATCTTTTTTTTTAGTATCTGAATTAAAATAAAGAAATCCGGCTGGAACTATGCAGGCTTTATACGAAGCTAATTTCTTACTTCATTTTTTAGGTGAAATGAACGAACCAATAATATCATTCATTTCGGTAGTTCATAGTCAGCGGCAGGGAACTTGGACTTTTCCGTTTACTACTTCTAATTTTTTCTTCCTGGTTCGGCTGGCTGGGAGGCGGAGGAGTTTTTGGTTCTTCCTTTTGTCCTTTTGGCTCCTCGACTTTTGGTGTTTCTTCCTTTCTTTCCGGAAGAGAGATGGGGGGGGACTATTTTCCTCTATTTTTGGCGGATTTTGCTCAGAATTTTCGTTGGATTGTGGGAAATCATCCGGAACCTGATTATTTTCTGGCTTCTTTGGCTCATCCGGTTTATTTTGTTCCGGAGCCACGGGAATTTTTTTTTGAGTCAGAAAAAATCTTTGAACCTTGGTTTTGATTATTATTGGCCTTTAATTCAATTTTCTTCGGCTCCTCGGTTTTTCTCGAATGATGAATAATTATCCAACTACTAGCCACTGCCAAAGTCAAAAAGACCACAGTTATTAATATTTTTCGAGTAATTGGTGATTTTCTTGGCATTATTTTTATAATATTAACAATATATATAATTTAATGACAATGGTGTCCTGTGGAGGGATCGAACCTCCGACTCTTTGCTTAAAAGGCAAATACTCTACCGCTGAGTTAACAGGACTTATTTTAATGCTTCTAACTCTAATTTAATTTTTTCAATTTCGCCGCGAGCAGTTAATCACTTTGACAAACCACAAAGTAACAAAATTATCACAACAACTCACAAAAGCAATCAAAATATTAATAAAACAAAAAAGTTACTTTCCAAGAAAATAAGGATGCTTTTTCCTCGTTCTCCTAAATCACCTCTCCCCGATAATATTCGGAGAGCATTATATAAACAGTCAAACAGAAAACCTAAACCGCCAAGCACTATTCCTCGATAAATAATTTAAATCCTCGGGATTTTTGGTCAGTTTTGCTAATTAGTTGCTTCACTAATTCCTCTTTTCGGTTCATATTTCTAATTTTTTATTTTGAAACCGAAAATCCAAACGACTAATATAACCAGGTTGAGGATAAAAATAGCCAATACACTTCTGATACAAAATAACCAACTAGGAAATAATTCTCATTTCTCATTAAGTAAATGCAAAGATATTACTAAGAAACTAATTATGTTGCTAGCAACTACTAAAAAAAGTAATTTTTTATTATCCATGTCTTGTTCTTGGCTGGGGTGGCTGGGATTGAACCAACGATCAAGGAGTCAAAGTCCTTTGCCTTACCACTTGGCTACACCCCAAGGCTACTAATTTTTTTTAAGTTATTTTTTAGGAAGTATTTGTATTTCATTGATTTGGATTTGTCCTAATTTCTTTGTTAAATTTTTGATTTGTTCATCTTTTTCTTTTAGTTCTTTATCAATAATTTGTTTGAAAATGTTCAATTCATTTTTTATTGCTTTTAGTTCTTTTTCTTGGACTTGATTTTTGAGGTTAAGTTGTAAATAATCTTTTTCAAAATTGTGGAGAATATTTTTTAATCTAATATCTTCCCGCGGTGGATTGTTCTGGTAAAAATTATCCATGGCTTTCATGCTATCTTGGTGGATTTTTTGTTCCTCCTCAATTTGTTGGCGTGGTAGATTTTCTGTTAATTGTTTCAAATTTTGGGCAATATAAATCATTAAGGCTTTTTGATCGGATTGAGTTTTTTTTTGTAAGGCATCTATTCACTTTTCTTTGCTGTCAGGATTGGTGATTAATTCGGGTTGGGCAATGAGCATTTTTTCCGGGTGGGCGAGTTGTCAAGCCCTAAGACTAAATTTGAAAGGTTTTAGTTCATTTTGAATTTTGGCTACTTTTTGATTGGGAAGTTTGGGAGAACATTTGAGAGGTTCGCCTATAGTAATCGGTAAATACTCTAAACCCTCTTCTATATCGGTGCCCTCAATATTCAGTCCTCTTAATTTAGTCATATTTCTTAATGGTTCTAGGCTACCATAGAAACGGTTGTAAATGCCTTTTTCGTACCTTTCTGATTTGTTATTTCCTAGAGTTAGGGCAGGAGTAAAAAGATTAACAAAAGGTCGTAAAAATTCTAAAGTAGTTTTCTCAATATTATTGTTAGAAAGGCGTAATTCTCTTAATTTTTCTGGATGAGGTAAAGTTTTTAAGAAGTCAATTGAGGTTAGTAGATTATCGGAGCAATTAAGTTCAGCTAATTTAAAGCATTGGCTTAAATCGAGAGTGGTTAATTGATTATCATAGCAATTAAGTGAAGTTAAATTAGGGCATTGACTTAAATCAAGGATTAATTCATTATCAGAGCAAATTAAAGGTAGTGGATCACTGCACTCAAGATAAGTTAGTTTTGGCTTGTTGCCCAAGGTTATTTTGGTTATTTTGGTTCTTAAAAAAGGTCTGCTAATAGTTACTCTCTCTAGATTAACATACTCACTTAAATCTAATTCTCCACCATCTAGTAACGAGATATTTTGGCTCTTTTTGATTTTTCAAGCATTAACCTCCTTAACTTTTTTCTTCTCTTCCTCAGTTTGATATTTATTATCTAGACATTCTTGTAGGGTTGTCATATTAATATTATTTATTACTTTTCTAATTACTTAGTTTGGACTCGAACTCAGTTAATCTTATTTTTGGCTAAATAAACTTCTAACAATTCTTGTTCATCAATTGCTATTTTGTTACCTATTTCATTAAAAACTTTTAATCAATTATGATAAGTGCTTTGGTTAGTAATTTTCACTTTTTCTAAATCATATAATTCGGGCTTGTCTGGTATAAATAAATTATTAGTCGTGACAAAAAAAATCTAAAAGCAGTTTATTAAACGTTCACTCTTGTCTTTCCAAAGTAAAAGTAGCAGGAAAATCTATTTGATAAATACCAACTAACCCCAAAAAATAACTCAAGCAATCAATTAACTCTTCTTTGGCTTTAACTCAATCAACTTCTGGTTTTTTCCGCCAGGCTTTAAAAGATTTTATCTCATTAGCCAACTCACCGACTTCCACCAAGAGGGCTAATTTTAATCTTTCAGCATTGAAGTGAGAAATTCACTTTAAATCAGTTGAACTTTTTTCCACAATAAGTTGGTTTAATTCAACTTGTTTTTTTACTAATTTTTTCCAATTTTCAATCGTTAACATTACAATTTCTCTTTAATTCTCCTTTTTTCATAACAAGTTTTACAAACATTTTTTCTGGTCTCGAAACTTTTTCCAAATTCTTTATGACAATATTTACAAATAAAATCGTCAGTTCTTAAAAATCACGAAAGCCAAACTCTTAAACAAAATCAAATTCAGAAGGCCATGAACGTCGGTAAAAGGATATGAAACAGGAATGAGTTAATTTTGCTCAGGGTCTCCTTTTGACCATTAACAGTCGCTTCAAATCCCTTTTCTCTAAATATAAGTCAAATAGTCAAGCTCACAAATATAGCAAAAACTATTCTAAAATATCATTTTTCTCATTTTTTTATTCGCATAAATTGTATTATATATTTTAACAACCTTATGGTGTGGGACGAGAGACTCGAACTCTCACGCTTTCGCACAAGAACCTCATTCTTGCGTGCCTACCATTCCACCAGTCCCACTTTTTAACCTACATTATTAGTAAATAGTCATTTTTTCGTCACGTCGACTTATTTAAAGAGAAAGTTGAGTGTTTTTCAGGAACTTTCTTAATTAATTTTTATTTTTTTTCCACCATTTTCGCCCCAAATTTCTGAGAAAAAGAATATATGGCTAATAAGAGGAATGATAGTAAACTAATAAAGTGAAAAGAAAAATCGTTATCGTTCGTTATTTCGCAATTAGGTCAAGAGGGAAAAAGTCTCATGAGCCAGTTTGCCATTCAAAATAATTTAAAAATCTTGCCATTCAATGTTTGGTTAGAGAAAGGAAATAGTAAATGTTGTTTGAATAAGTTAATGGTAATACTCTACCAAAAAAGAAATTGGGAGATAGGAAGAATGAGAATTTGTTGTCTGAAAAAGATACAGTCGGAAACATTGCGAGTAACTAAGCAATTAATCAAGCCCAAGCGGAGTGAGAAAGAGGTCTATCACTCCTCTTATAAGGCAGTTCGAGGCAGCATCGCTCACATTATTTTTCAAGCTTTTTTGGGAGTAAATGAACGAAAATATATTCGAGAAAGCGAAAATGTGAAAGAAGAAAGTATTTTGCGGACCGTTCACCGGTGAGTAGCGCCCTGTTTACCCGAACAATGAGATGCGGCTATTGTTGAATTTCAAAAGGACCCCAGTGCCGAGAAAGTTAAACAATTAATCCGCTTATATTCTCCCCTCTACCGGGAAGATAGCGAAATTGTTAACCAAATGAGTCAGGAAATAATTTCTTACTTAGCTCATCTACCATCCGAATGAAAGCAAGAAAAAATAAGAATTGTTCCTACTAAGGTGGGAATTGCTGACATTGTGGTCGGGGAGAAAATTATCGAATTTAAGTTTACTGAGAAGAAAATTGGTTGACGAATAGGAAATTTTCGGCAATTGTATCGTTATTATCAAGCGGCTTGTAAAATAAACCCTGCAGAAAAAAAACAACTAAAAATTTTGTCTGTTTTCTCACCAATTACCGGCGAGTTAAGAGAATTAACCATTGCTGAAGCAGTACAAAAATGAAACTTACAACAGACCTTCAATAAAGATTTTTTGTTGTGGGAATTAGATAATTTTAGTCAAATGAGAAGGACTGAAAATAGCGTATTAATAGGTAAAATAAAAGGACCAAACATAGAAGAGTCAAAAAAGAGGATTGCTGACAATAGGCTATTAGTGAAATCCTGAAAAAGTTAAAAATTAGTTTATCAATATGCTCCGGTAATTCAGTGGATAGAATACTCGTTTCCTAAACAAGTCGTCGGAGGTTCAAATCCTTCCCGGAGCGCCAAATACAAGAAAATAATAATTTTTATTGACACTACATCTAGTTTCGAGTCTTTAATTTGAACTAAAAAAAGAGTTAAAAATATCACCGACTACTTATCAGAAAAAAAAGGAATTTAAAGTTGGAGATAAGGCGTGTAATGAGTGAGAGAGTAAATTAAACAATAAAATTGTCTCCTTGGGGAGTAAAAATACTAATCACTTTCTTGTTCCCCTTGTCATTAACTTCAAATTCTAATTCAACTTCTTTTATTTGTTCTCAATTATTAACCAAGCTATCTCAACCGTCTTTAACTGCTCGTTCAAAACAGAAATAGACTTCATCTTGGTTATCGTTATTGACAATTAGGTAATAATTATTAAGATTTTTGTCTTGTAATTTTTTAATGGTGATGTTGTTTAAATTAATGGTTGGCATATGATTATTTTTATATGAAATTGGCAGAAGTGATGAGAACCAATCCAAAAATTAGGAAGCTCAACCTAATTATCACCAAACACTGCAACCTCCAAAACTGGTAAATTCCAAGTGAACGAATGTTTTGATAACCGTATATTGTTGCTACTAAAATTAAATTATAGCGTTGTCCGAAAGCAATAATTGTTATAAATTTGGTTTAGTTAGCACCTTGCGTGGTTATGAGAAAAAAGGAAAAAGGCACCGCGATATTACTAAAACTATTCTGGCAAAAGATTCAACTAATCTTGGTCCAAAGGCAACTTGAGAAAAATATTTAACAATTGTCGAACATAATCTCAAAATAGTAAAATTTACTCTCAATAATCTTCCTGTTTCGGTGGTTCATTCCCGTATTACTTCTAAATTACTACCATTAGCCACTTTAAAGAGTTTTGACCAAGAGAAAATGAATTATGAATTAGTTCTAAAAGAGGCGAAAGTCCGGAGCCTTTGCCAAGAAATAAAAAAGTTTATTGCGGAGAAAAAAATTACTGTTTCCCTGCACTCATCGCAATTTGTTAGTTTGGCGGCGGCTGAGGAAATAATAAGAACAAATTCCCAAGCCGAGTTAATTTATCATGCCAAAGTTTTAGAACTGATATCAGAAAAAGCAATTATTATTACTCATCTTAATTCAAAACGGGAATTTGTAACAAGTTTAGGAGAGGAGAAATATATTCATTGAGCCGCCGAGGCAGTTAGTAAATTACCCAATTCTGTACTGAAAAGAATTTGTCTGGAAAATGAAGCACGAGGATTTTGAAATTCGGCTAATCTTTATAAATTTCACCATTATTGTCGGGAAAAATATGGAATCATTTTGCCGTTAGTTTGAGATAACGCTCATGAGGTGGTTAACCTTCGCAAATTAACCCAGACAAGGAAAATTGAGAGTGATTTATGACTACTTGAACAAGTCCAACGCCAATTTTTCAATGGTCAGAAAGTTGTGGCCAAAATAATACCGGACATTGTGATTATTATCACCAAAAAACGCTTCCGCCCAGTTCAATTCCGATCTGAGTTTGCGAAATTAAAATGAAAGAATTAGCCTTACAAGAACTATTAAAGGAAAACATAATTAAGAATGAAACTAATCGTTGGCTTGGGTAATCCCGGTAAAGAATACGAAAATACTCGGCATAATTTAGGTTTTGAGGTTATCGACCAGTTGGCTCAGGAATTAAATGTCGAATTAAACAAAAAAAAGTTCAACGGTTTTTATTGTCAAACCAGTGCCTATATTCTTCTCAAACCCCAAACTTACATGAATAATTCTGGTGAATGTATTGCGGCCTTTCTGAACTATTTTCGTATTCCTTTGGATAACTTGCTGGTAATTTATGATGATATTGCTTTGCCATTAGGGAAATTCCGTTATCGCTGCCAAGGTTCTGCTGGCGGACATAATGGGATGAAGAACATTATTAAATTACTTGGAAGCGAGAACTTTAAAAGATTGCGGGTTGGCATTGGTTGTGAGCAAAATTTTCTTATTAAAAATTGAGTTTTACAAAATTTTTCCTCACCAGAAAAAGAAGAAATAAGGAAAATCATGCCTAATTTACTGGCTAGTTTACTGGAATGAATAAAAGAAAACAATTTTGAAAAAATGATGAGTCGGTTTAATAGTTATAAAAAAGATTTATAAAATAAGGAAGTAGAAATTAATTGATTGAAAAAATAATTAGTTTAAAACTATTTAAAAGACAACAAAAATATATAATATACAAAATAACATGACAGAAATAGCAAAAAAAAAAAAAAAAAACAGTAATAGTAAACACCTTCTTTTAAGGCAAGGTGTTTTCTTTAATCTAAAATTTTAACAATCATGCCAGGAACAACAAAACCACAACCAACAACCTACAAAGGATTTTCTGATAATTTTTTAAAAATAATTATAAAAAATGTCAAAGACGAAAATGTTAATATAGCCAATTTTGATGCCTATGAGGCTATCGGTTTAAAAGATAGAGCCTTGGGGCTTTTAAAAAAGAATAATAATGATGAATATGACGGTGAAGAAGTTATTACAACTTCAGAGAAGAAACTTCCAACTGGCGAAATTAAGAAAATCAGAACAAGTAGCAAACAAGACACCGTAATTAAACAGATTAAGTATCGTTTTCATCAAACTCAGTTAAAAAATCATCCCGACAAGTCTAAAAATGGAGAAGAAGTGGCAAAAGATGGCATAAAAGCTTGGAGCATCCTTTCAAATGAGACGGTTAGAAATGAATATGATAAGCATTATGAAGATATCATTGCCGTTAAACCAAGCCCCCAATTTAGACAAGCAGTCAAAGACAGATTACAAAGACTCTCCCGAAAGACTGATCCCAATTCAGGAAACTTAGGAAACGAAGGGAATGATGTTGACGGAAAAAGTGATGAGGAAGGTCTTGATGTCAGCGGATATGTTCACCTTTTCCCGTCCCCAACTTTTATTGATAAAAAAATTGACAAACCGAGTTCTAAGTTAGGAGTTAGTCGGTGTGCTAACTGAATAATTAAAGTTTATGAACTTTTAATAAATCTCGAAGATGAGTTGAAAGGCAACGACAAGGCTTTTTTTAATAAGCCAGGAAACTGAAAAACTGGAAGCAAAAGAGTTATTAATACTTCTGAACTTGGAACTTTCGCCAATTTTAAAACTGATATTTGAAATTACCAACATTTAGATGATGTTAACAATTATGCCGAACAAATTAAAAATAAAATTAAACGAATTGTCTACGGAAAAAAAGCTCCCAAAGGTTATTATAAGTACCAAGATGCTCAAAATGAAAATCTGGAAATACTTCGTGACTTAGACGGTTGAAATGAACTTTCTGGACCCGAAGACACCCAAAATACTGAAAAATTTCATTTCGTTACAGGAAAAAGAGAAGGTGAAAAAGGAATACTATTATTAGAATTCGATGAGCCTAATCATTATCTTTATAAACAAGTTATCAAGAATTGCCAAAATTTCCTTGCTATTAAAAAATTGGTGAAAGAAAAATTAACCGAGTTGAATAATTTAATAGATGCAGAAGGGGGTAATCTTCAAGGTAATACTACTGGCCCTCTCGAAACAAAATTAAGAAAGTTAGGAGAATTAGAAGAGGTGGGGCATCAGAGCAAATCATCTTCTTCTTATAGTGGAAGTTTTACTATTGATTACACTAAAATGAAGTTTAAAAGCATTTCAGATAGCAATTTATTAACTGAAATCGATAAAATTTTTAAAGAACTTCGGGCGGAAATTAGTAAGAAAGGAAGCAAACCCAGAAATAATAACCACAAAAAACCAGGGGACCCTGGAAAAGACGCAGTTCAGGAGATAGAACTGGCTCTTAAAGAGGCTGGTTACAAAGATTCAGAAGTTGGAATGAAAAATTTATGAAGAAACGATTTCTATTACAAATTAAAAGGTAATATTAAGGAAATTGATAAATGAAAAAATGCTTACCTTAACAATATTTATCGAATTTCTGCCTGCCGAAAACTTACCCAAAAATTAGCCATCGCTTCAATTTCAGAAAAAACCATTTTAGGGTCAGGTAAAACTTTAAAAGAACATTTCAGAAGTTTTCAAGGCAAATCGGCTATTGATGCTGAATTTCTTCGTTTGGCTAAATTAATTGATAATCAAGGGCAAGATAACGACCAGGAGATTAAAAGTGCCATTGGAGCCGTAATAAATGCTTTACGGGCTAATGATTTAGGACAAGACCAAGCCAAAATAGAAGCCATTTTGGGGAAAAACTGAGAAGGTCAATTCCAAGGTTTGGATAAGAAGAAAATTGAACAATTAAGGGATAATTTCATCAAAAAAATCACAGATTTTGTTGCCAAAAACAAAGATGCTGTTCGTGCTATTATTCAAGAAATAGCCAAGGCCTTACAAGCAGCTGGTTTGCCCGAAAGCATTTTGGGAGAGAATTGAAAAACTAACTTGGCTGGAAAAAATGAGACCGGCATGAATGCCGAGCGAGACCGCTTATTAAAAATAATTGAAGCTGAGATTAATAAGAAAAAAGATAATGGTGAAATGAATGAAGATGAAGCAAAAGAGAAGAAAAAGGATTTAGTAGAAAATAGGAAAAAAAATATAACTGTAGAAATAGCGAAAAAAACCAAGGAAGGTCACCAAAAATTGGCAGTAGAAATCAGCGAATTGCCGACCCAACTTTTCGCTCCTCATAAGAGTTTAGAAGAAAAATTAAATAGTTTGGATAAATTAGAAGAGATTAGTGCTTTCAATGAGAAATTACTAGCAGCCATAAATGATAAAAAAAATGAGAAATTAGAAGTTATTGTTAATGATGCTATTGGGGAAATTGAACAGGAAATTGGTACGTTAAATATCGAATTAGGGAAAAATAAAGATTTTAAAGAAAAAATTAAAAACTCGCGAGACCCTGATATTATTGAAATGATTAAGCAAAATGTTTTACAGTTAGTTAAAGAGCAAAAAATGGCTGCTGCTCTTAACGAGACCAGTTTTTCGCAGGGAAATCAGCCAGAAGAGCCAGGAACTTCCTGACCGAAAAAGATTGCAATTGCTACCTTGATTATAGCACCACTGCTGATTATAATATTTGTTATTCTGCGAGCACGAAAGAAATTTAGTGGAAGGTAAATTTAAACTAAACCAAGAATTTTTTTTTTAATTTCTGCGGCTACTTGGTCTAAATTATCGTTAACTGTAAGAATAAAGTCATATTCCTGGGCAAAAGGTATCTCACTTTCCGCAATAGTTAATCGCTTCTTTATCTCTGCTTCTCTTTCGCCCCGCTTTCGTAAATTGGCTAGCAATTTAGCACGGTTGGGCGGTTGTAACCAGAAAGAAATAATTTTACCGGCTCACAATGTCTTTATTTTCTGAAATCCTCGCACATCAACAATCAGGAGGATATTTTTGGATAACAAACCTTTTTTTAAACTATTTAACGAGGTTCCATAGTAATTGTTATTGTACTCAACATGCTCTAAAAACTGATTATTAACAATACCTTCCCGAAATTCTTCTCGACTAATAAAATAATAGTCCTGACCGTCTTTTTCTCCGGATCTTGGCGAGCGAGTAGTGGTAGTAATTAATTTTTGACTATTTAATTCGGAGTAAGTTAATAACCTTTTCATTACTTCGCTTTTTCCGACCCCACTAACTCCGGAAATAATGACTAACAAATTACTTTCTTTCATTTTATTTCAATTTTAGCAAAATTAATTAATACACATGAATGAAAAAAGATATCAGGAAGAAGCCACTAGCAAAGGAGTAATTAATTGTCTTTATAGTCACTTTAAAAACACTCCCGAAAAATTGAAAGTAGTTTGTGATTGAGATGAAGTAATTCAACCGCTGGAACCGAAAGTATATTACGAATTATCCGAACGAGAAGGAGCCTATTATGACGCTCCTTGGTGAAAACCGAACGGAACCCCATTTGCCGAATTTTTTCGGGATTTCTGGCCCAATGCCCCAATTTATTTTTCTGACTATGGTAGTCATTCCATCTATAATGATAAGAGCAAGATAAAAAGTTGTCTAAGTAAAGGTGACAGTTTTGCTCTTGGTCTGAGAAGTATTAAAGAAAAGATTGACAAAATAAAAAACGAACCTGATTTTTACGAGCAAACCTCTTTTCTTACTTTGGCCCAAGAGTTATTAAAATTAGTCAAAGAAAATAAAGTAGCAGTGACTTTCCTCTCTGCTTATGACAAGAGGTCTTTTCCGAATGGCGACCCTCGCAAGAGAAAAATATTTAGTGAGACTTTTGGCAAATTCCCTAATTGTTCCTTAGAATTGATTGGTTTTGATAGTGAAGGTCAAGGTCAAACCAAAGGCGAATGAATTAGAAAAAATGTTCCTGATTGTGAAATGGTGATAGATGATAATCCTAATATCCTTAGTAATATAGTAGAGAACAATGCTAAAATAATTGTTGTTGCTCCTTTTTATCTGACTATTAAGCACCACCAAAAGGTTTTGTTAATTAAGAATTCGTTAAGCGACTTAAAAAAAGAGAATTTTCAGCATGAATAAAAGCCTTGAAAATGTAAAAATAGGTTCCCTTACCATCATTACTGGTCCCATGTTTGCCGGCAAAACTAGTCTGCTAATTGACAAATATAATCAGTGTAAAAATTACCAATCATGTTTAGTATTTAAGCCCGTTAGTGATAAGCGTTATAGTTTGAATGATATAGTTTCTCACCGCGGAGAAAAAATCACGGCCATTTCTATTACTAATATTGCCGAAATAGAACAATATAAAGAACAAGCAGAAAATATTTTTATCGATGAAATACACTTTTTTGCGTCTGACGCAGTGCCTTATTTAGAAGCATTAGCCCAGCAGGGGAAAAAAATAATAGTGGCTGGTTTAGATTGAAACTATTTTGCTAATCAACCTTTTGCTACGACCGCTGATTTGTTGGCGGTGGCCGAACAGGTAGTCAAATTAGCAGCCAAATGTCAAATTGAAGATTGTGAACAGCAAGCCGTAAAAAGTCAGTGAAAGTTAACTAAATTACCGGAAAAATCCACCGATTATGTCGGCGGAGGAGAAAAATACGGTAGTTATTGCCGTCAGCATTATGTTCCGATTGCTAAATTAGAGATAATTTCTCAAAAATACAATAGAGTTGAGGGAGAGAATGCCCGAGTAGTTATTTGACAAGATGAAAAATTTCTAATGGTCTATGATATTGGCAAAGGCTGAAACTTGCCGGGGGGGACAATAGATAAAGGAGAAACCCCCTTAGAATGTGCTATCCGAGAAATTAGGGAGGAAACTAATCTGACAATAAATAATTTAGAACTGCTCTGCACGGAATGAATTTATTATCGCAAGAAATGATGGAAAACGCATCTCTTTGAAACTAATGATTTTAACGGAAAAATTGTTAAACAAAATTCCGAAGTTTCAGATATTAAGTTTTTTACCTACCAACAGGCTAATGAATTAAGTTCAGAAGCCAGCAAAACCTTTCTTCCGCAAGTGTTTAAATCTCTGCAAAAAAATAACCTAATAAAACATGAATAAAAAAGCATTATTAATTTCCATCGAAGGGATAGATGGTAGTGGTAAATCTACCTTAATTAAAAAACTAAATGAAACAATTATTAATTCGGTTATTACTCAATCACCCCGTGGCACTATTTTAGGAGAAAAAGTTTGGGACTTGGTTACGGAAAATTTGGTGAAAAGAAATTTAATTACTGATGTTTGAACAGAATTTTTTCTTTTTACTGCTAACCACAACGAGCACGTTTTAACCATAATCAAGCCTGATTTGGCTGCCGGTAAAACAGTTCTAACCGACCGTTATATTGACAGCACCTTGGTTTATCAAGGAATTAGAGGCAAAATTCCCATTACTAAATTAGTTGAGGTTTGACAAAACACTATTGATATTCCCTTTCCCGATTTAACTTTTGTCTTAGATATCGAACCAAAAAAAACCGTCGCAAGAATAAATCAAAGACGACAAGAAACGGGAGCAGAACCCAATAATTGAGACAATTCTAAGTTAGAATTTCACCAAGTAATTCGTAATGGTTATTTAAAAATGAAAAGTTATTTTCCGGAAAGAATTCACATAATTAATGCTGATAGAAGCCAAGACGAAGTATTTAAGGAAGTTTGGGAAATAATTGAAGAAAAGTCAAATAAAACAAATTCCTAGCCAATGAAAGTATATGGAATTAATGGCATTTCAATTTTTAGGAAAAGTGAGGAAAATAAGCAAAAAGAAAGTTCAGACGGGCGAATTTATTAAAGAGCCTTGTTGTTATGTTGACTATCCTCCGCCTTATCCAAAAGGAACGGAATATTACGAAATTATTTTAGAAAAGGACGAATTTAGCCAAGATTATAATGATTTTGAAAATGGAAAGAGCATAAAACTAGTATTTTTTTGGCCAGCAATCTGAAGTTGATTTTAGGAAAAAATTTGTAATTGGTGAAAGATATCGGTTCTACTGCACGGGCGGAAGTGGTTATTACTGACCGCATAATTGGGAAAAAATAAATAACGAGAAAAATGAATAAGAAAATAATTTGTTGCGAATTAGTTAGCAATTTATTACAAGTTCGCTGAGGATATGACGCTGAAGGCATTGAGGATTGCAAAAATGACTGTCCCAAAAAGGGGGATTTTTTACCCAGTTTGCGAAAGTGGATAAAAAGTTTTAGTGAAAACAAGGAGATAATATGAACCAGAATTGCAAAATTGTTTTCAGCAAGTAAGGGAACAATGGAAAAAGAAAACCAAAGAATGAGAAAAGAAATTTGATGAAAGGTTTATCGAAAGAAAAACGCCAAAAAGAAAAATTAAGTAAAGACGTTAAAGAAAAATTATAATAATGAACTCGCAAACTAAATTCACCATTAATTATGTCCGCCAAAGTTGACTGGATATTTTTCAACAAAAAGGCTATTATTTGTTAGAACCATCTTCCCTTATTCCTCACAATGACCCCTCTTTGTTGTGGATTAATTCCGGTGTGGCTACCTTAAAAAAATATTTCAACAATCCCACCTTGGCTCCAGCTCGTAATTTAGTAAACTGTCAACGAGTAATTCGCACCGACGATTTGGCGAACATTAACGCTCAGTCTTATCACCAAACTTTATTTGAAATGCTAGGAGACTTCTCTATTGGTAGCAATTTTAAAGAGCAAGTTATTCCTATTATTTGAGAATGATTTACTTCGCCCAAATGGTTAAATATGAACCCGCAAAACCTTTTTATTACGGTTTGAGAAAATGACCAAGTTAGTTATGAAGTTTGAAAAAAACAAGGAGTAAAAGAAAGCCATATTCTTTTCGGCAGTAAAAAGACTAATTTTTGAGATATGGGTGATGGTCCCTGCGGTTCTAATACCGAGTTATATTTTGACTTTCATAATGAGCAAGAATTACCAAAAAATATTGAAGAATTAGACAATAAGCGGTTTATTGAGATTTGTAATATTGTTTTCCCTGAGTTTTATCATAAAGGGGAAGAATATCTGCCTTTGGCCGAAAAATGTGTCGATACGGGTGCTGGATTAGAACGGATTGTCATGGTTTTGCAAGGGAAAAAAAATACTTTTGAAATTGATTGCTGAGAACCGGTTATTAAATTGATCGAGGAATGTGTTTCGGCTAATGATTTAAACATTTAATTAGAAAAAAGAGAAAAATAATGGACAAGGAACTTATGGGTAATTCAAAAAATAGATATATACATCTATATTTCTACATCAAACATTAAAGATTAAAATAGTATATTATGACTGAACTAATAATAATTAAAACGGACAACAGCGAAAAGGTGCGAAATCTGTTAAATAAAGAACAAATTTCTTACCAAGTTTTTTCCGAGCAAGACCAAGGAGAATTTTCCCAAGAAGATAAATTACTCCAAGAATACCAGGAAGCTTGACAAGACCCCCGCCGATTAGCTGAAGCAAAACAATGGGAGCAAGCCGCCATGACTGATTGAGCGGAAAGAGTCAAAAAAGAGCAAAAATAGATGGCCGAACGGATATTTAAGAGAGGAGAAGTTTACTGAGTGAATTTGCCGGACAAAGGCGGACATGAATTAAAAGACCTCCATATGGGAGTAGTGATTTCCAATAATCGCCAAAATCAAGCTAGTCCGGTAATAATTATTCTTCCGTTAACTTCCTTAAAAGAAGGAGATAAAATTTATTCCTTTGAAGTAGAAACTTTTATTAACAATAAGGCTGGCAAAATCTTAATCGACCAAATTACTACTACTGATAAAGTAAAAAGAGTGGGACAATTTGTCGGTCAGTTGGATGAAAAAATGCTGATAAAAATTGAACGAGCCATTTTTTATGTGCTGGCTATCTCGACCGAAGCACTAGCGGAAGAGTTAGACGCCAGAAGGAAAAAGATAATTAGTTAGTATGACAATAATCGCTTTTATCCCTAAAAAGGAAGAGGTAGGAATGCACCTCTGCTAATGGTTCAAAGACAAAACGATAAGAGATTTAATATACCTTATACTTTATTTTTCTGACGTTTGGTCAGTTGTTTTTTTTTTTTTTTTGCTAAAAAGTAAACGATTAATGCGCCACAAGTGGGAATTATCACTAAACTTGAATATTTAATTATTGGTTGAAATTGATTAGTTGTGGTATCAGCCTTAGATTTGCGGTTAGAGGAATTATCTGGGCTAGTTGGTTTTTGGCTTTTAGTTGGTTGATTGTTATTTTTGTTATCATCAACTTGGGTCAGTGGCGAGTTATCCGAAAGGGTGGTAGGAGTATCATTACCATTGCCAGAATTATCGGAAGGAGTGGGAGAACCATCCTGGGATGGCGTATTATTGTCATTATTAACTGGTGGACTATCGTTAACGTTATCGTTGGTGTTGTTATTTGGTGTTTGTTTCTCTCTTTGTTTTTGTTTGATACACTCTTTACATCACCCCTCGTAACCAGCTGGAAAAGTAGTCGGCTGTTCTCGTCGTAATTGACATTTTTTACATTCGGGGATATTATTTTTTTGATTTTGTTCTTCAATGTCTTTATATTTTTTGGCTAAGGATATTAAAAAGTTTTTTTCTTGGCTAAAATTACTAAGCAAATTATCAAGTTTAGAAGAAGCATTTTCGTAAATTTTGTTTCATTCTTCCCTTTCTTGGTCAGTTAATGAACAAGAAGCAATTGACGAACGACAAACAATAATGAATTGGTAATCATTATACTGATATTCTTTCTTAACAGTCTTTGTTTTGAGGTAATATAATTTTTCTTTAGCCTCTTTAATTTTCTCATAGAAAGGAGCAAAAACACTTTTTATTTCCCTAGTTAGTTCTTGGCTTTTGTCCTCAATCTCTTGAAGCAATTTTTTCTTTTTTTCCTCCAGTTTTTTGATTTCTTCTTTACAATGTTCGCTTTCGGCTTTTATTTTACAATTTGACGAGCAAACTTCTTCTTTCGTTCCAAAATCAAGTTTAAAATCTCGCGGAGGATTTTGGTATTTCCCTTTCAGATTTACATAGTCACATACATGGCAACCGTGCTGTTCACAATAACCTTTAACATTTGATTTAAATGGTTTTTCGCAAGGCTCCTTGAAGTTTCAAGGTAATTTTGCCATGTTTCTAAAATTCCAGCCATATCAGCATGTTATATCAAAGTTTACCATAAAATTATAGCTTTTTAATTTCTTCTATCGTCGCTTCAAATTTCTCTTCAACTTCAATTTCTATCCTTTCTTGCAAGTTTTTTAGGTGTTTTTCTAGTTCTCTTAGTTCTTTTTGTTTGACTAAAATAGTTTCTATCTCTACTTTATTTAATTTTTCAGTTAAAATTTCTTTTAATTCGGTTAACTCTTCTGAATTGGAATTTTCGGTTGAGAGTGATTTTAGATGCTCCTGTAATAATTTTTCCAGTAAATATTTTTCGGCCTTGTTAAGTTTATTTTTAGTGTTGTTAACTGCCTTTTCTAATTCGTTTTTTTTATTTGGAATTTGAATAATTAAATCAGTAATTTTTAATCTGGTGATTTCGGTTTCCAAGTTAGAGGGATTATCTGGTAGGTCAGGAAATAATATGCTGTTAATTTTCTCTAAACTTTTTTGCTCTTGATGAGATTGTGGGAAAATTAGTAAATTAGTAAGATTGTTATACTCTTTTTCATTAAAAGGGATATTGCGATAAACATTTTCTAATCAAGTGTTGTTATAAAGAGTGGAGTTGTTATAGTTAATAGGAAATTGAGTGAGGTTACTGCCTTGATATCAGTTATAAGTTTCTTTTCCTCCAAGTGCTATTAGACCACCTAGAACTATGTGTTTGATTTTGGTTTTTCAAGAAAGTTGATTATTTAATTTTTTTTTTTCTAACTCATTTTTTTCTGATTTTAGTTTGGTGAATTCTTGTTTTTTTTCTACTAATTCGAATGGAATGGTGAAATCAGAAAATGGTATGGATCCCTCAATAGTTGCTTTTCAACCCCAATAAATGGCAAAATACTGGTTAGTTTTAATTTTTTCATCTTCATTGATGCTTCAAATAAAATCAACTGCCTTATTTAATAAAAAATCAAATCGTAACCCATTGGTAATAATATTAAAAAACTCCTCCCAATGCGGCAAATTCTCTTTCCTGCTAGTATCTGCTTCTAATCAGTTTTTAAATTCTTGTCTAAAATTTGTCATATTATTTTGTTGTTTTTGTTTGTCTAAAATAACCCTTATTTTTTAAACACATTTTTCAATTCATTTTTTCACTTACCATAATATTAGTTTTATAAAATCTTTCTGCTCCTATATAAGTGATATTATTAGGTTATATTTATAACTATGAATAGTTAATTTTTTAAAATAGTTCTCTGGTGTAATTTTCGGTGAAAATTAATAGCATAACGGTGAACTTCTTCTTGACAATTAGTCAAAAAATTCTTAATTCTCTCATTTTTCCCAAAATCTAATTCTTTTAACTCATTAGTAATTATTTTGGCGGTGCGGTGATTTTCGTCCTTAACTAGTCCAATTACTGGGGCTTTTAATTTTAATTCTTGTAAAACTTGCTGAACGGCTTTTACTTGTTCTTTTCCCCCATCAACTATTATTAAATCGGGCATTTTTTCAGGTGAATATTTTTGGTAATGAAGGCGACAAGCGGTCTTTATCCTTGCTATATCACTTTCCTGCTCAGTTTTTGCTAGTTTATAAAGTTTGCTTTTCAGCAGATTTTTTTCACCATTAATAAAAGTTAAAAATCCCGCCACTATATCCTGCTTATAAAGGTTAGAAATATCCAAACATTCCAAATAATTGGGTGCGGTAATGGCTAAAAACCGGCTTATTTCCGTCAATGCTTGGCTTTTATTGACTTGTTGAAACTCATTTCAGTAGTTCTTTTGTCAAACCTGCTGAGCATTGGTTTGGGCTAAATTAATTACTTCTTTTTTGCGACCTCGTTGGGGTGATTTACAAGCAAACCCCAACTCTTCTGCTAATAATTCAATTCCTGGTAATTTTTGCGAAATATAAAGTATTTGCGGTGGTAAATTATTCTGGTAAAACTGGTACAGATAAGTTTCGACAATTTCGGCTTGGTTGCCCCAAATGGGAAAGGCTGCCTCATCAGTAGCCACCAATTTTCCATAGCGGTAAATCAGGAGATAAAAAGCCATGACCTTTTCTTGCTGATAGATACCGAAAAAATCACAATTTTCCTCTTTACCAAATTCAATATTTTGTTGGCTAGTAAAAAAGTCAATATTATCAAGTATTTTTTTTTCTTTATGAGCGATTTCAAAAGCTAAATTAGTAATATTTTTCCGTAGTGAGTTTTTGATTTTCTGCTTTATTTCTTGGGTTTGACCATGAAAGAATTTCCGAACTTCTTTTTTAATATTTTCGTAGTAGGATTTGGCTACTGGTTGTCAACAATGTCCCGAACATTGATTAATGGTATAATAAAAACAAGGTTTGCCGAAATTACCTTTACATTTAGCGAGCGGGAATAATCTTTCTAATAATTGTAAAATTTCCCGGGCTTTGCTACCGTCCGGAAAGGGACCGCAATATTCATTGGGACTGGTCAGATTAATTTTCCGCACTACTTTATAACGAGGATTTTCCCCACCGGTAATTTCCAAATAAGGATAATAATGGTTATCTTTTAGCAGAACATTAAAACGTGGCTGATACTTTTTAATTAGGTTTTGTTCTAAAATTAAGGCTTCTTTGACATTATTAGTAATAATAGTATTAAAACTATGAATTTGTTGATGAAAATAATTGTCGGGGGAACTGGGAAAATAACTACTAACCCTCTTTTTCAGATTTTGAGCTTTGCCAACATAAATTATTGCTCCTGTTTTATCCTTGAATAAGTAGCAGCCAGGATTATTCAGAATGTTATTAATTGTCGGTTGAGAAATCAATTTATTATTTAATTCTCGAAGCATTATTAAAATTTAACTGCTTAAATTGAGTAAGCCTAATGATGAAACACTAATTAGTTTTTTTTGTCATATTCATCCTTTTCTTCTTCGGATAAAGCATCATATTCTTTAATTTTCTTGTTGTGTTCTTCAATAAAATCTTTTGCCCAATTAGAATGTTTCATGCCAACAGTTAAAATTGGCTTTCTATTTTTACAATTACATTTTCAACGAGTTAAGTGGAGAGGATTTATTTTATAAGGAATTCCATCATGAACTCTTTCTGCTTTTTCAAAATCATCGTAATTCCTAAAAGGGTCTTTGATTTTAGAATTAAATATTCTAAACTGACTTTGACAATCTTGACATCAAAGAACAGGACTGTTATGTTTTCCTTGATTTTTTTTCTCTTCATATCTTCCAATAGTCTCATTAACACAATGATAACAAACCTTTTTGTTGTTTTCTATTAAACTTTTAATATTTCTCAGTTTACCACAAGAGATACATTTTTTTACTTCTTCGTCTTCCATAATTTAAACATTCCAAGAGTTATAATAAGAGGAATAAATATTAAGAACAGATGTTCTTTCATGCTTATTGCTGCTGTGTTTGCGATAATGTTCGTGGTGATGACAGTGTCCATCAACTTTTAACATAGTTGGATTTTCTTTTCGAGTATCAAAACAACCAGCACAACAACCACCATCGTTAGGACTTTCTACACACTTGCTAACTTAATCGTTTGAGCAAGTAGTTATCAAGTCATAAAGTTTTCTAATAAAATCAGAACCTAAAAATCATTGACCAATATTTGCTGATTTTGTCCCTGAAAAATGTTTTCTACCATCAAAATCTAAAAACAAAATTTAAGAGAGTATAAAAAAAATGGCAGTTAATGCTCTTAGCAAATAAAATTTTTCTTCACTAAAATTTCTTTATCTTTCTATTTTTCGAAAACTGACATTCGTTTTGCACGAAATAATATATAAGGATGATTGGTTTCATAATGTGGATCAATAACTATTAACTACTTCGTTTAGGCATAATCAACTCTACAACTTATTTTTTATTATCTCTAGTTTAACTAATTATTATATTTGCTTCCGTCATATGCTTTTTGGAATATAGCATCAGAACCAGTTAATTATCAGATTAATTATGTGGCAAACAACCAAGTAATTGAAATTTCCCAATAATCATGGCCAGTATCGAATTAAAATTCTCTGGAACTTTCCAAAAAGATGATTATTTAAAGGATTTTTCCTGCGGCTATTGTCAGCAATATCTTTCCAAAAAAGATATTAGCCAAGGCAATTATCGCCTTTATGTTAGCGACTATGCTAATGAGGTTAACAAAGATGACTATTTTTCCGAACGGTTGGGACGGCACCTAACCACTTACGGCTTAAACTTCTGATTAAAAGCGGTCGAGCACCTGGAATGTTTGGAGGAGGATTAACCTCCCTCCTTTTCTCGAACATCTGCGTTTGTGCTTAATGAATTATAAATGTTGACCTGCTAATTTTCTTTCTTCGGTAATTTTTACTTGTAAAGGTAAATGTAATTTATCCACATAAGCAATTAAACTATCCAAGGAAAAATTTTCAGTATAACCACGGAGTAATCTAGCCGTAGCATTTTTATCTAAACCGAGCCGATTGGCTATTTCTGCTTCTGAAAGGTTATTTTTAACCAGATAGCGAGTAATTACTTGGCTAAATTGGTATTTGGTTTTCTCGCTGACACTAGAATTTTCACTTGGCATTCAACTTCCTAAACAATTATCACTTTCTACTCACTGAAAAACTTTCTCCTCCTCAGGGTCAATGGGCATTTTAATGATTTCCTCAGTATTTTTTTTGCTGGTTGTCATAATGCAAATATTATTATTGTGCTATACTGCTATTTTACTGTTAATCAGGATGACAAGTTCGCACTCACAAGTAAGCATCAGGCTCTTTTCACCATCATCACACTAATTTATATCTTTGCTCGTCTTTTTCGGGGTAATCTTTAAAGTAGTTTTTTTCTTTTCCTTGCTTGCCACTGAAAGGAAAATAGCGAGTATTCAGTAATTCCACCATCTCGATAATTCCTTCTCGGGTAATGCCATGCTTGAAGTGTTTATCGCAATGAGAACTAATGCCGACATATTTAATTAGTCGGTCATTGATGGCAATTGAATTGGCTAGCGGACGCAGGTAATAGGTAATTACTTCTTTTTGGTCTTTTTCTTTACTTGGCACAAATTATATAAAGATTTTAAGTGAATTGCTAATTAATTTGCCAGTGTCCTCTTACTGAAATTTATTCCCGACCTTTTTATGCCTTTATTCCTCTCATTTCTGACAATCAACCTAGTTTTAAGAACATTTTCCTATTAATTTACTGTAATAATAGTAGTGGTAATAGGATTAATTTAAAACAAAAAATAGATATTATAGTCAATGTCCAAGAATAGTTGGATAAATAATGTCTGAAAGAAGAAAGACACGAGGTTAAAAAATACACATTAGAAATATAGTTAATAGAATAAGTATTAAATACAATTAAAGGGGAAAATTGAACAAATATTGCATGAGGAATTTGGTGAAAGATTAGGAAAATACTACCAACAAACTAATCCTAAGCTAACAACTAATGATCAACAAATTATTGAACTAGAGAAAATTCTCAATAATCTTGGTTTAGCCTTGAACGATAGCAGAATTGAAAATACAAATACTTCTCAAGGTTTGACTATTTTTCAATTTGAAACAGAAGAAAGGATAATTAAGATGAAAAAACCAAACCAAACTTATTACCAAGCCCAAATTCAACAAGTTAATCCTGGTTCGAGTAAATAACTATAAAAAAATCTAAAAGCAAATACCTAAAATTACTTAATAATTGCGCTTATAGTTCAGTGGATAGAATATTTGATTGCGGTTCAAATGGTCGGAGGTTCGATTCCCCCTAAGCGCGCCAAATAAATCCTAAATTCATTAAAAAAAATGGTAAAAAAAAATATTGGTTTCGGGTTAAAGTCCCAAGAAAGCAATCCCAAAATTAAGGAGGGAGAATTAGTAGGAATTGCCATTCAGACCTGGGATAATTATATTTGAAGCAGTTGTGGTTATTTAATGCTTCCTAACGACCCGGCGGCAATTCAATTTTTAGAAAAAAAGCGGCTGAGCCAAGAGCATTTTTTTTGATTACAGACGGAAGCGGAAAAAATACGAGTAGAAGAATTCAAGGAAGATATAATATTTTCTGAGGACGGAAAAGAAATTAGACCGATAACCAAGAAAAAAGTCTACGCGGAGGACCCTAATTGAGGGCAAAACATTAAGTTTCTTTACTGTAAAAGCATGAGATATTTTATGCCCCAAAAGGTGATTCGGAATGAAAGCAATCTCCTCCATATCGAAATTGAACCCATGGATTTTTATGAGAAGGGTCCAATTGATAAGCTAATATTCATCGGAGAAAAAATTAACCAATACCGAGATTTAATTGTGGGAAATCTAGGAAAGGAATTCAAAATAGAATTGCCTATATTTGCTGACCCTAAATTACCAATTGACACTAATGAGTGAAACGAAGCATATAAACATAAAATTGAATTAGCGGAGGATTGTAATAAGCCCGAAAAGTCTGCCCCCGAATTAAAAAAAATTGTCACCGAATATTACCGAGAAAAGGATATTAAAATGATGAAATTAAATGCTGAGGATAAGGAATTTCTGGATATTGTTTTTAATGATGGTAAAAATAGACGGTCGGATACTTTTTCTGGTTCTCGGGATAGACAAAAATTCGAACAAGTAAAAATCTATTTAAAAAGTAATAATAAGGAAACTCTTACTTATTCAGAGTTAAGCGATAGTTCTAACACTAATCCTTCTCGTAATCCTAATAAAGGAAACAGTATAAGTGGTGGAGAAATTACTTTGCTAATAGTTGGCACGATATCGGTGGTGGGTTTTTTTAGTTGGCTGATATGAAAAGGAAAAAGAACCGATGCCGCACCTACAACCAGAATCAGAAGCCGAGGATAGAAAAAAAATATATGAATAAAAACAATCAAGAAATTAAAATAAAATTTAGTTTATGTCTATAATGTCTAATAATTTAAAAATCTTTGCCCTGGGTGGCTTACACGAAGTGGGAAAAAACTGTTATGTTTTGGAAAAAAATAACGACCTAATTATTGTTGATTGTGGCATTAAATTTCTCAATGGCAGTAATTTAGCCGACGGTACTATTCCTAATTTTATTTACCTCTTGGAAAACAAAGAAAGAATAAAAGGTTTGTTTATCACTCACGGTCACGAGGATCATATTGGTGGCATCCCTTATTTATTACAATTAATTCCTAATATTCCCATTTATGGTTCGGATTTTTCCATTTCCCTTTTAAAGCAAAAATTACGCGGAGAAAGTAAAGAAAAAACTACTATTTTTCAAGATGATACAATAATATCCACCGGCGAATTTCGCGTCAGTTTTTTTCGGGTAACCCATTCTATTCCCGGTGCTTTTGGTTTGATAATCGAGGTTATACGAGATAATACCAGAATAGTTATTACCGGTGATTTCAAATTTGATTGAACCGAAATTGGCGAAAAGTTTGATTTGGTTAAATTAGCCGAAATTGGCAAAAAAGGAGTTGATTTGCTACTAAGTGATTCGACTAATTCCGAAGTAGAGGGCAATACTCCCTCAGAAGCAAAGGTAGTTAAACGATTAGAAAATATTATTACGGCAGCAACCGGGCGAGTAATTATTACTTCTTTCGCTTCCAATGTCTATCGTTTAAAAAAGGTCATTGAAATTGCAAAAAAAACCGAAAAAAAAATTGTTTTGCTCGGTTCTTCACTGTTAAAAATGATGAAAGCCATTCAGAAGGCCAGTTTGTGAAAGATTGACAACACAATTTTTTTAAAAGCGGTGGATATTGCTAAAACTCCGAACAACAAGTTAATTATTTTCTGCACTGGTTCCCAAGGAGAGGAAAGGGCGGTTCTTAGTCGTCTCGCTCACCAAAATTATCCGGATTGAAAAGTAGCGTCCGGCGATTCAATTATTTTAACTTCTTCCCCGATTATGGATAATAAATTTAATGTCGAGATAATTAATAATAAGTTATTTGCTTTAGGAGCCAAGGTCTATGAAAACAATAAGGAGGATTTACTTCACGCTTCCGGACATGCTTGTCAAGAAGATTTAAAACTAATGCTTACGTTGGCTAAGCCTCGCTATTTTATGCCGTTTCATGGGGATTTTCGCATGCTGAAAAAACACGGGCATTTAGCTCAAGAATTAGCCATACCAGAAAAAAATATCTTTGTTTGTAGTAATGGTGAAGTAGTAGAAGCCAAAGATAAAGAATTTTTTTTGAGTAAAAAAAAATTGCCGGCTCAACCTAACTATGTTCTTAATGGCCGGTTACTGCCAGCTGAGGAATTAAATAATAACCTAGTTTTGCGGGGAAAAATGTCCCAAGGAGGATTTTTTCTAGTGGTACTTTTCTATGATAGGAAAAAAAAGAAGTTAACTTCTTCTCCTTACATTTTTACTTATGGGTTTATTAATATGAAAAAGAACGAGAACTTAATCAATGATTGAAAATTGAAAATTGCGTCACTAGCAAAGAGCAAAATTAATGAAAAGGAACCAAATTGAGGTGAGGAAATTAAAAATTATATGGAAAGGGAATTATTAAAAGGTTGAAGTAAAGAAAAACCCTTAATACATACCATGGTGGAATATAGATAAAACTTATTACTTTAAAGTTTTATCGGCAGAACAAACCCTTGCTTAATAATTATAATTGGAGTTCATGAAAAAAATATTCAGCCCAAAAATGTAAGTCATTTATTGATTATGACATTAAGACATATTGGAGTCTATTATAACTTTAAAGAAAATAAAATCAAACGGAATAAGCAAGACGATTGGCAAGAATTAACTAAACAATCAGAAAGGAAATTAGTTGGTTATTTTAAAGAGGTAGGTTGAACGGTTAATATTCTTCGAGAGAGAAATAATGATATCTATTGTCTGATTGAAGTTTATAATGAAGGAAACCCGAGATATTTTCGTTCTATTTTTGCTAGAAATGAATGGATAGAAACCCCCCTACATGATAATGACTTTTGATTTATTTGCCATGAAGTATTTAAGGACAATAATTATCAAATAGAAAAAAATATTGAGTGTGATTATTGCTGAGAAGCCATTAAGAATAATAATGATTTAGCAATTGGCAATATTAGCCTAGTCAGTGAAAACATAAAAATTGCTGAGATAAAGTTCAAAGAGGAGAAACCGAAGAATTTTGAACTACTTGAAAATGTCCCCGGTGCGGAGAAGAAATTAAAATAAGTAAAATAACTGGTTGTGCTTATCATTGCTTTACTAATTATAAATTGAAATGCGTTAAAACAACAAAACAGAGAGATTATCTATTCTAATATGGTTATCTTTCTCAATACTTGCAGAATTTATCAGTAATTGTTTGTTAATTTCAAGTAATTAATAATTCACTCGGTTACTTTCTCTTTTTCCACCAAAAATTCTTGCCTTTTTTGGCAGTCTTTTATGGTTATTTTCTTTTTTGTTAGTTCTTGTTCTCCCAACATAATTAATATTTTTGGCTGATAATAATCAATAATTTTGGAAAGTGATTTTATTTTTCTAACTTCTGGGTTATAATCTACTACTAAGGGATATTTTTCTAATTGTTTTTTTCAGACTAAAATATCTAAATAAATTTCTGGACTGGTAGCCAAGAAAAAAACATCAACTGACTTATTAATTTCTAATAATTGTGAACTTTCTAAATAATCTGCTAGTCGCTCAATTCCAATAGCAAAGCCAACAGCAGGAGCATTTATATCTCCTACTTCTCGGTACAGATTATCATACCGACCGCCTCCCAAAAGCGCTTTTCACTCTTGTGTCGTATAAACTTCAAAAACTAATCCCGTATAGTAATCCAAACCTCGCACTAAAGAATAGTCATATTGATGAGGAAAATTAAATTTATCTAAAACTTGACTAAGTTCATTTACATAATTATTATCGCTTTTATCCCAAGCATCTTTATAAGGAGGAAAAGAAGTTTTTCTTACGCAAAATAAACAATCAAGTATTCGGAGGGGATTGGTTTTGCACCTTCTTTGACAAAGAGCACAGAAATTAGGATTAGCAAATTGAATAAATTTTTCTAGTTCATTTTTATATCTTTTTTTTGTTTCGCTATCGCCTAAATAATTTAAATTAAAAACAAAATCTTTAATCCCTAGAATCCGCAAAATATCGTAAACTAACTTTAATATTTGATAATCAGCGATAACTCCTTGGGCGTTAACTAATTCCACTCCTAATTGTCAAAACTCGCGGTGTCGCCCTTTTTGCGGTCGTTCATAGCGGAACATATTGGCTCAATAATATAATTTCAAAGGATAACCTTCGGTAATTAGTTTATTTTGACAGACCAAACGCACGGTGCTGGCTGTCCCTTCCGGTCGCAATGCCATTTCTCGGCCTTTTCTATCAAGAAAAGTGTACATTTCCTTATGAATAATATCGGTGGTGGAACCCAAAGAGTTAATAAATAACTCTTTGTATTCAAAAGTGGGAAAAATTATTGGTTGATAATTATTTTTGCGTAATATTTCAGTAGCAGCTTGTTGGATTTTTTGGTAAATTAGTGAGCGAGGTGAATAAATATCTTGAGTGCCACGAGGCTTGGTCTTTGAAAAATTATTGTGCGAAGCATCACAAAGTATATACTTATTGCAAAAATCTTTTATTTTGTCAAGCGAAAACAAAGTTTCAAAATTAATCACTTCTAAACTCTCAGGTGCTTTTCTCAAATGAGTTATGTAGTTTGCTAGATTTTTGCTTTGTTTGACAAGCTTCAAGTATTCTGTTAAACTTAACGTTCGAATTCCTCCTTTTCGGCTATCATGATAATTATAATATACAAAAGAAAACTCTTCTTTGTTTGAACTTTCCTTGATATAATTACTCAAACTATTTAATATTTTTTTCTTTGCCTCTTTGAAGGCATCTTCATACTTTTCATACTTTTCATCATACTCAAAAGGAAAAATTTGGTAAAGTCCATAGCCAAGGTTTTTATTGGCAAAAGAGTCATCGCAACTTTTTGAATTCGCTTTGTGTATTTCTATAAATATTTCTATTAATTTGATTTCCTCCGATATTTTATTCATATAGAATTTAGATATTAAATTTTTTTACTAATTTCTTGCCAAAAAAGAAATAATTGAAAATATTCTGTCGGTTTTAGATTTTGCGGACGAACTTTGTCTGAATAACCCTTTTCAAAAAAATATTTTTTTCATTCATTTTCTCAATTTCCCGCAAAACTGTAAAGATTATTTAACAGAGTTTTCCGCCGCGAGCGAAAACAATTTTTTAAAAAGCGGAAAAAAGCAACTAATTGCTCTTTTGACTTGGCAATATCCTCATAAGGTTTAATTATCACCACTGCTCCATCAACTGACGGAGAAGGAGTAAAAACCCCTTGCGGAACTTCTAAAGTAATTTTATTTTCGGTCAAATAATTAATAAAAACTGATAAGGCTGAATATTTAGAAGAATATTTGGTCGGACTAGACACTCATTTTTGCCCAACTTCTTTTTGCACTAAAAAAATTAAGGATTTAAATAAATGATAATCAAATAGTAAATTAATTATTAAAGAGTTAGTTATATAATAAGGCAAATTGCCAACTATCAGCAAAGAATTGGTTTGGTACTGGGAACAAAAATTAGGTCAATTAATTTGCAAAGCATTTTGATGAAGATAAACAATTTTGTCATTTTTATTCCTTTCCTCTAATCAGCGAAATAATTTGGGGTCTTTTTCGATACTTATAACTTGTTGACAATTTGTTGCGGCTAATAAGTTAGTTAAACTGCCATAACCACTACCAATTTCAATTATTATCGTGTTGTTATCAATGGGACAACTTGCCACTATTTTTTGCAGATAATTTTTATCAAAGAGGAAATTTTGCCCCAATTCTTTATTAGGCGGAAAAAGTATTTGGGGGGAGATAGTTTTTTTCATTAGTGCTTGGTTAATTTACAATAATTTTAAGGTATTAGTATATTAAATTATTGTTTTTCGTAGAGGAGAGAGGGTAAGACTTTTTTTCTCTTATTCACTAATTCTCGTTCCTCTTGTAGGTTTATTAACTTGATTAGTGATATCTGGTTGTAATTTCTGATGTCCTTGCTCTAATTTTTCTTTTTTTGTCCTGAAATCTCATACAACATAAAATAATGAATATAGATGAAAGTTAATAAAGTTGCTAGTCTCAAACAGCAACCCAACGGAACTTATTATTGATTAAAGGATAATTGATTACCCTTAAAGAAAAAAGTGGTTATTCTTCTAATTAAAATAAATTAAATAAAGAATATTATGTCAAAAAATATAAATAACAAAAAGGTCTTAGCCGAAAAATTAAAAAGTTATTTGAACGCGCCGGAATATGTGGCAGTCCCTGATTTAATTAAAGATGGTGATTATGGTCCTGATTTAGTTTGCCACGGGAATGGAGAAATTGTTTCCTGACTTAGAAGAAAATTAATTACAGAACTACCCGATTTGATTAATTGTAACGATTTAGAACCTGCTGATTGAAAGGAAATAACTAAACTAATTAAAAGGAGAAATGAGGAAAGAAAAAAAAATTACCAAGCCAAAATAAAGAAAATCGAGGATAAGATAAAAAACCAGCCTGGGTTATTTTATTATTATGGCGAACAAAGCAGAAATCAGCCAGGAAGTTCAATTAATTATGGAGATAAAAAAGGAGCATATTTTGTGCTTGAAGGAATTGAAAATGGTCAGAGGTTTACTTTAGATATTAATAACAGCCATCCAGTTTTAAACACTTTTCCATATAAGGAACATGGATATTATTTAATTGAAACGGACCAGCCGATAGAAAGAAATGACGGCGTGGTTCGGCCGTGAAGTAGTGGTGGCGAAACTAATCCCAGCAATTTTCATGAATGAATAGAAGTGGGCGATAAAATTACCATTACTCCTTATCAAGTTGAAACTAATAATCAATTGCCTGAAAACCCAAAAAGAGATTTAGAACCAAAAGGAAAAACAGGTTGCGATACTTGCCACAAAAAGTTAGGTCGTGATTGAGGAGGTTCCGATAATTTTTACATTATGAAGCGTTATCATGGTAAAGTTAATATAGGAGGTTCAGTGATATGAAATTGCCTTGATTGCTACTCAACCAAAGAGCAAGAATATTTACAAAATTATGAAACTGTTTGAGAAAGATATTTAGATAAGGACGGAAGCATTGATTATCGTCAAATAAAATTCTCTTTTATTGATTGCTACGCTAGCCATAAAGACCCAAATGGCCAAGTATTACAACAACAAAACTGCTCGCATTGTCAACCCTGGAAACACCATGAAATTCCTAATCTAAATAATAAAGAAGTTATCGATTTTCTAATTAACTACTTCCAAGAAAAAAACATTAAAAAAATTAAACTAGTAAATGACGAATTAGTAATTGAGTATAATGATAATAAAAATTTCTCCTCGGCGGCAAAAACTAGTCCAGAAAACCAAACACTAAAAAAATACCTCATAGAGCAAAATATTAAAGAACTGACCAGGCAAGAATTAAGAAATAGGGCTGATAATACTACCTCAAACAAAGCACCTAACGATAATAAAGTAATTTGAATAAGTGTTGGAATAGGAGGGGCATTATTATTAGGAGTAATTGTTGGATTGTTAATAAAAAGAAAGAAAGCGATAAAAAATAATTAATACATGGCGGAAGACTTGAAAAATTTCTTTTTAGATCTACAAAAGCGAGAAGTAATTGTTAATGCCGCTAATTTAGAAAATTTTTACCAGTTGGAACCTCAACAAAAAGTAATTTACTTGGGAATAGACTGCACGGGTGAAAGATTACATATCGGTCATTTATTTTCCTTAATTCAAACAATTCGTTTTGCCAAGGAAGGATTTACGGTTTTGCTAGTCTTGGGCGGAGCGACCAGTAAAATTGGCGACCCCAGTGATAAATTACAAGAACGACCCCAACTAGCAACCGAAAAATTAAATCAATATTATCAAGCGATAAAAGACCAAGTTACGCAAATAGTAATTCGCCCACCAATCGCAGAAACCAAAAAGGAGTTAGATTTTGCTCCTTTGGAGTTATTTTATGCGGATAATCCACAATTACTAAGTAATATCTACCAAGTATTAAAGATAAAAAAAGAGGATAGTGCCGAAAAAAAATGAGCCAAATATTTAAGTTATATTTGACCTGACCCAGCAAATAAGTTTCAAATATTAAATAATAATGATTGATTAAGTCAAGTAAGTTTTATTGATTTTATTAGTCAAGTGGGACGAAATATTAGTATTAATTATCTACTGGCTAAGGAAACAATTAAACAACGAGTAAATTCCGAAACTGGTTTGTCATTTTTGGCGTTTAATTATTCGCTTTTACAGGCTTATGATTTTTACTATTTATACCAAAATTATAATTGTCATGGGCAATTAGGCGGGAGCGACCAGTGGGGAAACTTGACTACTGGCTTAAAATTAATTAGAGGGTTTTATCCTACTAATAAAACTTTTGCTTTTAACTTTCCTTTGCTAACTGATAAAGACGGCAAAAAATTTTCTAAAAGTGAAAGCGGCAAAAAGATTTTGTGATTAAATAGTAACCAAAAAGACTTCTATGATTTTTTCCGTAATATGCCCGATGAACAGGCCAAGACTTATCTCAAACAATTTACTTTTTTGACCGAGGAACAAATTGCCGAATTAGTAAAATTAAATGATCCTCCTAAGTTGCGGATAGGTCAAAGAATATTATATGAGTTGATTTATTGACTTAATTATGGGGAAATTGGGCGAGTTCCTAACTAAACTACTCAAACCCAAGAAAGAAAATGTATAAAATTGTATAATATAAATAATGACGAAAAAAAAGAATGGCAAAGTCAAAATAAATCAAGTAAAAAAGCTAATTAACGCAAGTTAGTTTAAGCACAATTACGAGTTAAAATAAATTAAAATAAATTAAAATAAATTAAAATAAATTAAAATAAATTAAAAATATACATATGGTAGAAAAAATAAGAATTAAAACTAGAATAGAAACTGCTGATTTTCCTACAATAGCAAAAAGTGCAAACAATTACACTACTCTCAAAATTAATAAGAGTGGGAATAAAGAACTGTATTTTTTTAATAATGATAATTTGAAAAAAATTGGCAATTGAGGACTTTCAGAAATAAGCAATGTCACTGCTGAGAAAAAGAAAAAAGATATTAAAACTATTGAATTGATTTTATCAAATAAACTAGCAGGTCGTGTTATGGGTTTAATAGAACTAAAAGATGCATTGAAAGACGATATCACTGCCGGTGATGAAGTTAGTAATACTCATTTTTGGGTTGAGTTAAATGAAATTGAATATGATAAAAGTAAGGGTATAGTTGACAATACTGGCAAACTTATAATAAGTGCTAAACCGAGTGATGTTAATGCCGGCAAGGTTTCTTGGCTAACTGGCGACCATTCAGATGATGCTAAAAAATTAGTGACTATCAATGCTAGTAATATTAATCAAAAAGCTGATGAGGTAGAATATAAAACGGAAGATACGGGAATTTTTAATGGACCAAGGGACGCACTTTTAGCCTTGGAAGATAAATTAGATGGAATGAAAGAACATTACACTAAAGATGAAGGCGACATTGCTAACCGCGATATTGATGCTGACCTTACTTTTTTGGAAAAATATAATGATGCTGATACAACCTCAAACGAGCAAAAAGTTTACGTTATAAGATGATATAAAGACCAAGTTGACACATGAAATCGGAGATTAAGAGAGTGAAAAATTTGAAAAAAATTGGGAGTAAAAAGTGTTAATGATGTCTTGCGGGCTAACGCTAATGGTTATATCATCGCATTTCGCAATGATACTACCGCAGAAGGTGATGATAACTTTTTAGTAGGTAATTTTGATCCTGGGACTGATAATGAGAATTTGATATGGAAAGATGGTGTTAATGATGAAACGCACGACGAAATTAAGAAAATATTTGATACTTTAAAAAAATCTTCCACAGGGGTTCCAACTTACAAAGGATTTCCTATTTTTGATAGGGAAAAACAAAAAAAAACAAAAGTTGACAACACTACTGATGATAAGGAAAAAAATCGCCGAGAATTCGAAATAACAGGAACAGGTGGTACAATTATTGAAAATACTGAAACTACTTGCGTTTTCAGTAATATTGACACTTTTCGCCAAGTGTTTACGGATGAAAATAAAGTGGGGCAAAAACAATGCCGAGGCTTTGAACCGGGTGATATTATAAAAGATGGTACTGATTATATTTATATTGTTAAAAATAACTCGCCGGGTAATTCGGTCAAGGATAGTACGGCACTTATTGTTGAAGATGATGTTGTTGACAAAACAGGGCAGAAGAAAAATACAGAGTTAAAAAGCAATGAAGCCACACGAAACATTTTTGACATTCTTCATGCTGGTGATAATAGTAATGCCGATTTAATTAGAACCGGAAAAAACGATAATGTTAACAACATGATTAAACATTATTTTCAATTCGATTTAGGAAATGAAGGAGAAAATGTTAGTCAATACGAAAAGCAGTTAGACACGTATTACCTAGCGGCTCGAGCCAATAATAATTTTAATCCTTCTTATGAAGATGGTACTAAATCGAGTGCTTCTGATGCTGATAAAGAGAATAAGAACAAAATTGATAAGGCTTACGATGAAGCCAAAGCGGTATTAGAATTACTAAAAGTAAATTACTCAGACAAAACTAAGGTTGACGACAGTAAAGCCACCGCAGATGAAGCGAAATTAAAGGCAGCCCAAACAAAGTTTGATGGACTGAAAAATGATATAATTGCTAAACTTAATCAAATTAAGGGTAGAAGTGGACAAGGACCAAATGACAAACTAGCCACCGAAGATGAGATAAAAGCTAAACTCTTTGACACTGAAAATCCGGATGAAATTGGCAAGAAAATTATTGACGCGGCCAAGGGGAAAATTACCACGGGTCAACTTGATAAATTCAAAACTTTGTATGAGGCCCTGAAAAAAACTCACGGGTCTAGTTTCACGGCCGATAAGGCAACCAAAGATGCCATCAGTCCGTATGTTACTGCGACGAATGATAATTCAGACGAGAAAAAATTATGAAATATAATTAATGCTGATACAGTGAAAGAAAAAGGCACTGATGCTGAAACTTGAGCGATGAAAGGTTGAAATAAGGTCAAGGATTTCGAGCCAAAACAGCAAAAAACTTCGTTACAAGAAGCCCAAGAGGCCTTGAAAGCGGCTCTGGGAGGTGAAACTGATGCCAAATGAACGGCAGTAAACAATAAACTGAAAAATAATGATACGGTTGAGGTTTGAAAAAAAGCCAAAGAGATTTATGAGATTGCTAAGAAAGTTATCGACGGAAAGGATAGTAGTAATGAAGGGTCAAAATTAAAAGGTTTGAAAGATAATAACTCTGTTGCCTGAGCGGCCATAAATGAAATTAAGGTGGGTAGCGACAATTATGCGGACAAAGCACTTACTACTTATCAAGCTAATCAAAAGGCTCTCGATAAAGTAAAAGCGGAAACTAAAAATGCCGTAAAATTAGGAGACGAAGAAAAAGCCAGAAAGGCTGCCGAGGAAGGGAAAAATATCCCCAAGTATGACTCTGACGAAAGAATTAAAACAAGAGTTAATAACCTGATAGTCCGGGCTCCATTGGCGGCGAAATTAGTTAAACTCAACACTGAGGACAGCAAATTATTGGCTAAATTATTGATTAAGGACGTAGTCAAGTATAGTGACAAGGATGGTGAGACTAAGAAAAATAAAACTCATTTAGCAAGGTTGGAAGAAATGGAGAAAGATTTAAAGGATTTCCAAAGTTCCACATCAGGTGAAAAACACAAAGCTTATACTCATGATGCAGGAATTGCCCCGGCTGTCACTGCTTTATTAGAGGAGATTAAGAAGCAAAAAGCACTATTCGAGAAAGAAGAAGACAAAAAAAAACAAAAATCTGGTGATGACAAACCATTCTTGAAAACTCCACTAGGTTATTTGACGATTGGTATAGTAGTGTTAGCTGTAATAGGAGCGATTGCTTACTTTATCAAAACTAATAGTAGTGAAGAAGGTGAAGGTGAGTAGTTGTTGTCACCGTTAACCAAAAAAAGTTGCTAAAGCTGACTAAACCGTTGAAACTAATAGTGAGGGCGGAAATTTAATCCGCCCTCCTTTTCTCCTCTTCCTTTAAAAATTACTAAAAAAATGCCTGCTCCGCTTCTAACCAACCAAAAAGAAAAAGTACTCGCCACCATTAGTGAAGTATTAGGAAAGGCCGATAAAATAGATAAAGATATCTTTTATCAGGAAGTAGAGAAAAGTATTCGACCCGATATTTCAACTGGGGAAATATTTAAGATGGTCTTGCTAACTGCCACTAGTTTTTTAGAAAAAGACCCTGCTTACGACCAACTAGCTGCTAATTTCTTACTGCGACAAAATTATTGAGAGATATTTACGGAAACTTCTCCCAACCCAAGCAATTATCAGCAATTATTCATTACTAATATTCAGTTATTAGTAGCAAAAGATATTTTGGATCAGCGTTTGCTACAATTTGACTTGGAAAAATTAAGTCAAGCACTAGTTCTGGAACGAGATGAATTATTTAATTATCTCGGGTTAGAAACTTTGACTGGTCGTTATTTACTGCGACGGGATAATGTTCTTTACGAAACACCGCAATTTTTTTGAATGCGGGTCGCGATGGGTTTAGCAATAAATGAGCCAGCTAAGAATGAGAAAGCGATTAGTTTTTATAATCTTATTTCTGGTTTACGTTTTGTCCCCAGTACTCCCACTTTATTCCATGCCGGTTTAACCCGCGCCCAATTAAGTTCTTGTTTTTTAACCACGGTTAGCGATGACTTAAATCACATTTTTAAGTCTTTGAATGACAAGGCTAACTTACTAAAATATTCCGGGGGAGTAGCCACCGACTGGACTAATTTACGAGCCCTTGGTTCACTCATTAAATCAATTGACAATGAAAGCACTGGTTTAATTCCTTTCTTGAAGTTGGCTAATGATACGACCGGAGCCATTAACCGTTCCGGACGACGACGGGGTGCCAGCGTGGCTTATTTGGAAGTCTGACACTTGGAAATTGAGGATTTTCTCGATTTACGCCGTAATGTTGGCGATGAAAGAAGACGGACTCACGAATTAAATCTAGCGGCTTGAATACCCGACTTATTTATGAAAAGAGTGAAAGAAAAAGGCGCTTGAACTCTGTTCTCACCTTCGGACACTCCTGATTTACATCACCTTTACGGGCAAAAGTTTGAGGAAAGATACATTTATTACGAACAAGCAGCCAAAGCGGGAAAAATTAAGCTAGTTAAGGAAATTACTGCTACTGAACTTTGAAAAAAAATGCTGACTCGCTTATTCGAAACCGGCTACCCCTGAATTACTTTCAAAGACAGTTGTAATATTCGTTCCCCCCAAGACCATGTTGGAGTAGTTCACTGTTCTAATCTTTGTACCGAAATTACTCTTAATACTTCGGAAAAAGAAACGGCAGTCTGTAATCTCGGTTCAGTTAATTTAGCCCGACATATTAAGAAAGGAAAATTAGATAATGACTTATTAAAGGAAACTATTACTATCGCTATTCGCATGCTCGATAACGTTATTGACCTGAATTATTATCCAACCAAAGAAGCCGCCTATTCTAACTTCCAACATCGGCCAATTGGCTTGGGAATGATGGGCTTTCAGGATGCTCTCTTTCAATTAAACATTAATTATAACTCACCTTTGGTCTTAGAATTTACCGACCAGTTAACGGAAAAATTTTCTTATTACGCCATTTCCGCCTCCGCCCAGTTGGCCCAAGAAAGAGGAACCTACACTAGTTATCCGGGTTCCAAATGAGAACGAGGGATTTTTCCCCTTGATACTTTGGACTTGTTGGCCAAAGAACGAGGATTAACAATAAAGGTTAACCGACAAAGCCAATTAAATTGAGAGATTTTAAAAGAGCAAGTAAAAAAGTTTGGCATGCGGAATTCTAACACGATGGCGATTGCTCCAACTGCTACTATTGCTAATATTGCTGGTTGTTATCCTTGTATTGAAGGAATGTATAGTAATATCTATGTTAAGTCGAATGTGGCGGGCGAATTTACGATTGTCAATAAATACCTAGTAGCCGATTTAAAAAAACTTGCTGGCTGAAATCAGTCAATATTAGACCAAATTAAGTATTATGAGGGCAGTATCCAAAATATAGCAACCATTCCCCAAGATTTAAAAGAGAAATATCGGGGAGTTTTTGAAATTGACCCCCGCTGAATGATGGAAATTGCTGCCGTGCGGAGTAAATGGTTAGACCAAAGCATTAGTCATAATGTTTTTATGAGAGGAACTTCGGGTCAGAAACTTAATGATATTTATTTTGCCGCTTGGGAAAAGGGTCTCAAAACTACTTATTATTTACGAACTTTGGGAGCCAGTCGGATTGAAAGTTCCACCTTAGATGCGGCCAAATTTGGCTTTACTCAAAAACGAGATAACCAAGAATGTTTCTTAAATAGCGATTGTGAAAGTTGTCAATAAGAAATGCTATTTATTATAGGACAAGATATTTATTTTCCATAACTTGTAATTTCTTACATTAATATTATTTTGAAAAACTTACTGAACTCCAAGCCTTTTTAACGGAACGGAATATTTTCACTACTCCTTGGGAAAGAAAGGAGTTGAGAATGTGAGAGATTTAGAACTTTATGTAAAGAAGTAGCCTGATTAGTCAGTAAAATAATTATATTATGGTAGTTAAAACAACTAAATTAAAGAACTTAAATATTGAGCCGTTATCAGTAGCCAAGTATTTTTATGAAAAAGGTATCGAAGATTACCGACTTACTCAGGACTTTCTTTACCTAACTTACTTGGAAGCCTTAAAAAAAGAAAGTAAGGTTTTGTTTAAAGAAAAATTTGAAGCTTGAAAAAGTGGACCAATTTTAGCCTCAGTTTTTCAGGAAATGCATGATTACTATAAAAAACATAAAAGTTTTACTGGACTATTTAATAAAGTTGAAAATATAGAAGATAAAACAGTCCGTTCTCTTTTAACCAAAGTTTACCGCGATTATCAAAACTCCAAAAAGAAAGGTCAAGAAATCGAGTTTTTTTTCCAAGTTCAAGATGAACCCTGAAAACAAGCTCGGGAAAGTGCTAATGGCGAAAGAAGACCTCATGTCTTTGTGGAACCAATACAAATTATTTCTTTTGCTAGTTAATGGCTAAGATAGTTCCCGATTTTAGTGAAGGCAGTTATTTATTGTATTCATAATTCAGACTTCACTAATGCTATTCTGAAAAACAATAATTACAAGTCACTAATTTTTAGTTTTTTTCAATTATTCCGTCTTTCTTGCAGTAGTGATTTAAAAACCCTCTTAGATGAGGAACATTTTCATCTAGTCAACTCCTCAACCATTAGGGAAAAGATTGCTAAATTAGCAAATAATAAATATCTTGCCGAGGAAAGAATTTTCCAAATGCCCATTGGCAAAGAGCCACGCTTATATGGTTATTTAGAAAAGGTTAAGTATACCGATATCTATCTTTTTAAAGTTTTGCTTTTTGACCCTAATCACTTAGTTTATCCCAAAGGCAAAATGCCTAATCCTAAGAATTTAACCTGTTTATTTAGTGAAGAAGACTGTATTAAATTAATAAGATTGCAGAATAAGAAGGTTAAATAATTTTCCCAATATTCAGTAAATTTTTCAAAAAACTTCTTAAAAAACTAACTAAAACTTTTACCTAAACTTCTCTTATCTAGTTCTTGACTCAGTTTTTTATATTAATCTCTATTCAAAAGTCCCCCCTATCACAGGCCACTTAACAACTTCCTAAAATCAAAAATGTAGCACTGTAATCTGCCTGGTATCAGAAAAATTATTACAACCTTTTCAGAAAAAAATATATAAAATTATAATAAGAACTGATGAGAGTTGGAAGTTAGAGTGCAGTTTTTTTGGCAAGTGAGTTTTGTTCTCTTTCTCTCTGCATATAATATATTAATTAAATAAAAATAATAATAAAATCAGTTAAGAAGTTAAAAACATTCTCAATAAAATTGCGACAGCAAGGAAGAAATAATATGATGACACCAAAAACAAACTTAAAAGAATCAGAAAAATATCTTAAAAATTTACAAACAATCCAAAGCAAAAATAGAAATTAATAAATAAAAATGGTAACAACAGAAAAATTTAAATTAAAATCAACAGCTTTCACTTTTGACCTAGCTGAATTTAACAAAGGCAAAGAAGTTCCACAATCATGGGGAAGTTGGGTTAAATCGTGGATAAAAAGCACCGATAAAAAATACAAAACTGGAAGATTGATGTTGACAGTAAGAGTAGATCCTAGAACAGACATAGCGGGAATAACAGAAAAAGTATCCGGACTTGGTATTGAATTAATAGAAGGCGATAAAGATAAAATTAAAGTAAAAGGTGAACATTTGGCACATGACAAATCTGATGTTTTTTTCGAAGCTCTAATGAATCCAAAGTGCTTAAACAAGGAATTTGCTGTGCAAGATTTAGACACAACCGATTTAAAAGTTGAAGGTGAATTCTTAATGATTCCAAGAAAGGCATATCATAACATTATCCCACCCAAATACCATTCTTTAAGTGATGTATTAAAAAGTGAGGGATTTAACTGAACTCTTCCTAGCGATGCGGAGATTGATAATGCCTCTGACAATGATTTTAACAAAATGGTTAGGGAATATAACAGTGCAGTAGATAATCATTATCTAATGGTAGAGTTTGATGAATTAATTGATGCTGTTAACAGCACGGGGATTTACTATGACCTTGATTATAAAATAAAATACACTACTGACCTCTATAATAAATTAGACACAGAGACAAAGAGGGGAGGAAAAGATGGAGCAAAAATTGCAAAAGCATGGGAAATTAATGGCACTGAACATGCGGGTTCAACAAAAACCACAGCGGATCTAAAAAATGAACTCAAAACTTTCGCAAAGGCACTCGATAGTACACTTAAGAAAAAAGGAGCAGAAATAAAAGTAATAAAGAAATATATTTCTGATTGAATAAATGACGGAAACTTAACCGATATGGAACATAATGAAGAAGTTAAAAGGTGAAAACAAATAAATAATGATGATATTGTAAAAAAATATAACGAGTTAGTGGGAAAAGTAAAGGGAGGAGATGCTAATTATCAAAAATATGAGGAAGAATTCAAGAAAAAAAGTAGCGAGGAAGTTGAAACGGGAGTTTCTGCCGATAAAGATTTAGCAACATTAGAAACAACACTGGGAATAACTGTTGCTGAAATTCCAGAAAGTCAATTTTCTTCTCATGTTGCCATTTCGGAAAAAATGAAGAAGAAAGAAGATTCTAAAAAGTTAAGAGAATTAGCCAATAAAATCTTGGCTCGCAAACAAGAGGTAATAGATTTAATTGAAGGGCTAGTTAGCGGCGATGGAAGCGGAAACAAAGTAAATTGTCCGCAATGTAATAAACAATTTGCTACTCTTCCAGTATCCCATAATGGAAAAAAATATTGTAGCGACAAATGTAAAAATGAAGCCAATAAAGGTGGCGATAAATATAACTGCACTAAATGTCAGAAAGAATTCAGTGGTTCTCCTGTGGTTAAAGACGGCAAAAACTATTGTATTCAGTGTAGTGCGGAGGAAAAACCAGACAAAGGAAATATTTCCCAAGCCAAAGCAACAGCAATTCAAGCCATTAAGAATGCTTTAAACGAAAGTCCGCAAGTTACTACTAAGGATTTAGATTCTAATTTTCAGAATTGAGAAGCCAAAATAAACGGTTTTAGCCAAGCCGAGGAGATTAATAGTTTCAAAAACCAAGTGCTAAGTAATATTACCAAGAAACGAAATGAAAAGAAATCCGCTGAGGAGTGAAAAGAAATAATTAAAAATCTTAAAAATAAAAAGGGCTCAGAATTGCGAGACGTCATCAAAAAAGCCGAAAAATTTGCTGGGAAAACATGTTATGATGGCGACAAAGAGGAAGTAAGTAAAGCCATTGACCGAGCCTGACAAGAAGACGCCGCCGAGATTAAAAAGACAATTAAAGAAGCAGTGGAAAATAAAATGACCGCCTGTGGAATTAAGGAAGAGGAATTAGGTTCTGAAGAGAAAAAAATTCTCGCCAAAATTAAAAATAAGGAACATAGTGATAAAGACCAACTAAAAACCGACAAAAATAAACTATTGGAATTTATTGGTAAGAAAGAAGTAGATAAAAAAATCCAAGCCTTAGAAAAAGAAGTAGAGGCCGTTTTAAAATCAAAAAACCAGGCCAAAAAAGAAACTATCAAGGATAAAATATTAACCCTATTAGGCGAAGATAATATTTATGTTGAAAAACGAAAGACCGACCTGGATAATCTCTTTAAAAAATTAACTGAAACTTCCAGCAGTAGCCCTACTGATAGTCCTAAGTCCTTCCCTTGAGTGATAATAATTCCGGTTGCTCTGCTAGTAATATTAATCTTAGCACTAGTTATAGTGACGGTGCGGAAAAGAAAGGAAAACGAAAGAGTTATAAATTAGTAATAAAAATTAAAACTTATCCTTAAAATTAAATATATGAATGCTCTCTTATTATTTATTACCATTCTTGTTAGTATAGCTGTTGGTGCTGGTTTAATGTTTTGCTACATAACTTATCAAATCAGAAAAGCCATGGGGATTAAAAGTTGAAAAGAATTTATTAAAAAAACCAAAGAAGCCCAAAAACTCCAAAAAAAAATGGAAAAGGAAGGCATGTTTGGTGTCATGAATGACCCGCAACTAAAAAAACAAATAGAAGAGTTGCAAAAAAGGTTTGGCGGAAAAGCTAAATAAATTTTTTTTGTCAAATAAGGTTCGAAAGATTATTGCCTTAATTTCGCCTGCTATTATTTGCTAATTCTTGAAAAGTTGATTGTTTTACAAAAATAATTATATGCCTACTGTTATTAATCCCTCCTCCAAAAAAGATACGCGAACTATTTTTGGTTCTTCCCAAACTGACCCAAACAAGATTTTGCCGATGAAATATTTATGAGCTCGTAAATATTATAAAGACGGAATTGCTAATAATTGAGTTCCGGAAGAAATTGCCATGCAGTCCGATGTCGGTCAATGAAAATCTCCGTCTTTTCTTAGTCCGGCCGAAAGAAAGTTAATTTTGTGAAATTTAGGTTTTTTCTCGACCGCGGAGTCGCTTACGGCCAATAATCTCGTTCTGGCCGTTTATCGTCATGTTACTAATCCCGAATGTCGCCAATATTTACTGCGACAAGCTTTTGAAGAAGCAGTTCATACCGATACTTTTATTTATTGTTGTGATAGTTTAGGTTTAAATCCAGATGAAATATATAACATGTATCTAACTATTCCTTCTATTGAAGAGAAGGATAATTTTGTTATCGAGTTAACTAAATCGATATTTGACCCTAAATTTGAAATTAAGGATGATAAAGATATTCAAATTTTCCTCCACGATTTAATCGGCTATTATGTAATAATGGAAGGAATATTTTTCTACGCTGGCTTTGCCATGATGTTAGCCTTAAAGCGCAGTAATAAAATGGTTGGTATTGGTCAACAATTTGAGTTCATTATGCGTGATGAAAGTTTACATTTAGGATTTGGTTGCGATTTAATTAATACTATTAAGAGTGAAAACCCCCAGGTTTGAACTCCCGAATTCCAAAAAGAAATTATCGAATTGATTAAAAAAGCAGTAGAATTAGAAAAAAAATATGCCTTGGATGCTTGCCCAGAAGGAGTAACCGGAATTAATGCCGAACAATTTAGTAAATATGTTGAATATGTGACCGACCGCCGCTTAGAAAGAATTGGCTTACCAAAATCTTATTTTGTTGCCAATCCTTTTCCCTGGATGTCACAGAGTGTCGATTTAAATAAAGAAAAAAACTTTTTTGAAACGCGCTTGACTGAATATCAAACTGGTTCGCTTGATTGGGACGAAGAGGAGGAAAAATAGTTCTTGAATTTCGATTTAGGTGGTAAAATCGCATGACTAAAAAGTTAACTGTAGCGATTATTTTTTTAAGGTTGGGGGGTAATTTCTACTTTTAACTCGCTTTTTAGTGATTAAGTTTTAGGGGGGATTTCTATTTGGATTAGTAAATTTTTTAATTCTTGTTCAAGTTCCTTTATTCTTGCTTCTTTTTCCTCAAGAAGTCTTCTATATCATCTATCGATATCTTGGCTGTGGTCTCTTTCAGTGTCCAATTCTTCTTCCAAGGTTTCAATTTGGGTTTCTAAACCGGTTATTTTAATTGTTTTAGTGTTTTCATTTTCGATAAGATAGTAAATTAATGTTTCTGGTTTTTCTTTAATTTTTTTTTGTAAGGCATCTATTCACTTTTCTTTGCTGTCAGGATTGGTGATTAATTCGGGTTGGGCAATGAGCATTTTTTCCGGGTGGGCGAGTTGTCAAGCCCTAAGACTAAATTTGAAAGGTTTTAGTTCATTTTGAATTTTGGCTACTTTTTGATTGGGAAGTTTGGGAGAACATTTGAGAGGTTCGCCTATAGTAATCGGTAAATACTCTAAACCCTCTTCTATATCGGTGCCCTCAATATTCAGTCCTCTTAATTTAGTCATATTTCTTAATGGTTCTAGGCTACCATAGAAACGGTTGTAAATGCCTTTTTCGTACCTTTCTGATTTGTTATTTCCTAGAGTTAGGGCAGGAGTAAAAAGATTAACAAAAGGTCGTAAAAATTCTAAAGTAGTTTTCTCAATATTATTGTTAGAAAGGCGTAATTCTCTTAATTTTTCTGGATGAGGTAAAGTTTTTAAGAAGTCAATTGAGGTTAGTAGATTATCGGAGCAATTAAGTTCAGCTAATTTAAAGCATTGGCTTAAATCGAGAGTGGTTAATTGATTATCATAGCAACCAAGATAAGTCAATTTTGGCTTATTGCCTAAGATTAGTTTAGTTATTGAAGATTCTAAATAGTTTTTATTAACGTGTAATTCCTTTAAGTTAGAATATTCACTTAAATTCAATTCTTCACCAAACAGAAAAGAACAGCGTGGTTGCGATAAGTTTGGATTAGGAATTCAACCTAATTTTTCTCAATTTATTTCTTCAACATTAATCTCTGTAACTTGTTCTCTATCTTTTTTAGTTGGATATTTATTACTTAAATATTCTTGTATTGTTGCCATAATGAATTATTTTAAGTTTAAGTACAATTAAATATCTTCATTAACTCTAAATTTTAATTTTCTCTATTTTTTTTCCGCCAATTCACTAACTAGAAAGTTCACTTTTTCCTCTGTCATCATCATCTTTTCTAATGCTTAAAATAGTTCCAAGGAGAAACTTCTAGTTTTGTTGTCAAGTCATATTTTTGGACTTCTTCTTTTTTAATTCTCTCTATCTCTTTAGTTAGCCTTTCTTTAGCCAATTCCAATTGTTTTTTAAGAAAAGAGTAACTGGGATTTTTTGCAATTTCTTCTTGAATTTCCAAAAAGTTTTCTCGCTCTTTTTTAGCATTCTCGCTTAACTTAGAAATTGCTTCTTCCTTTCCTTCAACTAAATCTTGAAAGGAAAAATCCAACAATGAAATTCTTTCGCTAAAATCATTTTCTATCTTTTTAAATTCCTCCAAGATTCTTTGATAATTTTTGGCATAAGAATAGTCCTTTTGCGAAAGTTCATCTTCGACAGAAAAGTTTTTAAAAAGCCAATTATTAACTTTATAATTGTAATCTGCTCCTTGTTCCAATAGCCACCCGATAATTGCTCAATTTTTATCACTATCTTTTACTGCCGTAGCGGCACTATGTAAAACCGATCAGCCAAGCTTATTGCGAGTATTTATGATATTTTTTGTCTCATTTTTAGTATATTCTGCCAATAACTTTAACATTCTTAAATTACCCCGCTTAGCAGAATAATGAAAGCAATTATTACCAAGACTGTCTTCTGAATCTGATCTGGCGCCATTTTCAAGAAGCAACTTAGTAATTTCTATGTTGTTGTTGGCAACAGTCAGGTGAAGAGGAGTAAGCTCGTTTGTTTTCTGATTAATAATTTTTGTTATTTTTTCCTTGTTGCTCTCTAGCAAATTTTTAGTTTTTTCAATATTCTCGTTTTTTATTGCTTCAAACAAAGAATTTTTAAGTCATTCTTCTTTTGTCTCTATTTTATTATTATTATTTGAATTTTCTGATTGACTGTCTAGGTTTTTTTCTTTACTACTTTTCATATGAAGTTTTTTAGTATTTATTATCTTCTGGTGTCTATATTTAACAAACTAAAAATATAAATATTACCTTACAAAAAAAACTTTGCCGTTTTTTTAGCAATCTATAATTACTAAGTAATTCAAAGAGCAACCAAAAGCGGAAATTTAATTTTTGTAGAGTAACATAATGAAGTCCAACATTTTAAAGTCTTTTTCTCTTTAGTCTTTTTAACTAGAAGACTAGTAATAATTCCACGAACAATTAAATGACTTGTCGGTGTGGACATCTGTTCTCCTCTTCTTTATGTAATGCTGATTTAAAATTAGTAATTAAAATTAATTGTCCATGGACTACTTCCCACTTCTTCAATAAATTCAATCCGATTTTTTTTTACTGTAATTTCAAGCAAATTAGCAACCTTTTGACAAAGTTCCTCCACCCTTTCTCTTTCAAGACCCTTGATAACAGCAAATTCTTTGGTGGCAATAAGATTTATTTTCGTTGTCATGTCATCACTATTGAAAAAAAGAACATTTGTTCGTTGTCGGTGGTTTAGTCCTTGGTTTAAATACTTTAGTATAAATCGCCCTTTCGTTTGGAGAAAACCTCACCCGAAAAATAAGTAGTTCCATGGCCGAAATCCAATTAACCCTCACCCAAATTCAAACTAATTTACAAACTATCACCAATAACCAACAAATCCTCAGTTAGCAACTCACTAATCTGAACCAACAATCGTAATCAAGTTAAAATTAATCAAAAATTAATTACCAACTTAACTTATTAAAACATATATGTATGGTAACACAACAAGAATTAAATAATTTACAACCACATTAAAATGTCGCAGTTAAACATATAAATTTCCAATATACTGGCGCCAATGTAATTGATATCTCTCAAGGAGTACTTACCATTGGCACTGCAAATTTTTTAGGTAAGATAAGTTTAGCTCAATTTCCTAATTTAATAAGTATTGTTTTTGAAGGTAGTAATAATTTGAACTTTGCCCATTTTGAGAGTATTGATATTAGCGAAAACACAAATTTAGCTAGAATAATGTCGCGTAGGCAAGCCAATAATGCAAATTTGAGTTGTTATCCTTGGCAAATAAGTGCTCCTAGCCATGGTAGTTGAAAATTTTTAGCCAAAGAAAAGCAAATTAATCAAATAATTGTGAGTTATTACAAGTACAAAAGTTATGATAGCGGAAGGTGAACATGAATAGAAAAAAACAAATTTCTAAAAGACCAAACAGCAATTCCTTATTGTTTAGTTGAAGACAAAAAAGCCGAACAACTACAAGTAGAAGTAGAAAAATTAAGTCAAACTCTTATAGAAAAATCCCAACAAATAGAAGACTTAAAAAAGAAAACAGAACAAACTCCTACTCTTGAACAGTTTCAAGAACTAAATAACAAAGTAATTGATTATCATCAATATAAATTTTGTAACCATCTAGTTGACTTTGGATATTTTTGCAAGAAAAAGTTAAATTTTCTTGACCTCGACAATAAATCTTTTCAACACTATTAGGCAAATATTCCAAGCCAGAATCAATATTAGTTTTGTTAATATTTAATTTCTTTAATTGAGTCAAGTCTTTTAAAAACTCTAATGTACCTAAAAAACAGTTATTAGATACGCTTAATTCTTTTAAATTTACTAAATGGCTCAAAAGGACAAGTCACGGGTTGAAAAATTATTGCTTTTAATATCAAGTATTTCTATTTCTTTATTTTGAGTAAGGTCCAAATTAGTTAATTTATTGTCTGAACAAACAATTATTTTTAACGTTGATGAGTTCGGCAATATTAATTCAATTAATTCATTACTTTCGCAATTAAGACTTTCTAGTTGCTGGCAATTACTTAGATCTAATTCGGTCAATTGATTTTTTTCACAATCAAGTTTAACAAGGTTGGGACACTTGCTCAAATCCAGGTTAGTTAATTTGTGTCGCGAGCAAACTAATTTGACTAAATTAGTAAATTCTTCAAGTTTCAGAGAACCCACAAATGGCTGTTCTAATTTTAAAACACCGTAACCACTGCAACCAATATGTAATTTCTTTATCTCGTTCCTTTTCTCGGTTGGGAAAAAATAATCTAATCAACCCTTAGTATTATAATCATAATCAATATTTTCCATAAATGCTATTAGTTCGCGAGCAGTTAGTCCATTTTTTTGTAACTGTTCAGCCAAACCAAAACCATTGATGGTTAAGCCTTTATTTATCCATTCTTTAGTTTCTGGGTAGTCAAATCCTCTTTTTTTTCACTTTATTATCTTATCTGCCGATCTAAAACCAAAATCAATTTTTTGTCATCCATGAATCAAACTATTATATTCTTCTCTTAACCTCTCAATGTTGTTGTCGTTTAAAACTTGTTCAGTAATTTCACTTCACCAAGCAAAATCGCTTTCTTTTGGTTTAAATCCAGTCTCAATTAAAGTTTTGGTTTGATTATAGTCAAATCCATTCTTTTGTCATTTATTTTTGTAGAGTTCATTTTTAAATTCTTCATGTATATCTCTCCAATTATTATTAGCCATAATATAATAATTTTACACAATTCAAATAATTAGGAGATTTCTTTCTCGTTCGGCAAAGATTTGTTAAAAATTTACCTAATTTTAGACCTCATTTAATTTTCCCTTTAATTTTTTCGTTAATTTTTACTTCTTGCTTATAAAACTATTCAAGGATTTCAAACTCAGTGAAAAATATTGATATTTGCTACATGTCATTCTAAATTAGCTTTTATTTTTAATCCTCACATAATGGCTAATTAGGTCGGGATTAAATTAGTATTTTGATTATTCAGCAATTTATTTCTCCTTTTTTGGGTCTGAAAGGTGAGGATTAATTACCAAAAGAGTAAAATTAAATTATACAACACTGGAAAAATGCGAAAAACAATTGCTAAGTTCATTGAAAAACCAATTTGAAAAGAGTTTCAATCCATCCGTGGTCCTTATGGCTATTACAGGGCTAAGTTAGAAAATAAAGAAGGGGAATTTGAATGTTCCTTTGGAAAAAATTTATTAGAAAATTATTCGGAAGCAAAGAAAGTTTGCTTTTTAAAATGCCTCGCGGGAGCCCAAGGTCGATTTAGATGCCAGCAAATAGAATTCTTAAATAATAATGAAGAAGTTACTTATTGAGAAGAAATTTCCGCGGAAAAAAAAATAATTAAAAAAAGCGAGGGGGTATACAAAAAAAAGAAATTCGTAGAAGAAAACTCAAAAACATTAATTGTTCAAAAAGAAAAAGAGGATGAGATAAAAGAATTGAATGAGAAACAAAAAATCGTTTGTCAATTAGCGTTGACCGGACAAAATGTTTGTTTTTTGGGCGAAGCAGGCACCGGCAAGAGTTTTTTGTTAAAGCATTTAATCAAGTTGCTAAGTGAAGAGTATGAAGAGGAATTAGTTATTACTTCTTATACGGGTCGCACAGCAATTAACATTCGTGGGAAAACTTTACACTCTTTTGCTGGAATTGGGGTAGCAGGCGAAGTTGATTGACACCAGATGTTGGCGAAAATAACTAAAAAAAAAGAAAAAATCAACCGCTGAAAAAAGTGCAAAATATTAATCATTGATGAAATATCCATGCTCGATGGTAATTTGTTTGATAAGTTAGAAATAATTGCTCGGCAAATTAAGAGAGTTGAGCAACCATTTGGCGGAATTCAATTAATTGTTTGTGGTGATTTTTTTCAACTATCGCCCATTGAGAAAGATTATAAATGGTGTTTTGAAGCCGAGAGTTGAAATTCTTGTTTTTCTAATATAGTACATTTAAATCAAATCTACCGCCAGCAAGATAATAAAATCATTAATTTATTGCAAGAGGTGCGGGCTGGCAATTTGTCTGCGGCTAGTTTGCAATTATTAGATAGTTTACAAAGAGAACCAGAATGACCGGATGATGGCATTAAACCTACTCAACTCTATTCTACTAACGAAGAAGTTAATCAAATTAACCAGCAAGAATTAGCCAAACTCGCTACTTCCTCTATTACTTATTGTGCTCGTGATAAGGAGAAACGAGCCCATACTTTAAGTATTTTAACCAAGGACTGTTTAGCACCAGAAAAGTTAGAATTAAAAGTTGGTGCTCAGGTCATGTTAACCATTAATCAGTTCGACAGAAAATTAGTCAATGGTAGTCAGGGAGTAATTATCAGTTTTAAGGAGGAAGAAGGTAAAAAACACCCCTTAGTAAAATTCGTTAGCGGAAGGATAGCATTAATCAAACCTTTTGAGTATAAATTGCTCGAATATAAAAATAACCAAGAAATTGTTCTGGCTAGCCGTTGCCAAATACCTTTAATTCTTTGCTGAGCTATTACCATTCACAAGAGCCAAGGGCAAACTATTGCCAGATTGAAAATTGATTGCGGAAGAATCTGAGCCAAAGGACAATTATATGTAGCACTATCACGGGCAACTAATACCCAATATTTACAAGTAATTAACTTTCGGAAGGAACAAATAAAAACTTGCCAGCGGGTCAAGGAATACTATCGCAAGTTAAGATTATAAATTATTACTTTTGGTGAAATAAGAATTATTATGATGAAAAAACTGCAGCAACTACCTTCCCAACAACTTTTGCAAGAAATTCAGGAGTTTATTACCACCCGACCTAATCATAAAAGTGAAACAAAACGCTGAATTCACTATTGTTTGTTTCTCCTCTGTTGAAAAGCGGGGTTAAGAATAACCGAGGCTATCGGTTTTAATCCCGAACTAAAACACCCCGAACCAGAGTATCAGGATTTATATCTATTGCGAGGGAAAAGAAAAAAAGACCGTTATATTTATATTGCTCCCCAAATAACTGAAATATTAAAACAATATCATTGAGAGCCAAATAAAACTAATCGCCGGGATTTTTGAGAGTTTTTGCGACGCGTTCGCTATGATTTGAATATTAATTCTCATATTGAATTAGCACCTCATACTTTACGACGCTGTTTTGCCACTTATAATCTTTTGGCCGGAATGCCCCTCAATATTTTACAGAAATTTCTGGGGCATAGTCGTGTTTCTACAACCGCTTTATATATTAAGGACAGTGACTTGGCTAATTTATTGAAGTTTAAGCCTATTTAACCATTCCTTTTTTTATTACTTTTTAAGAATACAATTCTAAATCCTTAATCAATGTTTCTACATCAGCCAAGTAGGAAGTGATGTTGGGGCACATTGGGTAGTATTCAGTGCCATCAGGTCTTTGAACTGATTTTAAATAAGGAGTATAACGAAAGGCTATATCATCTCTCGTTCTTTGTAATCACTCTTTTATTTCAGGAGTAGTATAAGGAGCAGGGGCAGGAGTAGCAAAAGGAGTCTCGACACCTTTTTGAATTCTTTCTCAGAAAAAGGATTTGCGAGCTAATAAATCAATCTTGATTTTTTTCATCAACTCAATCAAATGCCTCTTGCTAGGAGAAAGCGGTTCTTCCTTTAAATATTTTTCAACAAAAGAGCAAAGGTTAGTGAGGGTAATCTTACTAATAGAATTATCGTTTTTGTTCCGTTCTATTTTTATGTAATCAGTGCTAATAGTTTTTAAGATATTTAATTTAAACTGCTCAAAACTATCAATAATATTATTACCAAATTTATAAGGGACTAAGCTTCATTCTGATTTAGCTTGTTGTTGTCTTCATAAATATTGAGTAAAGGTTGATAAATCCTTGATTTCCAAAGCAGGATGGAAAGTAACTGTTTCAATAATTTGCTTTTCAGGAGTTTCAACTCACAAACTATTGTCTGGGTCAATACTCTGTAATCTTTCTCCTTTATCAGCTTGAATAGTATAGTTAACAGCTTGTTTTTTAGGTTCACCATAAACGTATTCAACACGTATCTCCCCCTTATTATAATCAGGGACAAAACTCAATTCTTTAACTTCTCGCTTATAATCCTTAACTTCTGGTTGAGCCATGAAGGGGATTTCTCCTTTTTTTTGTAATTCTGCATCAGCTGGAGTTGCTGGTGGTGGATTAGTGGCTTCTAATTTTGCCACAGCATTTCGTAATTCAAACAAGTTTTTAGCGTTATCAATACTTCTAATTTCATCAATAGTTAATTGTCTTGGTCAACTACGTTTTTTTTGATTTCGCTTGCGCTTGATTAAATCTTCAGCCACTAATTGACTCCATCTCCTTTCAGCCGCTTCTTTAAGTCAATCAGTTCTTACTTCTACCATAATAAGTTATAAAGTAATTTTACACAATTTACACACTAGTTTTGTTTAGGGGGATTTCTATTTGGGCTTGGGTGGAGGATTGTTCTTGGGGGTCTTCTTGGATAGTTAGTTCATCTAAATTGAAGTTATTAATATCTAATTCTAAATCCTTAGTTCCGTGTTGTGGTTCTACAAGTTTTAACTTTGCTAATTGCTGAGTGATTTGTTTCGTATTTATTGGTTTACTATGTCAAACTTCTTGGGATTGATAAGTAGGATATTTGATTTCTTCTGGTATAGTTTTATTGAATTCTTCAGCTGCTTGATATTGGTGGTAGAATTCAGTGTCTGTTTTTAAATTACCATACTCATTAAACCACTCTCCTACTATCCTACTTACTTCCTTAGCTGTTGGTCTATTATTTGGCTCCTGCTCTCAGCACCTAGTGATTAAATCTATCAGTAATTGGGGATATTTTAACTTGCTGAGTAGTTTTAGGATTACTAAAACTAGGTCTCTCTCCTTGACAAATCTTTAAGACTAAATCAACATCATGAGCCTGTTCAACATAAGGAGGTAAGCAAGTAATTAGTTCATACATAATTATGCCCAAAGAGTAAATATCGGAGGCTGGGTTGTAAGGTTTGTTTTGTAAGACCTCAGGAGCTACATAAGGAATTACTCCAAAAACTTTACTATCATCAGTTTCATTGGCTGGTTTAGCTAAGCCAAGGTCGATGATATGACAACTACTACCGCCAACAATAATATTCCCACTATGGAAATCCCGATGAACTAAGTTTTTACGATGGATATCTTTGAGACCTTGACTGATTTGTTTGAGGAAGAGGAGCTTGCTACTTTCTCCATATTCATTACTATAAAACTTTAACTCTCGATAATTCTTCCTTAAATATTCTCTTAAATTGCCTGCTGCCATATACTTCATGACCATAATGTAATTACCTTCATTATCTCTGGAAATCCCATAACAAGGCACCATGTTGCTTACTTCACTTTTAAACATTTTATAAAGAGTTAGTTCAGTTAAGAATTCTTGGTTGAGCTGTTGGGAATTGGTGAGAGTTTTGAGGGCAACTGTTTGATAATTTTTATTATAATCCCTATTTCTTCCTCACTCCCTCTTTTTATTATCTCATCGTCTAATAGAACCCTTTCCTCACTTGGCTTTTTCTACCTTGCCAAATCCTCCTTGGGCAATAAGTTCAATTTTTCTTTCTTCTACTTCTTTATTTAATTTCTCTATTTGTGATAAGCAATCAACTATTTTTTGTTCTATTTGCTTTATTTTGCTTTCGTTAGTTAACCATTTGAACTTGGATTTGTTTAGTTTTTCTTGTTTTTGATGTAAAATTTGCAGTTCAGAATTAACAGTTTGCAACTCTTTTACTTGTTCAATTTCAGTGAACTGCTCATAAGGAATTCATTCTAAGACATTTCAATCACTAGTGGCTTCTAATTGGCATTGCTGAATAAATTTATCTATATTGGGATTGCCACTAGTTCAAGTGTTAAATTCCTTTTTAAAATGTTTAGCATTACAAGAATGGCATCAGTTTATACTAGTATTAGGTTGTTGACATTCTCAACAAGTTCTAAAAAGATAATAACTATCCATTAAACTTTTAAATTCTTCTTCATTTTCCTTGGCTCAGTCTAAATCTAGTTGCTTGAAGTTGAGCAATCAGTTAATGAATTCAATATTACCACGTCTTACTCCTACTAATATTCATTCCTTAGTTTGTTCTTTACTAAATCCTGCTTTTAATCAGGCTTTTCTTAATAATCTATTATTATTAGGAACAAAACCCTGATGAATATCTGCTCAAATTGCTTGTTCTAACTCGGTTTTAGCGTGGGCTAATTGACAGTTAGGTCTTAGTTTGGTGTCATATTTAATTTCTTCTAAACTAACTGGCAAATATTCTCAACCACTAGTTAGGTCAGTATTTTGAATCTTTAATTCTCATAAATAATTCAAATCTTTTAAAGGTTCACAACTGCCAACAAAACGATTATAAATATTTTGGTGGATTTTGTTTTTATCTGTATTACCAATATATAACCATCCTAAATTTCTCATCTGACTAAAAATAGTCAGGTCAGCAGTAGAGAAATTGTTATTGCTTATGTTTAATTCAGTTATTTTTTCTAAATTAGAGGGAAGTCTAGGATAGACTATTTGGGTGAGGTAATTATCAGAAAAATTAAGTAAATTTAACTGTTTGCAATTACTCAAATTAAGAGTAGTGAGTTGGTTATCGGAGCAATAAATTTTCTTTAATTTCCTACAATTAGTTAAATTGAGATTAGTGAGGCAATTATTAGAACAACACAATTCCTTTAAATTCTTAAAATCAGAAAGGTCTCAGTTTCCTTCTAAGCCTTTTTCCCTTAAATCTAACTTTGTTATTTCGGCTCTGGTTTTGCCAAAGTCTTCGTGATTATTTCCTTCCTCATCTTTTCTTAAACAAGTTCCATCTTTGGGATAGTTTTGGTTGAGATAAGTTTGAACTGACTGACAAGGGATTATTTTGGTTTCATGAGTTTCGTATTCTTCTCCATTCCACTTCCCATAATAAGAACCTCTTTTTATCTCGAATTTACTACTATCAACTGAGGTAGAGATAAATATATATCACAAGTTTTTATACTCTTGACAATCTAATACTCCCTCTAATTGTTGATTTATGTCTATTCTTCATGTTTTCTTATCAGGATAATTTTGTTCTAGTCAGTCTTGGGCTTTCATAATAATAGTTTTAGGTTTTTTAGTAAAAAACTACCTTACCCTTATCACTATTAATCTACAAAAAACTAATTTCCACTTTTATTCATTTTTAGAATCTAAACTATCTGTTCCAAAATAACCTAAGGTAATCATCTCGGTATTATCAAATATAGAATTAGTAGGATGACCAACTAACATTTCAGTTTTAACAGTAATGTATTCACCTTCTTTAAGTCTATTAAAGGGAGGTCTATTAACAAAAGTAATGTAGTTTAAACTACCATTTTTATATTCTAAATTATTATCTAAGAAGATAGTAAAGTCTTTGTTAGTAACATTTCTTATTTTGGTTATTTGGCAAGTTTTAAGCATACTAATTGTTTTTAGAGTGCAATTGTATTTGTTTTATCTGTTCTTCCAATTCTAGCAATTGCTGTATTCTTTCTCCGTTCAAATCAGTTTGAGTGCTTTTATCTTGGGTTTGAAATCTGGTTTGAGTTTGTTGAGAAATAGCGGTCTTGGCTTTTTCTAATTCTTGAATTTTACTTTCTAAGCGGGTAATTCTCTTTACTTTTTCTTTATCAGTTTCGGATAGTTCTTTTTTGCTTTCCTCTAATTTATTTTTTAAGGCTCTAATCCATTTATCTTTGCTGTCAAGATTAGTAAAATATTCAGGTTTGACTGTTAGCATTTTTTCTGGATGGGCTAGTTGTCAGGCTTCTAAGTCATAATTGAATGGTCTTAGTTGGTCTTGGATGGCAGAACATTTAGCTTCAGAAGTATGAGGCAAACATTCAAAAGCAGACATATGTGGAGTAACTCCTCCCATAGTTCTCTTTACTAAACTAATTGGTAAGTATTCTAAACCACTGTCTATATCAGTGGCTTCTATACAAATACTTCTTAATTCAGTTAAGTCTTTGTAAGATTCAAAAGAGCCATAGAACTTATTGTGTTTTCCTTCATCAAGACCTTCTTTCATTGTTCCCATTTTCAAATGCCTTATGTTCTCAAATCTGCTAAAAATCTCAATATTAGTTGGTTTAATAAAATAAAGAGTGCCAAGATGCTGAATATTTACGCTACCATTAATTAAAAATGATAGACTTTTACTAAAATATTATATATGGCTTATAACAAAGTAACCTTAACTATCACCATTCCCGAAAATGTTTACGAAAAACTAAAAAGAGTTGTTGGCTCCGGAAAAGTTAGTAAATTTGTCAGCGAGGCAATCGAAAAAACTTTATCTGAGGAAGAGAAAAAAATTGTTTTGGACTACCAGAAGCGAACTAAAGATAAAGAGTTAAAGAAAGAAATGGAAAATTGATATAAAATCTAGTTGCGACATAAGTAAATGAAAAAAAATAATTTTGATAAAAAGGCTGGGTCAAGCCAAACCTTTCCTGAACATGAGTATAATTTGGAAAAAGGTTGAGTATATTGATTTGACCCGGCAAAAGAAACGAAAATTGATGCCTCCCCACTGGTAGTTGTTTTAAGTAATGACCTCCATAATGAATTGGCCGACCATATAATTGTTGCCTTAGCAAGTGGCAAAAATATGGAGTCAATTAGTCCTACTTTTGAAGTTTATTGTGAAGTCGAAAAAAGACCATTAAAAGTGCTAATTAGTGAAATTCATACCATTACTAAGGAAAGTTTTTTTGGCCGAGCAATCTATTTAGGGAAAATAAAAAAGGAACAACTGGAAGCGGTTAACAAAAAAATAGAATTAATTTTGCAATTAAATAGTTAACAAAGTTTTGATTTATTTTTTTAACTTTCCGAAAAAATATTTATGTTTGGTGAAAAAACTATGGTGGCTCTGGTCACGGCTCCTATTACCCAAAATATTGCCCTAATTCGCTTATCCGGTCCCCAAACTTACTCAATCATTAGCCAAATTTTTGACCTTCCCCTACCCGAATATCCACAAAAAAAGCCACAATTAATTTTTGGGAAAATTATTAATTCTCAGTCAGAAATTATTGATGAAGTATTATTGCTTTGTTTTTATCGGCCACGCTCTTTTACCGGTGCGGATGTGGTGGAAATCAGTTGTCATGGCAATTTGTTTATTATCAACCAAATATTACAATTAACTTTGGAAAATGGTGCAGAATTGGCCAAAGCCGGAGAATTTACTAAGCAAGCCTTTTTTAATGGCAAGTTAAACCTAATTCAAGCCAGTGCAATCAATGATTTAATCCGCGCTCCCAGTTTCTCAGCCGCCAAGTTAGCCCTCCATAATTTAAGCCCGGAAACCCAAAAAGAATTTGACACTATTGAAAACGAATTATTAGATATTATTGCTACTATTAAAGTCAATATTGATTATCCCGAATACGACGGAGTAGAATACTTAACTGGCAAAGCAACCCTTGCCCGCTTAAGCAAATTGGTTGAGAAATTACAAATAATTAAAGCAACTGGCGCCAAAGCCCGTGTTTACCAAGAAGGATTAAAAGTAGCCATCGTCGGTAAGCCGAATGTAGGTAAATCTACGCTCTTGAATGCCTTATTACAAGAGGAAAAAGCCATTGTTTCACCGATTGCCGGCACCACCCGCGACATAGTTGAAGCTCGTTATAATTTAAATGGAATTCCTTTAACTCTGTTAGACACAGCCGGCATTCATGAAACCTCAGATATAGTCGAAAAAATTGGTGTAGAACGAAGTTGGCAAGCCTTAGTTCAAGCCGAAATTATCTTTTTTTTAGTGGATAATTCTCGTTGCTGAGACCAAGCCGATAATAATATTTATCAAAAAATTAAGACCAAGAACTATTTACTCATTATTAACAAAATTGATGAACCAAATAAATTACAATTGCCTGCTATTGCTCGGGGGAAAATTTGTCGAATTAGTGCCAAAAACCAGCAATTGAGTGAATTAGAAGCCAAAATTGGTGAACTTTTTGCCGGAAATTTAATAAATAATTTGTCCGCTTATCCTTATTTAAGTCAGAGTTGACAGCAAGCGAAATTAACTAACCTTATTCAGCAGTTAGAAGAAGTAATTAGTGAGTTAAAAAAAGAGACTTATTTGGACGCAGTTTGTGGTGATTTGGAAGTTAGTTATAAATTAGTCAAGGAAGTGAGTGGCAAAGAGTACAACGATAACTTATTAGACATTATTTTTAGTAAATTTTGCTTGGGGAAGTAAATAATGTTGCTAATTTTGGGTTTTTCTTTCTGTATTTTTCCTGCTTGATTTCTAATACTAATAAAATTAGTTATTATGACCGAACTAATAATTATCAAAACTAGCGAAGGAGAAAGAATAAAAAAAATCCTTGCTGAAAAGAATATCAACTATGAAACATACCAAGCAGAAGAAATTTCAAATAAAAAAATTAGTGAAGAAGAATTAGGAAAGGCTTATCGGGAAGCATGGAATAATCCCCAAAGATATCAAGAGGCTCAACAATGGGAAAAAGCAGCCGTAAGCGATTGAGCCGAAAGAACTAAAAAAGAGAAAAAATAATGGCTCAACAATTAATTAGAAGAGGAGAAGTTTATTGGGTTGACTTATCTCTACCAAGTAATACAGAAAGAAAAAAAGGTATCATTCATGAATTGCAAGGACCTCATCCAGCCGTTATTATCTCCAATAATCAACAAAATCTTTACAGTCCTTTAATAACTATTATCCCTTTGACTTCACAATTAGATAAGGTTTATCCCTTTGAAGTGTTAACGGAAGTAAATAACCAAAAAGGCAAGGCTCTCATCGACCAAATTACTACAATTGATAAAAAAAGATTAGGCCAACATTTAGGACAATTAGATAAATCAGTAATAAAAAAAATCCAAGAGGCTTTACATTTAACTTTGGCTTTGGAGGAGTAAAAACTAAACTAAAATTCTTCTCTGATAAACGGGTTATTACTGTTTAAACTATGAATAATTAAGGAAATTTCTTCTTTTAATTTAATTCTATAAATAAATTACAGGGTTTAAATGTGTTAATAACTTTTGATAACATAAAAATAAATTATATATAATAACATAAATATTTTAAAAAATTATGAACTACAACAATAATAAAGATTTATACCAAATATTAGGAGTAAACAAAAATGCTAGTCAAGAACAAATTATTAAAATTAGCCAGGATTTAATTCCCAAAAATTCGAGCGGGCCAGTTCAGATTTCCCAAGAAATCGGCGAAGCCATGATGGTTTTATCGGACCCACAAAAGAGAGAAGAATATGACAGAATTGGCTGGAAAGATGAATGAAGTAGCGAATGAGAAAAGGAATTTGCTTTTCGAAGTTCTATTTTTGAAGCAATAATTAGTAAAATTCATATCAATACAAAATTATGCTATCATATCGACGGACATAGAGTTTATGTAGGTCCTGAGGAGGATTTAGACCATTCTTTGTGAGCTCCTAGTAAAGGATGAGTAAAGAAAATATTTGACATCAAAGGTAAAAATTGAAAAAACAAGTTAGAAGATTTTAAAAATAAAATGTTGACAGCCATTGAAAAATTCCGTCAAGAAAAGCAAAAAACTGCTGTCTTGAACAAATGTTGAGAATACGTGGATGGTGGAAGTTGTGCTAAATGTGGCAAAACTGCTAAACTTCGTCGGAAAGGTCAGTACAGTGATGGCAAAGGATACTGTTCGACTGATTGTTATTGAGAAAATAGATATAAAACACCAGAATATGAATACCAAACGCCGGAATACAAAGCCAGAGATTTTGAATATAATCCAAGTAGCCCAAATAATCAGGATTTTGAGTTTAAATGCGTTGGCTGCCATAAAAAAGGCCAGGACTTTCACCAAATGAAAGATGGAAGTTATTTTTGTAAATTGTGTTTTGAGGAGGAATTATGGAGAAAGGAAAATCCTTCCGATAATGATAAAAAGGACAAATATTCCGCTCCTAATTCCTATGGCAACCAGAACCATAAATCTCCCGAGCAGCCTGACTCTGACCCAATTAAACGTTTAGCCAAAGCAATCGAGCATTACAAAAGAAAAAAACTTGCTGTTTCCGAGCAAGAAAAATCCGGAGTTCAAGCCGAAATTGATAGATTAGAAAAAGAGCTAAAGAATGAAAAATTGAAAAAGTTTTTCGTTGAGAAAGGAGGAAAAACGCACAGTGTAGAAGTTAACCGCTTGACTGGCAAAACTACTACGGTGAAAAAAAATCCCCTCCAAGAACTTTTAAATTGAATGAAAAAAGAGGGAATTACTAATATTTCGCTCAACTCGCAAGGTAACTTAGTAGTTGAATACGGCAATTTAAAGCAAACTGTTGATAATAACAATTTAACTCCCGAACAAGCCGAAATTAAAGAGTTTTTTCAACAACTTAAAAAACAAGGCGGCCAAACTTACCTTAGCCAAAAAGAATTAGAGGAAACAATCGCGGAGGAAAATAATCTTAATAAAGCTGACAAAAATAATTGAATAGTCCCAGCTACGATAATTTGCTTAGGAGCCATAATTGTCATTCTAATTGGAGTTATTATTTACAAGAACCGGAAAAAGAATTATTAATGTTGCAAAAATTTTGATTTTGGTTGAAAAAGGTTTACAAACATGTAAAACGAGTGCTTTCTGCTCCTCCCGACTTGGTTACTCCTAGTGTGCTTGATATTCGAGTTTCTATTGGGATAATTAATGATAAAATTAAACTACTTGGTGGGGCGAAAAAGGATGTAATTGACGTAATCGCTTACCAAAAATATTTTGATTTTCTAGAAAAGTTAGGTTTGCGTGAGGAATTTAGTATTATTACTGCTCATGATAGTTTAGTCCTTTATGGCACCATTATTCGTCCGCTCATAATAAATGCTAATAATAATAAATTGGTTATCTTTTGCCACGGTTTAACTAATAATCGCTGGTCGCTTTTTTACGCTATGCACTTGGCTCTCCAACGGGGTTATCAGGTGGTCTCTTATGATGCTCGCAATCATGGTCTTTCCGGTAAATCCGCCACTAGTTTGGGGCAAATTGAAGCCTGTGATTTACAAGATGTTATTGACTACGTGAGAAAAAAATACCAGCCGACCAAAATTGGTCTCTATGGCTTTTCCATGGGGGCGGCCACCCTAACTTTTTGGCTAGGCTATTTTGCCGGAGTTGGCAATTCTGAAGTAGCGTTTGCCATCTGTGAAGCCCCTTTTGATAGTTTTCTGACCCAACAAAAAAGGGCTCTGGGAAGTGGAATAAATTACTATTGAAAGAATCTTTTACTGAAAAAAATGATTAAGGACACGCTCAATTCCTCCCAGGAAAAATTAGAAAAATTAAATCCTTACTTAGTTCTACCCCAAGATTTACCAATTAAGTTGTTATTGTTTCATGGCTTAGAGGATGCGGTGATTGACTGACGAGCCTCCTTTAAACTTCATTATCAATTAAGCAAAAATAAACTAAACAAAAATAAAATTAATCTTTATCTCTGTCGTTATGCTGACCATGGTGAATTTCCTTTTCTAGCCGACCATATTCCGGACAGTTTGCGCTGAAAGACTAGAAAAAAACATTCCCAGTTTACTACTTTTACCGGTCTTTTTTGTAGTTATTTAGAGAAGAATTTATAAAATGAAATGAAAAAAGTAAGGAAAGATTAATTATTAAATTTATTATACATCCACTATTATATTTGATGCCCACCTACATATTTATACTAAAAATTAAATTATAAAGAGTATTAGCTCAGTTGGGAGAGCATCTGCCTTACAAGCAGAGGGTCGCTGGTTCGAGCCCAGCATACTCTACCAATAAATTAAATAAACATTAAGTTTCCGAACGTTTTAGGCTTTTTTGAGCTGATTTAGCTCAATTGGCAGAGCAACCGCCTTGTAAGCGGTAGGTTGTAGGTTCAACTCCTACAATCAGCACCATTTTAATATATAAAATAAAAAATTAAAAAAAGATATGAATAGCGAGTACAACACACACACACACAGCAAAAAAGATGTCGTTTTTGCGAAAAAGACCATTATGGTAGTCAACGAGTTTGTCGGAATTGTATCGAGAGATACCGACCCAAAATGAGTACTGGTTGATTAATTTTTTGATTTTTGTTCGGTATTTTTCCTGCTCTCATTTATTATTTTATCAAGAAAAACCAGCAGGAGGAATGAGATAGAATGAATTTATAAAAAAGTTTGGGAGGATGGCAGAGTGGCCCATCGCACCTGACTGTAGATCAGCAAAATCGGGGGTTCAAATCCCTCTCCTCCCACCAAAATAATATGAAATATAAAAATAAATTAATAATATGAAATATAAAACCTGAGAAAAATGATACTGAGGCATAATCCTTGGTTTAATAACGTTATCCGTTATAGGAATATACCAGAAAGAAGGAGACAAAATAAAAATAGATACTACTGTTGGCAATAAAACTGAAACAACTTATTGGAGTAAGGGTAAAGCGGCTTTAATTGTTGTCATTTTTTATTCGGTTATCGCTTTAGTGCTGTGAGCAATTATTAGATATTTTGTAAATAGAGGCGGAGATAAGAGAAAATAAAAGAATAACACTGAACTAAATTCATATTTTTTTTTTTTTTTTGGCATTGTGACTAAATTTGTAATTTGTTCTTAACTTTAAAATAATAATATAGATGACAAAGATAAAATATCAGACGGGGATGCGAGTTTTGACTTAGATTGAAGTCGGTAATTATGGCAATAAACTTGTTTTAAAAAAATCAAGACACTATTACTAACGACGAAAGTCACAATATTCCTTACGGATTGTTTAATAACAACCTAGGAAGCAACTACGCAAGAATATAATTCTTAATTAGTTCTTATCGGTTCACCCAATTTGAGCCGGTTCGTCAATAAAATTTGGGTCAATTATTAAAGTTTGCTTATTTACTTGTTAATTGTCTATTGAAAAAAATACCCTACCTATTGAAATGTATTCGTTTATTAATACTCATTAGGGAAATTCACTAATAAACTAAGTTGTAGAAGTAATTACTAGCCGTCTAAGGACACGGGTTCAATCCCGTCATCTCCACCAGTTTATTAAAACTAGTGAGAAACGCAAGAGTTTTCCACCAAATATTAAAAAAATCGTCGCTAGTTCTTAAAAAACTATCCACCATTATATATATGACTAATATTTCTACGGAAAGACTATATTACACTGATACTTACTTAGATAAATTAGAAATTAAGATATTAGAGATAGGTCAAGATGATAATGGCAGTTATGTGATATTCGACAAAACTATTTTCCATCCACAAGGAGGTGGGCAACCCAACGATGAAGGCTGCTTAGAAATAGCAGGTCAACGCTATGCTGTTAAGAAACTGGTAGCACCCCGTAATCCATACGAGGAACCATATATTATTAAACACTATTATAACGGGGAGGGGGGATTTTTTAAAGGGGGATAAGGTTATCCAAACAATTGATCGGGCAAAACGACTTCTCTATTCTCGTTTACATTCGGCCGGTCATTTGTTGGAGGATGCCGTTAACCAACTTTTTCCTTCTTTAAAAGGTATCCGCGCCAACCATTTTCCCAATGGCCAAGCTTTTGTCGTTTTTGCGGGTGAAATCCCAGTTGATATTCAAGCCAACAAAGAAAAAATCTCTAACTTGGCTAATGAACTAATAAAAAGAAATCTTGCCATAAAGGTTGAGTATAATGGTCAGATCAGAACTGTCATCATTGGTGATTTTGCCGCTCATGCTTGCGGAGGAACTCATGTTAAAAATACTTCTGAAATCAAAGAAATTGTTGTTCGCAGTATCAAAAAAGATAAAGATAATAAAAGTAATTTGCGAATTGGTTATGATATTCAATAGAAAAAAGCATTAATCAGTTAAGTATTCTTATGTTCGAAAAAAATAAAAAAAACGTTTTTTACTAATTAGTGGAATAATTATTTTGTTTTTATTAGTCGGTGGTGGTTTTCTAATTATTAAAAACAGTTCAACTAAAACTAACGATTTTTCCAAACCGCCAGAGGAGCAAAGGAAGCCAACTCCACCACAAGATAATCCGTTGCCCGACCGACCAAATAATCCTCCTCAATTACCACAACCCAAACCCAACCCAGTCAATAACGATAAAACTGAACTAAAAGTTTTTTGAAATGGCGATTCCCAAATAATTATTGCGGGATATGACGACTATTGAGTTTTTGTCTCCAAAAAAAATCAAAAACACCGATTTTTAATTTCCTGCAAACTTCCAGTTTTATTAAACAAAAATCTACTTGATAGCGAGGATTTTACGCTTTCTTATTCGGAAAATGAGGTAGTAAAAAAAATAGCAAAAACTGGTCTTTTTGACAACCAACTAACTCTTTTAGAAAGAAACTTTACTTTAACTCCTGATTCGCCACTAAAAAACGACCCTGATTTTCTAGAGCGTTTTAAAGCTAAGTCAAAAGACGTTTACTTTGACTATTCCCAACATACCGGTGGCGATTATGTTTTTATTGATAACCAAATACAGGGAGGAAAATCGGAAAAAGATTGTGATAAATGTGTTTTTTCTCCCGATATTCTTCGATCAAAAAATTACTGGCTAAAAACCACTTACAAAATCAACCTAAACGGACTGATAAAGAGTTTGAAATATCTTATTTAGAACGAGATATTAAAAAATATGACCCAAATACTCGCGCCTATTATTTCCATAACGGAGCCAGAATTAAAAATGGTTACCCTCGTCCCTAAATTCCAGTTGCCGCAAGCGCTTTTTTGAATTTAGCCGTAGTTAGAATTCTTATAAACAAGGTTGCTAATAAATTGTGATAGAGAATAGACAAAATTAGTCTCTAATCTATATTAAAAACCACTTTTAAGGCTGTTTGGGCTTGTTTTGCTATTTCGGGGCTAGTGTAGCCAATGTAGTTCCGCAAGCGTAGTTTTATATCGATAGTCTGAACTCTATTTAACAAAATCTTGCTGTCTTTCTCTAAACCGTTTGTTTTGTTTCTGGCAATTAAAACAGTAAAAGGTCGCTCTTTTACCATTTCCTCGGGTTCCGAAGTTAAGGGCACCACAATTATTTGGTCGTCATACTCATTTTGAGCGTTATTACTAATTACTAGCGAAGGACGGATTTTCCCAATCTCCTTACCTTTTTTGGAAAAATAAACTTTATAAATTTCACCTTGCTGAGGAAAACCGTGGGGGCAAATTACTTTTTTACTCATTACTTAACTCCGTCACCTACTGCTTCATCCCAAACCGCTAATTCCTCTTTCAGTTTTTTATTCTTGGCAAAGTCTTGATAAGCGGCTTTTAATTCCTGTTCCTTTTGCTTCTTTAAGTAATCTTTCAAAAGGTTATTAACTAGCGGACTAACTTGTCCATTGGGGATAGTGCGTTTTACTTCTTGGTAGATATTAGTTTCCAAACTTAAACTTATATTTCTTTTCATATTTTTTTAATTCTTAAAAATATACAGAAGTCTAGTGACTTTCATATTATAATTTTATAGCATGATTTGTATTATTGATTTGTAATATTTGTCTTTCCGCAGAGCACAGAAATTTGTTTGCTTTGTTATTCTCTTTCTTGTCCTTTATAATCAATCCTTTTTTATTAGCGCAAGAAAAATTATTAATAGTAAGTTATGATAGAAAATAAATATTCTTATCGAGATTGTTGAAATTATGCTCTTTCGGTGCGGGCAGATATTAATGCTGAGGAAGTAAAAAATGATATAATTGCTCTTTGCCAAACGGTTCCCGAAGACTTTTGATTAAACTTTGCTAATAAATTGCTGTCGCCCGCTGATTATTCAAAAATTTGCCACAATTTAGCAAAGTATATCAAAGAAGGTTATCCGGTTCCTTATTTAACTAATAAAGTTTCTTTTTATGGCTTATCTTTTTATATAAAAAAAGGAGTTTTTATCCCGCAAAAGGATACCGAAATATTAGTGACAAGGACTTTGGAATTAGCTGCTAAAATTTGGGGACAAAAAGAGCAATTGAAAGTTTTGGATATTGGCACTGGTTGTGGCAATATCGTAATTTCGCTAGCGAAAAATAAGCCTAATTGGAATTTTATAACGGTTGACATTAATGCAAAAGCCCGCCAAGTAGCAAAAAAAAATGCGGTCGCTTATCAGTTGAAAAATATTGAGTTAATCGAAAGCAATCTATTTAATAATGTCAAGGGGAGATTTGACCTAATTGTTGCTAATCCTCCTTATGTCAGCAGTAATGAATATGAAGACCTTTCTCCCGCGGCCAAAGCCCAACCCAGAGAAGCACTAATCGCCCCCAATGATGGTTATTTTTTTTACCAAGAAATCTTTCGCCAAGCCGGTAATTTTCTGGCTAAGAGATTTTTATTAGTGGTAGAAATAGGCTATCAGCAAGCCGAAAAAGTTATAAAATTAATAATAGAATACTTGCCCCAAGCTCAAGTATCTATTTATCCCGATTATGGGAGTTGTTCCCGAGTAATAGCGATTTATCAATAGTAAAAAAGGTTTGGTAGCTCAGTTGGTTAGAGCGTCTGACTGAAGATCAGAAGGTCGGCAGTTCGATCCTGCCCTAAACCACCATTAGAATATAAAATAATTATTATGATTGGAATAACCGAAATAAATAAAGAAGTAAATAAAAAAACGAGAGTAGGTGAATCAGAGGTAAAAACAGTAATTACTGCTTTTTTGGAAGTGATTAAGGAAGATTTAATTAAAGGTGAGGATATTAGTTTCAAGGGCTATTTTACTTTAAAGCGATCAAAACAATTACCACATATTAGCAAGTTTTGCGGTAATCATACGAGACAAATGGATGATTTTAAGAATAAAAATAAAGGCAAAGATTTGAAATTTTTTGTTAATTCTTCTTCATTCAAAAAAATAAAGTCAGAAATAAAAGAATGTAATAGCTGTAAAACTCAAAAACAAAAAATAGTCAAAGCAACTAAACTTCTCCCAAGAGTGGTTTGCAAAACTAGTGAAGGATTATGAAAAGATTCTATAACTTCCAGTAAAAAAAGGTAGAGGATTTAATCCTCTATCATTGCGAATATAGTTCAACGGTAGAACCTTAGCCTTCCAAGCTAATGATAAGGGTTCGATTCCCTTTATTCGCTCCATAAAAAAAAGATTAAACATTTAAAAATATAATTCAAAATAAAATAGTAAAGTAACATTAAAATAATAAGATATATGGCAGGTACAGAATTTACAATAAAAAATATTAATACAAAGGCAAAAGCCAAAGACAAAGACGGTGGTAAGGATGTAGAATATAAGATTGAGTATGAAAACAAAGATGGTAACGATAAAGTAAAGGTTGACAACAAAAAAGGAACACACAAAATTACTGCTAAAAGTATTAAGAAAATAGTAGATGGTAAAGAGTCAGATGTGATTAATAAAGAAATAGAAGTTAGTTATGTTAATGGTGGCTGATTTACTCACTATGGTGAGATTAAGAAAGTAGATGGTAAAGAGTTGGAAAAACCTTGTGAGGTTAGTTTTTCAGGAATGAATAGTATCAGACCGACTACGTGGATATTAATTTTTGTTGCTGTTGTGCTAGTAGTTGGAGGTATTTGATGATGAATTTCTTCCAGTAAAAAAGAAGACAAAGAAGAAGAAAGTTTATAAGCTTAGGAGTATTATTACTCCTCCCTTATCCTATGTTAAAAAGTTTAGTTCAGGAAGAGGAATTTGCCTCTTTTCTGCAAAATAACCACGATAAACTAGTACTGGTCAAGTTTTCTACTACTTGGTGTGCTCCGTGCCGACTTTTACACGAAAATATCAGGGAATTGTTGACGGAGTTGGAGCAACCAGTGGGACAACGGAAGGAGGTGGTGGTGTTAGAAGTGGATGCTGAAAAATTTCCACAGTTAAGGAATCAATTCAGCGTTCGTTCGGTGCCAACTACTTTCCTTTTTCACCAAAACAAAATAATTAAAAGGGCTAGTGGCAACATGAGCGTTCAACAATTGAAGGAGTTTATTGGTATTTAAGTCGGGGCTCGTTAGTGCAGTGATTAACACGTCTCCCTTTCACGGAGAAGAACGCGGGTTTGAATCCCGCACGGGTCACCAAGAATGATGGTTATTTTTAAGCACTACTTTATTTTTATCATTATTTTTTGCTCTTAAATTAGTGATTGCCAAGTATAATTTAACTAAAAACAGACATTTAATTTGAAAAGGTTATAACTTATGTTATTAGACTTTTCAGCAAGCACTTTTGCTGGTAAATATCAATTGACTTTTTTAAATACAGGGAGGTGTAGTTCAATTGGTAGAACATCGGCCTTCAGATCCGATTGTTGTGGGTTCAAGTCCTGCCGCCTCTGCCAAGTGAATTAACTTTGCCCAAATGGTGGAATGGCTAGACACGTGGGGCTTAAGATCCCATGAGGGTTTCCTCGTGCCGGTTCGAGTCCGGCTTTGGGTACCAAATTGGGTTGGTTCTGTAGTGTATTGGTTAACACGCCTCCCTGTCACGGAGGAGACAGCGAGTTCGATTCTCGTCAGAACCGCCAGTAAATAATGATAAAAATAAAAATTAATGATAAAAATAAAAATTAATGATAAAAATAATAAGGAACTGTCGTTTATTATTTTCAAAAAAGCCGCTTCTTTCACGCTGAGAAAGTATAAAAAAAATATGTATTTTCAAAAAAAGAAGAAATAAATAATTATTATTTAAAAAAATGAAAAAAAAACACTGAGCTACTTTCAGCGCTACTGAAGTGGATAATGACAGCAATCGAGTTAAAATTGAAGGGAGTCCTGCGAAAACATTAGAAGTAACCGTAGTAGATGAAAATGGTAGTCCAATAAAACGGCATACAGACGTTCTAAAAAATAAACATAAGGTATTAATAACCATGAAATTTCAGTGGAGAACTACTAATTATCAGGATACCAGTTCAAGTAATATTGAATACTTTATAAAAAAAGCTGATAATTGTTGAGAAGTAAACAAGGATAAAGATACTTTAACAGTAAAGCCCGGAAAAAAGGCCGAGTTTGAGCAAGCAAAGACCGAAATTCATAAGAATTTATTTGAGAAAGAATTTAGTAGTGATGAAATTGATAAAAAGAAAGATGTAGCGGGAGGAACAAACATGAAATATATTATTTTGCGGGATGGAAGAGGACGTTATAAAGTAAATATTTATAAAGATGATGAGAATGATGTCAGCGAATTTCCTTGGGAACGGTTAGAGGTTGTGCCCCAATTTTACCAGAACAAGCAAGCAGACTTTGATAATGTTTTCACTATTGAATATCAAGAGGAAGACAAAAAACCACAATGGACTGCCGGTTGAATTATTTTTTTTGCTACACTTTTTGTAATTATTATCTTGGGAATTGTATTTTGAAAAAAAATTTGACGTTGGATAAAAGGTGAACGAGAACAAGAAAAGAAAGTCAAGGAACAACTTGACATATTTTAAAAATAAATTAAAGCGTCATGAAAAAAAAAATTCATTTACCAATCCAGCAAATAACTATCAGTTGTTCGTATTGTAATCAACAATATCAAACAGTCTCCACTTCTTCCCAAGACATTTCTAATAGCAGTTGCAGTAATTGCAATCCCTTTTATAGTGGTGCTTTGGCTAGTGAAATAAGTGTAGGAGCTGTTGAGAAGTTTCGCCAACGAGAGCAAAAAGTTAAGGCAAAATAAATTAAATATTATATTATATATGCATTATGGCAATCTCGCAAAAAAAAAAAAAAAAAACAGTAATCGGTTGGAACAATTAGTGGTGGGGAAAATTATGCTAACTAATAATAAATAGAAAGTATGGTAGACGCACAAACATGACTAAATAATCAATATCCAACCAGAAAATCTAAGGAAGGAGTTACTTCTTTGTCTCATTTGGGAAATATCGAAGCAGAAAGATTAGAGGGTTCCTTAGAAATAAAAGATTTTCCGAAACTCCAAGAAATTTCCTTGCCTTGGAACGACATAACCAGTTTGAAAATTAGTAATTGTCCTTTTCTCCACACTATTAATTTTCAAGCAAATAAATTAACAAAAGTTGAGTTAGAAGGTCAATTCAATTTTGTGAAAGCGATTAATTTAATGGAAAATGACCTTACTGATATTAGTTTTCTGGATGGCAAATCAGTTTTTTTAAACAGGGTTGAAGAATTGTTTTTGAGCGATAACAAAATTGCGACACAAAATTTAGATGTCTTTAAATTTAATTTTATTTTTGGAGCCCCCGTAAGAGACCTGAGAATTGGTTGTAGTGAAGCAGGAGCAAGAAAAGGAAAAAGGAATAATTTCTTTGGTTCTCTCGCCTCTTTTTATCAAGCCGGTAATTTTAGTAAGAATTTAAAATTGGATATCAGTGGCACCGATATTGATAGCGGTTTGGAAAAATTTCTTACTGGTTGAAATGAAGTTGATTTAACTTGTGAGGTTCGACGAAGTGGCGATAAAGTAAAAACTATTGCGGACGAATTAGCCCCATTGAAAAGTTCAAGTAGTGATATCATTACTATTGACAAAAATATTTATCAAAACCTCAAAAAGTCTCAACAAGAACAAGCCGACCAGGCGAAAAAATGAGAGCCGGTGAAAAGTCAATACCAAAGCATCCTCACCCAAATTAGTAGTTCAAACACTACATTATGGGAAGCCAAAGACTTATGTGAGCAGGCCATCCGAGTAAAAAGCCCAGACGGAGAAAAATTTCCGGATGAAATCGCTAAACTTTATTGGCAAATTAGAGCAGAATTAGATAAAAAATTTGGAGGATTTATTAATAAAGTCCAAAATAAAGAAATTAAGAAAGAAGAAGTAACCGACCAACAATTGAGCGATTTAGAAACGATTATTACTTTGGAGGAAACTTATGCTAGAAGTCTTCACAAAGCTGGTTCCTTTGACCAACAAGAACTTCGAAATATTATTGCTGGTTTTAATGGTTTGAGACAAGAAATAGAAAAGGAAAGAACTCGGCGGGCTAACCCCCAAGACAATTCTGCTCCCAGCGACAGCAACGGTGGCAATGGTCCTGACCCTCTTTTTGGCAATACTCCAATTAATTTACCAACTGATAATGGGACCCCTCCTCCGACTCATTCTCCGACACAAGATAATCCGGATAAAAACTCTCCTGGTAAAGATATTCCTGCCCCTTCTAAAAATGATAATAATAGTCAAGGTCCCACTAAGCAGCAAAATGACGATAAAATAAATCAAAGCAAAGACATTGCGGAGACACGGGAAAATGCCGAACAAATCATTACTGAACTGCTGCAAAAAAGTAAAATTAATACGAGCGAACTAGATAAAAGTTTATGAAAAAATAAAAGTGATTGAAAGGATTATTTAAAAACTTTAACTGACAAACAAGCCATCGCTAATTTTGTCGAGAATTTTCGAAGAAGTGTTGAGGCTAAAAAGAATGCTGGAAATTACCACAACCAATCACTGCAAGGGGGAGGAAGTAATGTGTTGCCAATTTTCTTGTTAATTGGCTTTTTTTGCTTAGTTGGTGGAGCAATGATAATAGTAATTCGAAACCAAAGAAAAAGAAAATAAGCAAAAGCACTAGACAATTTTATAAATTTTTTCTCAGTCTCTTTTCTTAATTTTCTTTGCTCACTCTTTTTCGTTGCTGGCAAAACCAGCGGTAAATATCACGGCTAGATTATAATAACCAGGTGGAATGATGGCTTGTTTTTCTAAGTATTCCAAAACTTTTTCTTTTTCAAACCCACCCATCGGGCAAGTAGCGATATTTAAACTAGTAAAAAGCAATAAAAAATTCGGCAAAAGAATAAAGCATTGCTGTTGGGCTCAATTACTAATTCATTGGTAATTACTTGGAGTAAATTTTTTGAGATTTTCGTCAACAAAATCAGAATAATGGTCCGAAGTTAAGCGGTCGTATTTTCATAATACTTTTGCTTTAAATAGTTCAGTCTCGCAATTGAAGGCTTCCCCGCGATAACTCAGTAGTAAAAATAAATGTGAGCAAGTTAATATTTGTTCTTGTTGGTTAATAAAAGGATATAATTCTTCTTTAATTTTTTTATTTTCAATAATTAAGATAAACCAGGGTTCCAGGCCGTATCAGGAAGGGGCGCGGGTGGCAATTTGGGTTATTTTTTTGATAAGAGAAGTAGAGATTTTTGCGGAAGTGTAATTGCGAATGGCTTTGCGCTGGGAAATAATTTCCGCTAAAATGGTAAATTTGGTCATTAATTTTTATTTTAACTGAGAAGTTCCTTTAATTTTTTGGTCATTATTTCTTGCAGTTTCTCTGGACGAAAAAAATGACCACCATTATAGTAGTTGTCAAATTCCACTTGATAACCTTTTCCTTTGAGTAATTGTGCTGATTGACTACCAATATCAACCGGAATTATATCATTATGATAAGTATGATAAAGAAAAAAAAGAATAGTTTTGTTTTCCTCCTTGGCTCAATTAAATATTTCATTCCGACACGGTAAAAAAGCACTTAACCCAATAATACCTGCTAAACGATAGTCGGAAGTTAAACCAACTGCTAAGGCTACTGAGGCTCCTTGGGAATGACCTACCACCATAATTTTTGCTGCTGCGATACCGGAATTTATTTCCCCTTGGATAATTTTTTTGATTTGGCTAACCGAATTCAATAATCCTTGTTCGTCCTCTTTTAGGTTCATGATATTACGAGGATTGCCTTTAATATTGTATCAAGCGGGCATTGACCTTCCTCAATTCATGCTAACCGAAATAGTTGGTGCTTGGGGAATAATAAACTTAATATGGGGATGTTTTTCGGCTAATGGTTGGCAAATATTTTGCTGATTTCGGGCATTATCGCCTAAACCATGGAGGAATATAACCGTAGCGGAATGTTTTTGGCTGGGTTCGATTATAATGGTTTCTAAGGAACGGGTCTCCTTTTTAACTTTATTTTTTTTGTTAGTTGACTGAGAAAATAGCACTATTCCTATCACCAAAAAAAGAATTAGGATAGCAGCAAAAATTAAAAATAAATATTTTTTGGCAAAAGTTTTGGCCATTAAAGTATCATAAAATAAGTATTAATAGTTTTTTGTCAAAAAAGCAACAAAATGTTAATGAATTTAGAAATTATGAATATAAAAGATTTTTTTGAGTTATTTTTTGTTATTGCGGCTGGGCTAGCCATGCCTTTTATCGTAATCGGTAGTTATTTTAATTTAGTTTCTAACACAAAAGAAAGAAGCAAGCCCTTGGCGATTTTTTTTTTAGTTATTAGTATCATTTATGCTTTAACTTACTGCTATTTTGTTTGAAACAGCGTTAAGGATGGTCCTACTTGAAAAAGAATTGTGGAAAAAAAGGATACGGATGCCAAAGGAAAGGAAAAATAAACAAAAATCATATATAACGAGCAAATATCTTAATTCAACCTCAATTCTTTCCATTCCCTTTTTATAATAAACGCAAAGAATAGGAAAAAAAGTTAATGATTGAAAAATATTGACAGGCAAGAATTAAAAACTATATAAAATAGAAATTAAAAAACTGTATGGAGAAAAAATATTATGACAAATCAACATATCAACTTACTCAAAACAATAATTACCACTACTTGAAAGGAGGAGAATATAACGCCATTTTGGCGTAATAAATAACAAAAATTAGGCTTAAAAGCCAAAATTTACAAAACCAGAGGCTAAACTGACTTAAATTAGCAAAAACATAAAAAATACAAAGAAATTAATAATAATATGACAAATAACAATAATTTAATACCCAAAGAAAATTTAGCAAAAGTAGAGGAAGTTAGAGAAATAGATAGTAAATATGAAGTTCCTAGTTTTGAGGAATTTATGAAAACTTATGAAGGTGAGGAAGGAATGATTAATATCTTTAATTTCTGACTTTAAAGTCATTAGCAGTTTCGTTTTTATGTGCTCTTATAGCTCTTTGGTTATCTTATTTGATAGCAGAATGAGAGAAAGTTAAAAATCACTGTCTCTATAAGTGATTAGCACAAAAGATTGGAGAATGAGCAGTTAGAAGAATAATAGGAATGCTAATCCTCGGACTTATTTTTATTTTCCTTTTTAGTGTATTGAATATAAGTCTTTAAATAATATCCCCCCTCCAATAAACGAATTTGCTTTTAGCCGCAAAAAAGCCTCCTTTTGCGGCTGGGTTAACTTAATAATTGAGGTTAAGTGTTTGAATTATTAGATCTAAAAACATATCAGAAGAGAAAAAATAAGTAAACATGGAAAAAGAGTATATTGATAAGGAAGAATTTGCGGAAATAAAAGAAAAGGCCTTGATTATTGATGTTCGCGATAAATTAGAACACCAAACCCTTGAAACTTTTCCGAACAGTATTAATATAACTTATGAAGACTTAATTAATGAGCCAGCCAAATATGTTCCTGATAAAAATAAACTAATTATTGTTTACTGCAATTTTGGTCATCGTTCTAGTAAAGCAGTGTGCTTTTTAAGAAGTCAGGGTTATTCGCGGGCTTTGGTTCTGAACGGAGGAATATATGGTGCCAACTAGCAAAAATATATTAAAAATTATTATTTATGTACGTTAAAAAGAGGAATATTTGAAAATCTTTATTATTTAACTTGGTTGTTTATAATACAATTATGATAGTGATTTGAACCATTCAAACCGCTTTTGGTTATACTCCTCGTTATTGATTGTCTTTTTTTATTACTAATGCCGTTACTTTATTATTGTGATTATTTCAGACTTTTGCTGCGGATTGAAATTAATATTGTCCGAAATTAAGAACTATTTGTAAGGATTTTTTTACCTTTTCCATTATCTCTGGATTAACTACCCCCGAGTCGTTGTTTATCTACTAACCGTAATTTCTTATTGACTGTATGGAGGTAATTGCAACAAATTTTACTAGACTTGTCTAAGCCGGTTTTCGGGGTATTTTCAACGTTCTAATCCTATCCATTTCGCCAATTGCTAGTCCCACTACTACTATATTTTTATCAAATTGGTTTTGAGTATCATTACTAACTACTAAACAGGGGCAGTAAGGCTTGAAAAACTCTTTTAGTTTATCAAACTTGACTAATCAAATATCACTCTCCTTGAAAATTCTTAGCTACTCATCTTTTTCTCAGGCATCATTCAAAGTTTCGTCTCAAATTTCGGCTTTTTTTTTGGGTTTTTTTACTTTCGGTCACGGACTGATAATCAGCAATTAGTTTTTTTTACAATTTTTCCTCCACGACTTCACTAACAAAGCGGCTAATTTTTGGTCCGGATACTTGGCGGAGTTTGTTATAAGTTTCTTCCGGAAAATAAATATTAGCGTTGCGTCCTACCATAATATTGTATTTTTTCATGACCGCAAGAAAAAAACTATATAAAATATAAATTGATGATAAAAGAAGAAACAAACCTAATGTTGATTTTTAGATAAATTAAATAAACTATTACATTTACAAAGTATTAACTGCTAAATGTCAGTTTTGTAGTAAAAAAATAGAAGGTCAATGAGGGAGAAAAACAGGCTTTATTTATACTCCATGAAGGAAAATAAAGTTCGCTTGTTTGGATTGTCAAAAAAAAAAGTCTGCTCTTCCCAATAATTGAGGTTAAGTGCTTGAATTATTAGGTGCTTTCTCCAATTTCCAACCAAGAATTAAGAAAGAACCTCCTCCTTTTTAAAAAATAGATCAATTTCTCTTGTGGCTGCTTGGGGACTGTCAGAACCGTGAACTACATTATTATCAATATTATCGCCATAAATTCCTCTAATAGTTCCTTCTTCAGCTTGCTTGGGGTCGGTTGCACCCATAATTTCTCGATTTAGTTTTATCGCATTTTCTCCTTCGAGACAAATTACTACTACCGGCGAACTACACATAAAATCTATCATTCCTCCAAAAAATGGCTTAGTACTGTGTTCTTGGTAAAATTTTTCGGCTAATTGCTTCGTTAAGCGAACCATTTTTATTCCGACTATTCTTAATCCTTTTTTTTCAAAGATATTAATAATTTCAACAATTAAATTTTTTTTGATAGCATCTGGCTTGATGATGGAAAGTGTTCTTTCGATGGGCATATATAATTATTTTTTCATTTTTTAGCCAATTCCAAAAATTTGGGAAAGAGAAAAAAGTTTGTCTAGCAAAACACCATTGACAGAGACAATTATTTTAAAGGTTGAGACCCAAAAAAATTCATGCCAAGAATGTTATAAAAAAATATGAAAGTAAATTAATGCAAATGGTAGAATTATGAACCAAAATAGTATAAAATAAACTTATACTTAAAAATAAGTGTATAATATAGACTAATAAAACCTCCCTTATCTTTTAATAGTAGAGAGGGACATACGAAAAATAGGACAAGAAAAACAAAATATTATGACACATAAAAACATATTAATAATTGGTCGTACAGGTCAAGGTAAGTCAGCTCTCGCTAACGTGTTAGTTAATAGTGAGCAAAATTTTAGAGAAGGAGGAACATTTGATGAGTTTTTCAAAGAAGGTAAATATGGCATTAGTCAAACTAAAGGAATTCAAACGAAGGAATTCGAGATAGGAGATGAGAAATACCGAATAGTGGACACTATAGGAATTGGTGACACAGACATGAAACCAAGCAAAGTATTGCGTATGATAGCCAAGGGATGCAAGGAAGTTAAAGATGGATTAAACCAAGTTTTGTTTGTAAATGGCGAAAAGTTTACATCAGAAGAAATAGAAGCATACACTATACTGAGAAAAGTCCTTTTTGATGAAGAAATTGTCAATTATACTACTATTATTCGAACTAGATTCGATAACTTTGGAGACGAAGAAGAATGCAAGGAAGATGTCAAAAAACTACTTGAGTCAGAAAATGAAAAGATTACTGAAATGATTGAATCATGTAATAGAAAAATTATTCACGTAAATAATCCATCATTGAACATTATTCTTAAAAATAATGTTGAACTTAGTTTAAAAAAGATAAATATAAACAAAGAAGAAAGGCTAGCCTCAAGAGAAATATTAATAAAATACTTAGAAGAAAATTGCCAAAGTACTTATCGACCAGAAAACTTGGATAAAATAAATAAAAAAATTGACGATTATTTGATAAAGGAAGATGAAAACTTGAGAAAAGAATTAAAAACTTTAAAGAAAAAGGTGAATAATTTAAAAGAAGAAGGAGATTCAGTAAAGGAAAAAGAATTATTAAAAATGCAAATGGAGACTATAAAAGAATTAATAAAAAAAAATAATGAACTTATGGAAAAAGGCTTGTTTGAAGCTGTAGGAAGGGGAATGGATAAGATAGTAGATAAATCGGTTCAGGCTGCCATCGAAGTCGGCCAAGTACTAAATAGATGTCAGATTTCATAAATTAGCACTATTAAAAAATAAAAACAATGAAAAACACGAGAAATATTATTCTAATAGGAAGAACTGGAAATGGAAAATCAGCATTAGCAAATGTTCTTACTAACTCTAACAAATTCAAGGAAAGTAGTTACGCGGTTAGTGAAACTAGAAAAACACAGTTTGAAGAATTTGAGTACGAAAGAATTAATTATCGTATAATTGATACGATAGGAATTGGTGACACAAGAATGCCTCTTGAAAAAGTTTTGTATAAATTGGCAAAATTAGCTTATTCTTTAAAAGATGGTCTGAACCAAATATTATTCGTTTCTGACGGAAAATTCGCAGAAGAAACAAAATCAACTTTTAAGTTACTAAAGGAGGTTTTTTTTGATGAAGATATTAATCAATATACCACAGTGGTACGAACAAAATTTCCCAATTTTGATGATGATGATGAATGTAGTAAAGATAAGGCAAAGTTAATTGAGGAAAGTGGAGAACTTAGAAAAGTAATTGAAGAAAGAATTGACAAGATCATCTATGTAGATAATCCAAAAATTGACCTTGTTGGCGAAGGAGAAAAAATAGAAAAAAAGAAAAAAATAAACACAGAGACTCGCAATAAGTCTAGAGAAATATTATTAAAGCATTTGTCTACTTACGGAAATATTTACAGATCTACAAGTTTAGACAATTTGAACAAACGGATTGATGGATATATAAAAAGAGAGGAGGAATTAAGAGAAGAAACAAAAAGCGAATTTAAAAAGAGCCTCGAGGAAGTTAGAAAAGACAAGAGAGAACTAAAAAAAAAAATAACTAGAGAATTTATTCAACATATTAAGGAAGTAAATCCAAGCCTGAAGGAAGAAATTCAAGAGGAATTGAACGATTTATGAGATGGTTTGGATCAGGTAGAAAGCGAAGCAAAAAAAACGAAAATAAAAAAACCTTTTAATTGAATTTGAAATCAACTAGAATTAGATCTAGATCAAATAAATAATGATAATAATTTGGAAATAATAAAAAAAGAAACTCCTTTTTATACGGCAACTGAATCGAAGTCAAAAAATCAATTTAGAAAAGAAATAAGACAAAAAAAAACAGAAGGAGCAAAAATTGTGGAAAAACTTTGAAAAAAGACCACACAAAAATGGTTCGATGAGAAATATCTAGATAAGAATATTTCCGAGTTAAACATTAGTGGAAAAAAATTAAAAGGAACTTTAAAAATAAAAGGATTTAGCAATTTAGAAATATTAAATTGCTCTGACAACAAACTAATCGAATTAAAAGTTTGCGACTGCCCAAAATTGAAAGTGATCAATTGTTCAAAAAACAGACTTGCTTCTTTAAAAATTAAGGAATGTTTGCAATTAACTGAACTTAATTGCTCAAATAATTTAATTACTGATTTTTGTTTTGATTCTTTAAATCCTAATAAAATAACTATGTTTAATTTGATGCACAATGATTTTTCAAAGAAAGATTTGTCCTGTTTTAGCCAGTTTGTTAATTTGACCAGTCTCTTGATTGGTACTAACGAAAGGCGTCCATTTGCTACGAAATCACAACTTTTTTATAACCGTTTTTATGGTAGTTTAGAACCTTTAAAAAATTTGACTAAGTTAGAAAAATTAGATATTTCAGGAACGAATGTTAGTGAAGGTTTAGAATATTTACCTAAGAAATTAAGAAAATTTGAGTTCTCTGACAATGGTAGAGTTTGTGCTAAAGTAAGAAGACTTCAACCTGATATGATACAACAAACTCTTTGAGATAGCATGGCTGAAACAATTGAAAAAAAATCAATAGATGAAAGTAATAGCGAATTATCTGAAGGAGAATCATCAAATCAATCTCTATCAACTTATCACTCTTCATCCTCGTCAGGCATAACAACTTCGAAATCGCTGTCAGTTACTAAAAAAAAACCTCTTTCTCAAGAAACAGAGTTAAAAAAAAAGAATGAAGAATTAGAAGGAAGATTAGATAATTTAGAAGAAGAAGTGCAATCTTTAAGGCGAAGATTAGAGAGATTAGAAAGTACTGGAAAGCAAGCATCAGAACAGAAGGATAAGGCTCAAATCGAAGTTAATACTTATCAAAAAAATCTATAACATTATTATGACTACTAAAAAAGAAGTGAATAATAAAAAACAATACGGATTTCCGGATGAAGCAGAAATTGAAAGAGTTATTAAAAGAGTGACTCAACCAGGTTATCGCCGAATAAATAAACTTTTGCCACCTAATGCTAGCGAACAAGATAAAGTTAAGTATAATCTTTGTAAAAGTATAATTCGTTATTCCCGAGAAAATAATCTTTCTGAACAAGAATTAAAGCAAAGACTGAATATCGACCAAGTTAAGTTAGAATATGTTCTTTTTTGCCACCTTGACCGGTTTAATTTGGAAGAACTAATTGATTATGTAGCAAAACTAATGGGTCACTTGGAAGTAAAAGTAAATTATGACCGCTCAGAATCCTCCCCGCGAGCCTATTAATACTACCACTCATGAGTGTGATGTAGTAATCTTTGGCATCAGAAGAACTATTTTAAAAATTAGTCCTCATCTTCAGAAACGTAATGAGGAATTTCACCAGAGCAAGAAGAAGAAATTCAGAGAAAACCTAAGTCAATACCTCCTAGATGACAAAGTTATTAAAGATTTTGTTCAGCAATTACGCGAAGAAGAAGTATGGTTTGAAGGAGTAAACCTCTACTGACCAGCCTGGAAGTATTATGGTTGTGCTTCGGTTATTGACCAAAGAAATGGTTTGAAATACCTAATAATTTTCTTTTTAGATGATAACAATCCCGAATTAATTGGTGTTCTAACTGTCTATCCTTGGAAATAAGGCATATTTTTAGTAATATATTTAGTTTAAATTGCAAAGTATTAGTAAAAGTATGGAGACATACGGAAATAAAAGAAAATAAAAAACATGCCAAGAATAAATATAACATGCGACCAATGCAAAAAATATGTAGGAGATGAGAAATTAGCCTGACTCAGCGATGCCGAAAAAGATTTAGATTTTTGTTCTAAAGATTGTTTTCTTATATGGGCAGAGCAAACAGAAGTTAACTTAAGATTTATTGATTACCTAAAAAATCAGAACCCTGATTTGCAAGAAACAAAAGACAAATTAGATGAGTTAAAAAAAGAATATCATCAAGCCCAAAATTGACTAGATTTTAATTATCCTAAAGAAGAAAGGAAAAATGAAAAAGAGTTAGATATTAGTGAAAAAAGTTTGGAAGGTTCTTTGGATCTGTCTGATTTTGTTAATTTAGAAAGTTTAAATTGTATTAATAATAGACTTACAATTCTAAATGTCGGTGCTTGTAACAAATTAAGAGAACTTTACTGTAAAAATAATTGTTTAATTAGTATAAATTATCCAATTTCAAATCCAGAAAAATTAACCAATTTAAGCATAAGAAATAACAATCTTCCTAAACAAGACTTATCAGCTTTTAGTAAGTTTGTTAATTTGAAAGGGTTGTATGTTGGTAACGATGAGCAAGAAAAAATTAAACAAGGTATTAATAATCACTTTGTTGGTAGTTTAGAACCGCTAAAAAATTTAACTAATTTGAAAATATTAGACATTTCTAATACTGATGTTGATAGTGGCTTAGAATATTTACCGGAAAGCGTAGAGGAAATCTATTGTTTGAATGAAGAAAGACCGGAAAGTAAAGTGAGTAAAATAAGAGGAGAATTAGAAAAATCAAGTTTTCTTTTCAATGGCAATGATAAGTATGTTAAAAAACAAAATGCTCAAGAATGGTTGAATGAGAGTTTTCCTAAGAATGAAGTAAGTAACCTTGCTGGTTATGAAGGAAAAACTAGAGATAAAATCACCGAATTAGATATTAGTGAAGAAAGTTTAGAAGGTAAATTAGATTTATCAGATTTTACCAATCTAGAAATGTTAGATTGCTCTTATAATCAGTTAACCAGTCTAAATGTGAACAGTTGTCAGAAATTAAAATATATCAGTTGTGGTTTTAATAAACTAACTAACCTTGACTTAACTAATCTAACACAATTAAAAATAATTGAATGTAATGATAATCACCTAACTAAATTTGATTATTCGTCTTTAAAAAATTCCGAGAAGTTAACTTATTTAAACATCAGTGCTAATAATCTCTCGGAACAAGATTGCTCAGTTTTTAGTCAGTTTACTAATTTAGAGGTTTTATGAATTGGTAATGATAATGAAGAACATTTGGTTAATGATATTTACAACAAATTTACTGGTAGTTTAGAACCTTTAAAGGATTTAAAACAATTAAAAGATTTGCATATTAGTAATACTGATATTGATTCTGGTTTAGAACACTTATCTGAAAGCATGGAAACTATCACTTGCGAAAGCAATGAAAATTTTAAAGTCAAAGTCATCGCCAAAACATTGAAATATTTTAACCAAGATATCAAAAAATATAAAGAGTTTGCTAATAGTTCTGCTCAGAAATGACTAGATAAATATTATCCTGAAGAAGGAGAAGTATATAAAAAGGAACAAAAATGAAACAATAAAGGAAAGAAAAGAAAGGATATTGCTCAGTTAAATATTAGTAATATTACCAGCGGCAAAAATAAAACACAAGAACTAAAGGGAGGTTTAATGTTGAAAGGATTTACTAAGTTACAAGAGTTAGATTGCTCAAAAAACCAACTAACTAACCTAGATTTAAGTGATTGTAAAAAATTACAAAAGTTAGATTGCTCTAATAATCAGTTTGCTAATACTGAATTCCTTGAAAAATTGGTTACTAAAGGAGAATTAAAAGTATTAAAAATGTCTAATAATAAAGAAATTAATAGTTTAGACTTTTTAACTTCTTTTGAAAATTTGGAAGAATTAGACATCAGTGGCACAAATATCGAAGGAAATTTAAAATCCCTTAAAAAAAGTTTAAAAAAATTAAAGACTTTGAATATTACTAACACCAAAATTAGTGAAGGTTTTGAACATCTGGAGGGTTTGGAAAGACTCGCTTGTGGCAAAACTGAAATTAAGGATGAGCTAACAAAATACGGTAAATGTTCAGAAGATTATCAAGAATGAAATAAAGAACTTGCTGAAAAATACTATAATCTAAAAAAATGAAAAGAAAATAAAGCTAACCATGATACTTCTTCAGTAATTTCCTTAGAAAGATTATTTGTCATTAGAAGTAATATCAAGAAATTTGTTGATAAATGAGGAAAAGATGTTGAGGATAATTGGTACGAAAGAATTAACTTTCTTAATAAAAAGCCAAAAGTAGCAGAAAACACAACTACATTAGGCGAATTAAAGAATCCAGATGACTCTAGCAAACTACGATGAACAAATACTACTGTGCAATGAACTAGTCGTGCTGCTTCGGTAGTAGGTGGTAGTTTAGTTTTAATTGGACAGTCGGACACAGAAAATCCCAATTCTCAACTTTACACTCAAACAGGTGGTGTCATTGCAATTGTCTCTCCTTTTATGGAAATACTTACTTCCTATATAAATGATAAACTTTTTGAAGTTAGACAAGCAGAGTGGGATGCATTTGTGGAAGATGCCAAAAATCTGCTTGACAATTATCATGATTTGCAAGTAATGCTGGGAGGGATTGAAAAGAAAGAAGTAGGAGAAGTAAATACAGCACTTAATGATTTAAGGGACAAAACTAAAACATTTTTAGACAAGTATGATGAGGATGGAAATGGAACCATTAACGTTTCAGAATTAATAGAAAAAAAAAGTAAAAGTAAATTGGCAACAGATTTAAGTAAGGAAAAAGGAGGAAAAGCACCAGGAGGCAGTCAACTAGGAAGAATTGCTGAACTAATTAGAAAGTTAGAAGAAAGTATAAATAGTTATCGTCAAGACAAGATTTCAGAAGAAATGTTATTAAAAATGTCATTAAGAAACAAAAAACAAGAATTAACTTGGAAAATAATTGATTCTACTAATTTGTCTGAGAATAATAATAGTGAGAAGGGAAAAAATTATTGAGAAGATTATTTAGATCTGAAACATTGAAATTGAATAAAAAAAGATTTAGAAGATACTAAAGAGAAACCACTACATCACCTTGCTGAAATAATAGCAAAAAAATTAGAAAGTACCAATAATAATGTACATGCATTAGATGAAAGACAATTAACAGAATTTCTCAAACAAACAAAAGACTTTTGTGATATATTAAAAAACGACAATGAGTTAGGGGAAATTTTCTCATCTCTAGAAGGAAAAGTAAAAGAATTGCAGGATCTAATAGATAAACATGGCACTGATGATGAAAAAGAAAAACCAAAAGATGAACTAAAAAAGGAAGAAGAGGACAAGTCAGAAACAATTAAACAAACAATAGAAAAAATTGACAAAAATATAAAATATTTACGTGAAAAAGTTGAGAAAGAAGAAAAAATAGTTGATGAGGTAATTAAGTTGTTCGAGAAAGAAGAGAAAGTAGAAGAAGACATAAAAGTGGATAATGTTTCTTCACAACAGCCGAAGGAAAAAGTTGAGGAAATATTCACTAAACTAAAATTAGAAGAAGAAATCGAGAATCAAATAAAAAAAGTTTATAAAGATGAGAAAGAAATAGAGGGAGAAAAAGCTAAAATAATTAGAAAAATAAAAAATAAACTAGAGGAAAAACTAGAAGAAAAGTCACAAGCATCCTCTCTTTCTAGCACTAGCGATGGATGAAAACAGTGATTTTTTTCTACTAGTTTCTTGAAAACGGAAGATAAAAAGAATGCTGCATCAGTAAATTCAGAACTAACTAGTCAAAAAGAAACAATAATTGACTTAGAGGGAGATGAAAAGGAAACAAATAAAGAAGATCCTCAAGAACAATCTTCTACCCAAGCCCAAGTAGAAATGCCCCCTAAATAAAAAACCATGTTTGCAAAAAAAAAGGGAATAACATACAACTTTACACCAACTTTAAAAATTATGGAAAGAATAATTAAATGTAGCAAATGTAAAAAAGATTTTATCCAAAAATGAATTAATCGAGAAAAATCTTGAAGTAAAATGAATGAGATTTTTTATTGAACCAATGGAGAAAAATGAAAAAAATATGACTATTTTTGTCGGTCATGCTTAAAAAAATGGTTTGAGTTGGAAAGAGAAAGTTTTGATAAGTTAGTAGTTGATGAAGCCAAGCGAAGAACTTTTTTTTCCTATCGAGGTCATGGTGCTTTTGATAAGACCGACCACTTAAAAACCTAAAAATGTTCCATTAGAAAGATGAGAGTATAGTTTGTTGAATGTTTAATGCTACTCAAATATCATTAAAAATATAAACATATGATAACATGTGTAAAATGCCAAAGGGCTCTTGGTAGTTCAGAGCCTTATGGAACTATAAATAACAAACAATATTGTGCTTCTTGCTGGAAGTGTGCTAACTGCCAACAACATTTAGGCAAAATGGTAAATGGCTATAACGGAACTATTTACGAAGAAAATGGTAAGTTCTATTGTAGCGTGAAATGCCAACTAGCAGCAAAACCTAATTGGAACTGTAGCAAGTGTAATAAACAAATTAGCCAAGAAGAAAAAGAAAAAAGTGATAAAATAACTCACTGCTTCGTTCTTTACTGTAAGACTTGTTATAAAGAAGAAACTTGCTCGAATTGTAATCGACTTACTGAAAGAGATTTATGCTTGGAATGCTCCGTTCAAGCAAGAATTAGAGATGAATTTAATAATTCTTATGGAGAAACTCCTCCTCCAACTCATACTTTCTATAATAAATGTGAATGTGGAAATTCAAAACCTACTTCAAATATAAGATGTGGTGATTGTAATAGCAGAGAGAGAGAGAGAGAGAGAGAGAGAGAGAGCAAAAATGCCCCAAGTGTGGTGGTAGCGGGAAAGGTTCTCAAATTTGCGAAAATATATTCTGTGGTAATTACTTCAAAATAAGGAATAATCCTTCATCTAACAACTCATCCAGTAAATTCAAAAAAGGTGGTTGTCGAAAGTGTGTTGGGAGTAATGTCTGAATTGTAGAAAACGGTCTTTGCTTTAAATGTGTTCTAGACAATTATCATTTATTAATCCAAGCAGCAATAAAGCAAGATGGTTTAGAGAAAACAAGAATTGAATGAGAAAAAGTTAAACAAAAAGTAGAAAGATGGTTCACAAATATAAAAAATGATGAACGATACCAAACTGGATTAACTGAAGAGGAAAAAAGGGAAGGTGAGAAAATGGCAAATGAACTTTTTCAAGCAATTGAAGAAGAGATTTATCCGGAAAGGAAGAAAGGGAATAGTGGCTCAGGTTGGATATGGTTATTGGTAATAGTGGGAGTGGTTGCAGTTGGAGTAATTGGTTTGATTTTATATAGAAACAAGCAAAGAAATAAAAAGTAGCATGATGATGAAGTTTAAGAGTTTCTATGATTTGAAAAAAGCATTTCCAACTGAAAAGAGTTGTATCAAGTATTTAGAAAAACACAGATGAAAAGGAATTATAACTTCTCCCCTTGACCCCACTTCCAAGGTTTACAAGTGTAAGAATAATAGATATAAATGTAAGAACACTGGCAAATACTTCAATGTCAGAACCGGAACTATATTTGAAAACTCCAAGATATCTTTACAAAAATGATTTTGAGCCTTATTTGCTTTTTCTTCTCGTAAAAAAGGCATCTCTTCTTACCAGTTAGCCCGAGAAACTGATATTACTCAGAAATCAGCCTGATTTATGCTTCATCGTTCTCGTTATACTTTTGACCAACTTAGTTTTATTAAGGAGATGTTAAAGGGAGTTATTGAAATAGATGAAATGTTCATAGGTGGCAAGAACAAAAACCGACACTGAAACAAGAAAATTCCTCATTCCCAAGGTAGAAGTTGTAAAGATAAAATTCCGATTTGGGGAGCAGTTGGAAGGGATAGTGGTAATATGATTGCTAGGGCTGTTCCTAATAATCAACAAAGCACTTTGGTGTCGTTGGTTAAGGATAATATCAAAAAAGGTTCTGATGTTTACAGTGATGAATTACCTGCTTATGAAATTCTAGGTAAATGATACAATCATGAAATAGTTAACCATAGAAAGAAGCAATATGTCAATGGTAAGGTTTCTACTAATACTATCGAAAGTGCTTGAGCTCCTTTCAAAAGAAGCATTTATGGAATTTATCACAACATAAGTAGAAAACATGCTCAAAGATATATTGATGAGATTACTTTTCGTTATAATACTCGAAAATATGAAGAGAAAGAAAGGTTTGATTTAGCACTTTTATCAAGTATGGGAAAACGATTGACATATCAACAATTAATCAATTAAAGATATGAAAAATAAGAATACAGAAATAATAGAAGCAAAATACAAAGGTGAATTAGACCTAGTAGGATTTAAAATATCTTGTTATGTTTTGGAAGATGGAAGGAGAATTTTATCAAATAGAGGCACGGCGAGGGTTTTAAAAATGACGGATGAAGGAGATAAACAAGCAAGTGGGTCAAGATGAAACCGTTATTTAAATCAAAAGTCTCTTAAACCCTTTATAGACAAGGTCAAGGTGGTGGGCCACCTTGACCCCATTTTCTTTCGTTATAAAGGAAAAATTGGTTATGGTAATGAAGCAACCTTATTGCCAGATATATGTGATGTTTTTTTAGAAGCAAGAAGAAACATAAACTTATTGCCACGGCAAAAAATCATTGCTGACCAATGTGAAATAATAATGAGAGCATTTTCCAAGGTTGGTATTATCGCCTTAATAGATGAAAAAACTGGCTACCAATATGAAAGGGAAAGATTTGAATTAAACAAAATATTTAGACTGCTCGTTTTAAAAGATAGATTATTTTCAAAATGAAAGGAAATGTTCCCACTAGGTTATTATAAGGATGTATTTGGAGTTTATGATGTATCTTTTACTCCCGAAAACATAAGGAGAAAACCACGATTTATTGGTTGACTAACTAATGAACTAGTTTATAAAAACTTACCAAAAGGTTCATTTGTGTTAAAAGAGATAAAATCAAGAACTCCAAAAACCAAAGGAGGGCATTATAAAAAAAGGTTTCACCAATCTTTAACTCCCCTAGGAAAAAAGGCTGTGGAAGAGATAATTAATACAGTAAGAACATTGGCTTGGGTTTCCGGAAAAGATAGAAATAAATTTCGGAGATTAGTAAAGGAAAGGCTTCAACTTGAAAGGGAATTGCCCTATATAGATGTAGAAGCCATGGATGATAGTAAAAAAGAAACGGATTTTGATAAGGTATTAAAAACTGCTATAAATACACCACCACTAAAACTGAAAGACCTCAAAGAAAAGTTGAAGAAAGCAAATGATAATAAGTAGGCTTATTGGCTTGGTGTAAAATTATATATTAATCCCAAAAAAAAAAAAAAAACAAGTAGTCTTGCCAATAATCAATCATGTTTAGTAAATGTTATCGTTGTCAAGAAATACTTTGGGGAGCCTCAGTTAAGGACATCAAAGGCAATGACTACTGCCTTGATTGTTCAAAATGTTCCCAATGCCACTTAAAACTTACCGGCAAGTATCATGTTGGTCTCAAAGGAGGTTTTTGGTGTAGTGATTGTGTCAAAAATCATCGCATTAAAGAAGTAGCAACCGCCCAACAAGAAATAAAGAAATTAGCCCAAGAAAGAGAAGAATTGCAAAAACAATTAGATGAGTTAAATAATCCCGCTTCTCATTGTGAAATTTGTTCTAAAAAAATAAAGGGTGGTGATACTTATTATGCTACTTCCCAAGAACCAGATAAAAAAACTTGCCCTACTTGTTATCAAGACCAAATAGATAAAAGGTTAGCCGAAACAAAAAGGAAGAAAAAAGAATTAGAGAGAGAAAATGAAGAAGTTAACGATATAATGGAGCAAGCCGAACAAGCCAACTTAGCAGGAAAAGTTTTTGTTCTTTCCGAGCGAGGAAAAAAGTTATTAGGATCCAAGGGAGTAAAAATTGTTGAAGATGGTAATAATTTAGTGAGAAAACAACAAAATCAAGATAGTCAGAATAATTATCCTACTTCTCACGATAATCAAAGATTTAATGATAATAGTAAAAAAGATCAAGGATTGGAATATTTGACCCCTCTTCTGGTCGGAGGCGGAATAATTATTATAATAATTTGTTTGATTAAAAGTGGCAAAAGCAAGCAACAAGCTTTTAGTTCTACTAAAAACAGAAAAAATAAAAAATAGAATATGACATGAGGATATTGATATTGTTCTTATTGTAGGGAAAGCACAAAAGGCAAAGGCGATCATTGAAGTTATGATGGAGGTAGCATTACACAAACTTGCTCCAAACCCGAATGCCAAGCATTAGAAAAAGAACAAAAAGAGACAAAAAGAAAAAACCAAGAAAATATTAATGACATTCATGATGAATATAACAAAGGTAAGAAAGAACTAGATGACTTGGAAGAACAGTTGAAAAAGAACATTAATCAAAAACTTAATGATGATGCTAAAAAAATAAATAAAGAATGAACTTGCTTAAAATGTCAAAAGTTCATTCCCTTAACCGAAAGCACTTATCAACACAAAGGCCAATCTCCTTATTGTAAAAGTTGCGTCACGGAACTTATTATCCAAGACTTTAATAATAAACAGCCTCAACGATGTGATGATTGTTCCAAAGACATCTCTAATGAAAAAGGATATTATAAAGATGAAAGTAGAACTGGTAACTTAATATGCCAAAGTTGTGCGATAAAACGTATCCAAAATAATACTCCTCCTTCCTCTCCACCTAATAACACTTCTTTTTCTCAGGAAATTAGCAATGTTGGGTTTAAATGTTGTGAGTGTAAGAAATATATTGATTCTGGAAAAATTGTTAATTATAGCCCTCAAAACCCTAACGAAAAGTGATGTTTTAGTTGTGACAGCGAGGTAAATAAATGTTTATCAATAGCCGAAAAAATATTAAAAGGAGAAGAAGTTGATATTAGCAAGGCAGATATTAATTCTAACAAGAAAAAAGAATTAGTTCTTTTAGCTCGGCTAAAGAATGGCGAGGAAGTAGATTTAGATAAAGAGGACTTAGACTCCGAAGACAAAGAAAAAGTTAAAAAATTTCAAGAGATGATTAAGAATGGCCAAATACCGACTAACCCGAAGCCCATTAATGTTCCCGTTCCTAAACCATTAGCCGGTCATAAATATGCCGTAATTTGTAAGGATTGTAAGAAAGAATATAGCACTAAAAATAAAATCCCTAGTAGATGTAAGGAGTGTAGTAGCAAAAGCATTAAAGTTTATGGGACTAGCGGACAAGAGTTAATTATTCCTATTAAAAATGATAACAAGGATAATACTAATATTCCACCAACTCTCATAATACTATTCCTAATTTTCTCCATAATTAGTAGTATATTCTTTTGGAGGTGAGTAAAAAGAAAAAGGTCAAAAACTCAGAATATTAAGGATTAAAGGTCAATATTAACCTGATGGATAGAAAAGATGATAAAAGCATGACCGAATTAGTCAAACGGATTGCTAGTTTACAATAAAGGAAATTTCTTTAACAAGAAAAATTAATTGTATATGGATAAAACCAGTGAAAAAAAAACTATTAATGAAAAAATATTAGAACACAAGAAACAAATTGAAGAATTAAAAAAGCAAAAATTATTAGAAGTTTTGCGGGAATTTTATATTAAAAAGAAAATTAACCACGCCTTGCCTAATCCACATAGTAAATATAATAGCGTTTATCTTACTTATCTTCGTTGAAAAAAGAAATATCCCAAAGAATTGCCAAGTTTTAAAGAAATTTTAATTAGATAGTTATTTTTATTACTCTTTGCAGAGATAAGGTTTTTTGAACTAATTGTTTTCCGCTTGAACTAAGAAAGTTCCGATAATTCCGTCTTTAGAATGTTCCTGAGATGAATTTTAGTTTTTTAGTAATATTAGATTTAAAACTTAGTATGTAAGTAATAAAACTATATAAAATAAATTAAGGAAAAGAAATCCGACTACAATCGGAAATCAATTCCTTAACCTTTTTGGGAAGTTATTTCATGCTTCTCACAATTAGTTTAGCAAAAAAAACTAATCTAATTGGGGAAATACAATAGTTAGGTTGCTAGCAGTTGAAAACTGCAAACTTATCTATTTTTGCCAAATAAGAGCAATAAGCGAGGGCTAAAACTCTCTGAGTAATACCCCAGTGAACCCCACTGTAAATCTAAACTCCCGCAAAAGAAATTTAGTAAGTGGAAGTAGACTGATACCGCCAAGTCCTAACTATTGATTTGCCAAATGATAAAAATATATAGGCGAAATATACCCATATTAATTATTTTAGTGATTAGAGATAGAAGAGTAGTCATTTTTTTCACTCAAAAATCCCTTTACTTATAAATAAGTAATAATAAATAACATAACTCTCTTTATCCCCTTTTTCTTTCTCTTATTTTTAATTCTCTTTTTCTTATAAGGTTCTATCCAAAGGTTAGTCTATATAGAAAGAGAAAGTATAAAGAGAAACCAAACCCAAGAAATTTAAAATACTATGAATAACACTAAATATCAAGAATTCTTACAAAAGAAAAAAAATCTAATCAAAGAAAATGAAGCACTAATCAAGGAACATGCTAATTTAGAAACAGTAATCGAAGCCCAAAGACGAAGAAATGAGATTGAAACTCGACAAAAAGATATTGCTGATGAGTTATTAAAAATTCATGTCGAATTCCTGCAAAATGATGAAGATGGTTCGCAAGGATAATGAAAGGACAACCCCAAGTAAATATTCTGAAGTATTTGATAAATCACGAATGAATTGTTAAAATGTAATTAAGAGAATTAAAAATAAAAATTATGAAAAAAAATAATCAAAAATATCAAAGTTTTGGTGAGTTTGTCAAGCATATTGAAGACCCTAATTCGGATTATCCCTGAGTAGCGAAAGATTTACCGGAAAATGCTACTAGTTTAGAAAAGGCTAAATATGAACTCTGTGAGAAAATATTAGGTTACCAAGAGGATAATAAACTTAGTGATGAAATATTAGCCCAAAGAATTGGACTTAGTAAAGATGAAACTCTGCAAATCTTATTCTGTTGAATTGAAAACTTTACCTTGGATAGTCTAATAACTTACGCTAATAAATTGTTCTCACCGACCCAAATTCAAGTCACCATCCGGCAAACAAAACCAAAATCAGCACATGTCCGAGTTGTTTAAATTTGAAAGCGAGGAGTTAATTGATGATGAACAACGTTGAACTTACTCTTTATTATCACCCTTTATTTTTAAAAAATGAACTATCACCAAAATAACCATTACTGACCATCCTTGAAAAAAGAAAGGTCGGGAAATAATTACTAAGGAATTAATCTTGGATATTTTACAAAATAAACTCAATGGACGAAAGAGATTAAAGCCTTTACCGGACAGTTATTTATTATGAGGTCGGGAGGTTTTTCGTTTTGAAACTACTTATCAGGATAAGAAATATCGTTTCTTTTTTTGACTAAAAGACCACACGATTGACCATCTCTGAATTAAAAATTGTCATCGGATTGACTAAATATAAAATTGTAAGACATTATGACTAATTCTAAAAACAACAAAACTTTTATTATCCAATATGATCCGACCAACTCCCCTCAGTCAATGTTTAAAGGATTTTGAGAAGCAGTGGATACAGACAAACCTAATATTCAGCCCAAAAACTTAATGGTGGTTGATAGCATCGAAACAGCTTATAAAATAATGACTGAACCCCGCTTGGAAATCTTTTATGCGATTAGTGAAAATAAACCCCAAAATATTAACCAATTAGCCGAAATTTTAGGCAAGGATGCCGCAAATGTTTGACGGGATTGCCAAGTATTAGCTAATATTGGCATTATCAAGTTAAAAAAAGAAGTTAAAGAAGTAAAACCAATTGCTTTATATGAGCGAATTATCTTAGATTTTCCTAATAGGGAATCATTCAGTCAAAAACTTTCGACCATTACTCTTCCGATTAGTCATTAATTATTTTGAGCGATGGTTGGGAATTAAGTATTCCGCTGGACTGATTTGTTAAATGAGGAATGGAGGATGTTAGCAACAAAACCATATTTTAATCTTTTTTCTTTCGCTTTTCTATTAAACAAAAACGACAGATTTTGCCTTCTTTAAGTGTTTCAACACCAAACAATTCATTACTGCACTTAATTTGACAAATACCACATCAAAATTCTTTATCTTTTTCTTTCTCCTCTTCACCCCGACCGAGAAAAAGACTAATAAAGGTTATCAAAGGTTGAAAAGGCAATACTAGTCCAAAGATAAGAATTAACCAAAAGGCCACTTTACTTTTTCTACTTGATAAACGAACTAATTGAAATATTCAAGTGATAAAAGAGGCTAAATAAATGAGGACAGCAAGTCCTAAAATTTCTTCTCCCATATTCTATTTTAATTTTCTTTTATTTTTTACCTTACTGTTTCTAATTACAATTATTAGTGTAACTAATAAGATAATAATAACACCAATAATTACTCAGGGTTGGTGGAAAAAGGGTTTGTTCTTCTCAACTTTTGGGTCAGAATTTGATTCTTCCCTTCGATAATCCTTTAAACTCTTAATATTGCGTAATTGTTTTTTGGCCTCCTCAGAAATATTTAGTTGGTCAATATTAACTTTTTCTCCCCGTTGAATTCGCTGAACTGCTTTTAAAGTTATGGTCATTTCTTGATTTAAACCGAGATCATCAACCTTAACATCGAGAATACTTTCATTATTTTCTATTTTTTCCGCAATAGGTTTCATAATTTCTTGCTTTTTCTGACAATCTAGACTATCTTGGAGATGTTGGTTGCATTCTTCTTCCGAATAAACTCTTTTTTGGCAGAAAGGACAATCGAGATAACTTGTTCCGTTTGAATTTGTTCCCTCTGATGGAGGATTAAAAGAAAAGGGAGAATTATTAGTGGGTGATGGCTGATTAGGAGAATCATTCCGATTATTAGCAGAAGAATTAGAACTTACCGGTTTTTCTTTGGTTTCTTCCTCAGTGTTAGTTGGTGAGGAATTGGTTTTATTTTTCTTAGTTTGTCAGCAACTGGCACATAAGGTTCCACTTTTACTCTTAGCATCTTGATAATAACTTTTTTCACCAGTTCCTATTTTTTTACTACAAGTGTCGCATTTTTCCGCATAGTGACTTAAACAACAACTTTTCGAACAAAACTTTTTACCATCATTGACATTAGGATTGTGCCAATCCATTTCAGCTGCGGTACCCGACTTTTTACATTCTTGACAGATAGTTGGAACATTTAATTTGGCTAACTGTTCTTCTAATTCTTTTAATTCGTAACAATTACCGCATAAAGTGCCAGTTCAATTTGTCGTATCGCGATAGTAAGATTTGCCGGTAGCTTTACAGCCACACTTATCGCAATCTTCAGCGTAGTAGTATTGATAACACTTACTGGAACAAAATCTTTCGTAAAAGTTGCCTTCGTTACCTTTTTTGTAGATATAACCACCAAATCCTTTTTTACCACATTTCCGACACATACATTTCTGTTCTTTCTCCCATTCTCGAAAATGGCTTTCAGTGCAAAATACTCACTGCTTATTAGGATTAGAAGCATTGTCAAAACTTTGAGTTAGTTTATCGGTGTCTTTGTCATAAATATAATGATAAACATTAGAATATTTGCCACATTTAGCACAATGAGATGCTTTTCACTCATTAATTTTTTTCTCTTGTTCTGCCTTGGCTTTCTCTTCCTCTTTCTTTTTGGCTTTTTCCTTTTCTTCTTCTACTCTTTTCCGGAAATCACTTCATTCATTCTGAAAGTATCTGGCAACATCTCTGTAACAAGAGTTACAATGATTAAAAGTTGCTTTACTACCATTAGGTGATTCATAATTTCTAGGATAAGCTCCTGTTCCTCCACATCCTTGACAGTATGCCATAATCTTATAACTTTTTAACTAAGTAATTAGTGCTAGTTCTTTTTTTTTTTTTTTTGTAAAATATCTGATACTTTTCATAATTATTCCTTACTATTTGTGAGGTTGTTCAATTTGAACTTTAATGTCATCTTTTTCTTCCTGTCATCATTGATACGCTTGCCTTAACTCATTTAAATTTAGTTCTCCAGTAGTAATTCTTTCTTTTACTCACTGCGGGTCAGCAAAGTTTTCTATCTCTTTACTTTTTTCTTCTTTTATCCAATAGATAAAGTCTCTTTCCTTATCATATAAATCAGGGAAAACAGCAAATCATTCTTGTAATTCCTTTTCACTACTTTCACTCTTTTTCCCCCAGAACTGATTTTTTCTGAACAATTGTCGTCAATTCTTGTTACTGGAAGAGAGTTCAGAAAGAGCTTTTTTCTCAATGTCTTCTGGTTGAACATTAGAACATTTATCATCCACTTCATCACCTTTTTCATTTGCCCAATGATGGTGGCATTGGCGATATTTAATTATTTCTTCTTCTAATAATCTCATTATTTCTACGGTATCTTCCAATTCATTTTTTTTCCCTTTTTTTTCACTTTCATTATTTTCCCAATGCTTTCTTAATTCCTCAGTAAGTTGACTTCTTGTTTTTTCTTTTAACATTAACTTTCATTCAGAATAATTAATCTTGCCATCACAGTTTTTATCAAATTTCTCACCTCCTAAAAAACTAAAAATTTTATCATTCAAATTTTTTATTGCCTCATTAACATTACCCGAGGAAGAAATTTGGATCGGTTCAAGTATTCCAATTAACTCATCACAACTATTTCATAAGTTTTCTGTATCCCTGATAAATTCTTCCCATTTCTTTTCCTTAGCATCATAAATATCTTCCTTTACTCGTGAAAAAACTGTCTCAAAAAACGCAGAAGCTATCCCAATTGCTCCTCCTATTTGGTTATAATTGTCATTTATTGCTAAAATCCCCCCACCTACGGCAGCAGCACGACTAGTTCATTGAGGAATAACTGCATATCAGTATTTTCCGTATTCTTCAGGCGACTGTAATCTACTCAAGTTATCATTGCCTTTTTTTTCTCAAAGAACCTCTATTTTTTCTCAGAATTTTCATCATTCGCTATCTTTATTATTATTTTCCTCTCCTCACTTATCATGAAACCTTTTCATATTGCTTTTGATAACATATAGCCTTTCCAGAGGGATAATCAATGCAATTCCGTTTTGCTTATCTTTCTTTCATTTGACTAAATCATAATATTCAGCATCAGAGTTATCTTTATCATTCTTCAAATACTTACCAAACTCCTTAACAATTTTTGCAGATTTACCTTTACCATTACGATCACAATAAAATCTTTTGCAGTTTGTTGACAAATACTCTAAGCCTTCCTCTATATTGGTATTGCTGACACGGATTTTTTTTAATTCACTCATAGTTTTGATAGACTCTAAACTGCCTTCAAATGAACAATTTTCTACATTCAGTTCTTTTAATCCTGTAAAAGAGACCAAAAAATCTAAACTTTGTCTAGGTATTCTACTATTGCTTCCTATATCTAATTCTACTAATTTATTTGGTTTACGTAAATTTATTAAAAAATTTGTGCTAGTAAATCAGTTATTAGCACAAATTAATTTTTCCAATTTTTCGCAATTACTTAAATCTAAGTTAGTTAATTGGTTATTTGAGCAATTTAATTCTTTTAACTTGTCAAATCCTTCTAATTTCAATCTTCCTTTCAACTTCTGATTACTAATATTCAGAATAGTTATTTCTTCTCTTCTTTTATCTTCGTTTTCTCTATCATACTTTCTGTTGCAGACATTATCCTCGGGATATTCTTTGTCTAATCATTTTTGAGCATGGGTATTATTATCTTCTCTTCAAACTTGAAGATTGTATTTACCATCTTTTCCGTAACCGTTAAGTTGCTTAAAAATTTCTTTCACCTTGACCTCATTTCTCAATTCGTTAGCACAATAAAGCTCTTCCAAATTATCCGGCAAGTATTCAATACCATTGTCTATATCAGTATTTTCAATGTTGAGTAATTTTAGATTATTAAGATCCTTTAAAGGCTCTAAACTTCCCAAAAAGCGATTGTAAATATTCTGCACTATCTTTTTTTTATCTTTATTACCAATTTGTAATTCTCTTAGATTTTTAAATCTGCTTAAGGGGGATAATTTTAATTCACCTTCTTCTTTTAGGTTATTACTATTGAGATTTAAATATTCCAAAATTTTGGAATCTAATGGGCTTAAAAAATTCAACGAAGATATTTGATTATCATCACATTCTAATCTTTTTATCTTTTTTGTGTCTTGTTCTAGTCAAATATCAGTTAAAAAATTATGATTACACCAAATCTCCTCTAAATTAGTTAAATTATCTAACTTCAATTCTGTCAATTTATTATTACTGCAATCTAATTTTGTCAAACTAGTAAAGTCATTTAAATCTAGTTTACCAATTAAATTTTCGTGACTAATATCTAGTTCCTTGATACTGTTTCTTTCTTCTTTAGGATAATTAAAATCTAATCAAATTTGGGCTTGTTTTTTAAATGCGGAAGGATTATGACCTTTGCTTTTTAAATAGGCGACAAAGTCTGATTCACCTAATTTCAAGCCTGCTTTTATTCACTGTTTTATCTCTTGTTCACTAAAATTTTTTTCCTTTCACTCCATAACCTGACGTCACTGAGAAAATCTATATCAATCTTTGGTTCATTTAGTATCGCTTTCCTCAATTTTTGTTGCTTCCTCACTTATGTCAACAATTTTATTAACCTCTTTTAGTTCCTCTTCTATTGCTGAACAATTTCAAACTTTCTCCCCTATTTTACTACTACATCCAATTTTTTTCAAACTTAGTGGCAGATGCTCTAATCCAGAACCAATATCGGTACCACCAATGTTTAATCATCTTAACTTTTTTAGTTTTTTCAGCGGTTCTAGACTGCCATGGAAGCGATTATAAATGTTATTATCGAATCTTGCTTTGTCATAATTATCAATATATAATTCTTCTAAGTTAATAAATTTTCTAAAAACTTCTAAACTTAAATTATCATTATTTTGCAAGTTATTAGTATGAACGCTTAAATAAACCAATTTCTTGGGATCCAAATCATCAAGAAAATCAAAACTATCAAATAAGTTGCAAGAGATATTGAGGTGGCTAATTCTCGGACAGTCAGTAATTTTCAGGCTAGTTAGTTTGTTTCCATAACAATAAATTCTAGTAAGTTTTGGACAGTTAATGAACTGTAAGCCAGTTAACACGTTTTCATTACAATCTACTCTCTCTAAGTTACTGAATTCTTCTAGTTTTAGTTCTCCTTCCAAATTTTTTTTATTTACGGATATCAAACGTACCTTTCTTCTTTCTTCTTTGGGATATTCTTTATCCAATCATTCTTGTGCTTTTACCATATTATATTATTACTTAAATTATTAAAAAATTAATTTCCACAACACCACTTCTGAGGTAATCAACTTTTAGCAGGTTGTTCTTCCTGAATTATCAATTGTTCTCTTGTTCTTTGGCTAGTTGAATTAGTAGAAGTTATTTCTTCCATTCCTAATTGCTGATTATTTAAATATTCAACCACATCTTCCAAAGAAGTGCAAACTTTTGTCCCATTTTTCTCCACCAAATTAGCCACTGCCTTCAAAGATTTGATTTGACTTTCTGCAAATCCTTCTTCCAAATAGCAAAAAATAGTTTTTTCTGGTCTTTTATGGCTATCATCCACTACCTCAGCAATGGAATAAACTCCGCTCATTTCTTTGGTGATAACGTAAAGGAGAAAATCACAGATTTCTTTTTGTCGCATTTCTTCATCTTGTCATGCAGGAGTTCAGTCGTCGACAATGGGGTTAAAGTAGTCGATACCAACTTCCTCTAACTGAGGGATTAATCTTTCTTTGCGTCAGTCATTTGACTTGTTTCAAGTTCCGCCCAAGAAAACTTTTTTCTTTTTTGATAGTTCAGCACTCTGACTAACTCTTTGTTGAGAATCTTGGAAAATTACTCTTTTTTTAGGTAAATCAGTGCGAAGATTCTTATCATAATCTGTTTCTTTTATTGCTGTTTTGGATAAGTCTAATTTGTTAATTTTACTTCCTTGGCAATATAAAAGATATAGTTTTGGGTTATTTAACTCTAATTTTTCTAAGCCAGTAAAAGCACAATTTAAATTTATTAAGTCAGGACAGTTGCTTAAGTCTAAATAACCCATTAGTTTTGGATTCATATGACAAGCAACCACCCTTAGTTTACTTAAATTTGCTATTTTTAAAAAAGTTAACTTGTTATTGTAAACATGAATAGTGGCAATATTAGGATTGTTTGTTAAATCCAAGTCTTTTAATAAGTTGTTGTTAAAATTTATGAAACTAAGATTCTTATTTTTGCTAAGGTCTATACTACTGATTTGTCCATAAGAAAAATGTATTTCAGTGAGTTTTTCATTTTGACTTAAGTCTAATTCAGAAATTGGATTAGAAGAAGGGTTTAGGTAAGTGAGATTTTTATTGTTGGTTAAATCTAAACTAGTGATTCGGTTTTCGTAGCAGTCTAATTTTTCTAGATTAGTAAAATCTTTTAGGTTTAAATGACCTTCTAAGTCTTTACCAGAAATTTCTAATGTTTTGAGGTTTTTTCTTGCTTCTGATGGGAAGTTTTTATTTATGTATTGTTGGGCGATTACCATGATATTATTTTTTAGGTGGAATTTGGACTTGGGCTTGATATTGATTATCTAGACCGATTATGAAAGTTTTTTCTTCAGATTTTGGTTTTTCTAAGTTTTCGTATCCTTCTTCTATTCTGACTAGATCTAGACGATGACAAAGATCATTCCCTATTTCTTTAACTTTTATGACTAATAAAGCAAACTGTTTACCATCACTTTTTCATATTTCTTTATTAGGAATCAACAAAATCCTCCCCTTATTCGCTGCTTTCATACCTGCTTTGGTTCCAGACAACGTTAATGCCCCTACTTCCTTTTCTTTTATTTTTACTCATACATTTCTCATTCAGAGTCCACCATCTACTATTTCTTCTCGGTCTAAACTATATACCCCCCTACTTTTTTCAGTATCAAATATTTCATATTCAGAAGCCTTTAATTTAATTCCTTTGTCTTGCACAAATTCAAGACAGCGATCCTCGGAAAGTTTATCACGATAAAAATCTATGTGTATGACACCAACTATACTACTCGAACCACTAATTTCATCTATTTCTGGCAATCAACACAATCCCAGAGTTCTGCTTCCTATTCCATACCAACACAAAGGATCGCCATCGCCGTATTTAGTAGCAACAAACATAGCTTCCCGTAACACTGATTCAGGATCCTTACGATAGTCAACTTCTATTTTTCGTCCATAGTATAGCAACCCTATTATTGAATATATACCATCTTGCGGAAGACTTCTCTCTCTTCTTTTTACTGCTCACAGTGCTTCATTTAATCTGAGAGCTACCTTATCTCCGACACTATATCCAATAACTTTTTTCTCATTATTTTCTTCCTCATAATAAACTCAACCGACTGGAGTAGCAGCTTTTTCTTTACACAATTCTTTTATATCTTTGCATTCTTCATAACGAACTTCTGAAACTTGGGCAAGTTTCCAAATTAAAGCCATAAATCGACCATCAACTAAAAAATCATCAAACATAAATATCGTTCTCTTAGACAAAAATCCTTCTTGAAAAGTTCAAGAACGGGAGAATCATTCGGAACTGATTATTTTTTCTAGTATTGGTAACGAGTTTTCAATTATTTTGCTTGGATAAAGAAACTCAGTTTCGTTTTTTTTTTTAAAAGAATTTATTAATTTTACAATATTTTCCTCACCAACTTTCGCATTTATTGGTATCAAAGTAATAGTAGCATTACCATAATATTCCCTCATTTTTGGAATTTCGTGTCCCTTTTCCTTTAAATCATTTTGATTAATACATAATTGATCCATTCATAAATATTTAATTTTGTCTTTTTCTTCGAACAAATGAAATTTATTAAGAATCTCGAGAGTTTTAATAGCTTTTTTTAGAACCTTTTTTCCGCCTGGACTTAACCTTTTCTCGGCACTTTCGTAACTTCATTCAACATCTTTCCTAGGTTCACCACCTCAGGAATAAGATAAAATGGCATATTTTTCGGCCTGATCAACACATTCAATTCTTTTTTTTACTTTATTTTCTTCCCCGCTTTCAATACAATAAAGCCTAAGCGGCAATTTACTTAGTGCCAATGTTTCATTAATCTTCCAGTCAAACTTTGTCTCTTCTCTAGATGGATACACCACTAGTCTGTCTTTATAATAGTTTTCAACATCATCGTAATCCTCTCTAATTCTTTTTAGATTATATTTCTCTCTTCTATTAGCAGTTAGAGCGGGGATCTTTAATATTTTATTTATCTTGTCCTTTTTTTGTTTCCCTTCACGAAATGCCTTTAAATCATAAAAACCATCCCCTTCCTTGTAATATTTTTTTTGCTCATCTTCAAATTCTGTTAACTGATTACAATCACAATAAATTTCTTCCAGCCATTCCGGTAAATTATTTCTTAAATCATCTTTACTAATCTTAATTGAAGTTCCACGAATATCTACATCAATTATTTTCTTTAAATTTTTTAAGAAATCTAAAGAACCTTTAAAATTATTGCTATTAATATAAAGGCTTTGTAGTTCAGTAAAACCATCAAAAAGTTCTGCATTAAGGTCAACTTCTGCATTAAGGTCAGTAGAAGGTTTATTATTACTGATATCAAAATAAGTTAACTTTTCTTTATTTACATTATTAATTATGTCCTTAATTTTAGAAAACTTATTGTTAGAACCCCGAAACTCTTTTAAGTTTTGTAATTTTGATTCGGAATAATTATCTCCAAATCTAAAAATTTCTAACTCATTTTTTGCACAATCAATACCTATTAAACATGGACAGTGCGTTAAATCAATTTCGGTTAATTTATTATCACTACAATTCAAATATTTTAGTTTACTAAACCCCTCTAATTCAAGTTTTCCCTCAAGTTCCTGTCCACTAATATCTAACTCTTCAATTCCTGATCTCTTTAAACTTTTGCTTTTTTCATCTTTTGGATAGTTTTTATCTAGCCATTCTTGAGCATTCTTATCCTTTCATTGCTCGCGATTATATCTGTCTTTTATTTCTTTCTTTTTGTCCTCTCCGAGAGACTTTCAAGATTCAGATTTATAACCTTTCCTTTCTAAGTAGTTGGCAAAATAATAATCATTAGCAATCCATTCTTTTAATGTTGCTCACTTAGGAAAGCAATTTAGTTGTTCACTTATTTCTTTAACTTTACTGTCAGGTCTTTCTTCATTAGAAAAATAAATTTTTTCAATACTATTTGGCAAATACTCTCAACCACTATTGATATCGGTATTACTGATATGCAATCTTTTTAATTTAGTCAAGCCTTGCAAAGGTTCTAAGGAACCAGAAAATTTGTTACCGCCAATTCATAAAAGTTCTAAATTAACAAACTTACTAAAAACCGACAAGTCTTGTTCAGATAAATTATTATCGCTAATATTTAAGTGAATTAATTTGTCAGGATTTAAAACTGAATAATCAAAGTTAGTTAAATAGTTGTCGGGGCATTCTACTTTTTCTAATTGATTTAATCCTGTTAAGTCTATGCTGGTTAGTTTATTATAAGAACAATTTAACACTTTCAAATTAGTGAAATCTTTTAAATCTAAATGACTTTCTAAGTTTTTCTCTTTAATGTTTAAATTAGTTATTTGCTCTCTTTCTTCTTTAGGATAATTAAAATCTAGTCAATTTTGGGCTTGATGATATTCTTTTTTTAATTCATCTAATTTGTCTTTTATTTCTTGCAAATTAAGATTCTGATTTTTTAGGTAATTAACAAATCCTAAGTTGACTTCGGTTTGTTCTACTCATGTAAGAAAACAATTTTTAGAACAAAAATCTAAATCTTTTTCAGCATCGCTGAGTCGGGCTAATTGCTCATCTCCTACGTATTTTTTGCATTGGTCGCATGTTATATTTATTCTTGGCATATTTTTTTAATATTTATTTTCTTTATTTTTTCCGTATGTCTCTATACTTTTACTAATAATTTATCTAAGTAAATATATTACTAAAATTATGCTTTATTCCTCTTCATCTTAGCCAGTCCATCCGCGAACTGGCATAGTGAAGATTTTTATACACTTAATTTTTTAAGTATAAGTTTATTTTATACAGTCGGTTCATGACACTGACATGTCCTCTAACATTATCACACATATATGAAAAAACATCAAGTGCTGATTTAGAGAAATGCTTAAAAACATTATTGTATAAAGTTATGACATGAGGATGCTATTGATGCCGACACTGCGATAAAAAAAAGAAAGTTGATACTGACCTTTTTTCATATGATGGAGATACTCAGGAAAGATGCTGTGGTAAGTCAGAATGTCGAGAAGCATATCAAGCAAAACAAAAAGAACAAAAAGAAAAACTTAACGAATACAACCTTAACCAGCAAAAAAAAGAAGGTTGAAAATTAATCCAAGAAATGATGGATAAAGGATGCAAAATAACTGCTAACTTTGAAAGTTATGATTGACTTACTGAATCACAAAAAGAAACTTGCCGTCAGTATAATAAAAAATGTCAAAATATTGAGGATTTAGAAAATCAAAAGAAAAACTTGTTGAGATGTCAAAAATGTCAGCAAATTCCTGATAATGGCAAATATTATGAAGTAGGTGGCGAGGGACAATACTGCAAAAGTTGTGCCAAAAAAGTCGCTACTGATAATAATGAGAATGAAAAGCCAACTAATAAAACTCCAAGAACTTCAACCAGTAATCAAAGCCCTTGTGAAAAATGTAATTTAACTTTTTCAATATATTATAATGTAGGAGGCAAAGGACATTATTGTAATAGTTGTGCGGATGAAATTATTAAAAACCCGAACAATAAAAAATACGATGCTAAGTGCCAAGACTGTGGAATAGAGATTGGTTTAGGGACTCATTGTGCTAGTTGTTTTAATAATAAACGTTCTCCCTCTTCTAATAACGACAATAGTGAAAAAAAGAAAAACATTCCACCACTGAGGCAAGCAGTATATGGACAAATCAAAGAGGAAAGAATGAAAAATGCTAAGGAAATGATAAAAGCAGGAAGCAGTTGTAAAAATTTAATTCTTGATGATTTTTCAGAAAAAGAAAAAAAAGAATTAGAAAGTTATGAAAAAAATAGAGTTGATTATCATCATATAAAATCAAATAATGAATTATCAGGAATGCAAATTGTCGGAATTACATTTGTCTGAATTCTTATAATTGGCTTACCTATTTGGTTAATTATTTGGATAGTTAAAAGAAGAAAAAAATAGCAAAATCAAAAAATTGATTATTTCTGTGAACCTTCCCCAAACGCCTTAAATTTTTTATTTAAAGAGCATTATAAGTTGTTCGTAATTCTTCAAATGTGTTTTTTAACCTTGTAATTGCTGAGGCAATATCGCCTTTGTTATTTAAAGTATCTATCAAATTACTTATCGCTGAATTAATTGTTGACACTTTATCACCCAATTGATTAACCTTGCTCATTGGAACACCACCTCCCGAACTAGAACTACTGCCACTTCCCAAACTACTAATTTTACTTTCTAAGGTTGCTAATCGACTACTTAAATTATTTATGTCACTATCGGGTGAACGAATTAGACCAATTCTATTATTTAAATTAGTTACACTGTCGTTAATAAATTCCCGCATTTTATCAGCACTATTTTCCATTTCCATAATTTTATTCTGAACATCTCGGAATTGATTTTTTACATCTTGAGTTTCTAACAACAAACCTCTAATATTGGCAACTTCTTTGCCCATATTTGTCGTAATGTCGTTCGCTATCTCCATCACTTTATATTGTTCGGCCAGTCGCCGATAAATTCCCCAAATAGCCTCCCGAGTAGCAAAGGCTTCCCCGAAATCAAAAGCTCGGATATCGTTAGCAGATTTGAAATCTTTTAACAATCCCGGATCATTATAGCGGTGAAAAGTATGTAAGAAGTGGAGTACTCAATTACAAATTTTTTCATCTTCTTCTTTTTCTTCTTCGCTATCTTTTTTCTTCACCATTATTTTTCTCCCAGTCGGAAATTTACCTAATTCCTTTTCTTTGGCTTCTTTCCATTCCTTATTTTTCGATAATTCTTTATAAGAAGCAATTATTTCATTAGCCTTGTTTATTAAATTTGGGTTCCTATATTTATTATCTTTTTTTAAAGTAAATCTGTCAGCAAAGGTGGAGTAGCCAAATCGACTAGTCAATGAATATAATTCTCAATAGTTAACATTGCCAGTAAAAATCCAACCCGGATCATCTTTGGGCCAATGAACCCTTTCTCATTCGGCATCATTGCGGTCGCCATATTTTTCTAGTAAACCTGGATTTCAGTTGAAGTTCAATTTTTCTCCTAATCTTCCTCTTCTCATGACCGCGGGGTCGATTTGGTCAAAGTTATTTGTAGCAATAAGAATAATTGAATTAGGGTCTTGGGCTTTGGCTTTTAAACCTAATTTATCTTCGCTAGTAGATAGGAAATTTTTATATCCTTCTAATAAATTATTTTTCCCAGCGGTCAAAACATTTTTTCCTTGGTCGGCTTCTTCCACAAAAACAATGTAAGGTTCATCAGAATAAGTTTTGCCATTAAAAGCTTCTTTTTTACACATTTCAATAATTTTGATTAGTTTATCTTCGATTTGGGGTTGCCCCATTGCTTCTCCGGCCGTTTCGAGTTTGGCACCATCAATTTTAAAGACCGGTGGAACTTTATATGTGTCTTGCAATTTTTGGAGTTCTTGGTTTTTTTTATCTATTTGCTTTCTTAATTCATCTATTTGTTTGTCTAATAATTTATCTTCTGGTGTTACTTCTTTGGGATTTTTATTACCAACAATCTTGGCCTTAGCCTTTAATTGGTCTAATTGCTGTTCCAGTTTTTTTATCTCTTTTTTTTTGTCACTAATTTCATTATGGGGATCCCCAAATTTTTCCTGTAAATGGTGAATTATTTCGTTAATCATTACGGTTTTACCAGTGCCAGGTGCTCCATATAATACTGCATTATGTCTTTTTAAAAAAGGAGAATAACTATCACTGTAACCATCAGGCTCCAAATCTTCCTTATTTATAAAATTAGTCATGGCTTGGAGAACATTACGTAAATATTCATTAACTTCATCGGAAAAAATAAGGCAAGGTTTCATCTCTAAGCATTCTTCACCATCACGGCAATTATCGCAAGCATTACATTTAGTGCAAGCAATTTGACCGTGTTCTATTATTCCTAAATGTTCAACATCTTCGGCTCGTAAAATTTTACCTTTTCCTTTGGGACTTCAACCTTCCAAAGCTTCTTTTTGCATTTCAGCTATGTCTCGGTCTAATTGGTCTTTTGCATCTCGTTCCTCTTGTTTTTTTAATCGTTCATTTTCTTTTTCCCTTTTGAAGCCATAAGTTCGGTAATTAATGTAAACATTAAAACCTATTAAACCTACCACAATAATCACCATAGTAGTAAAAAAAACAAATATTAACTTTTTGAAAAAACCTGCCATGATAATTTATTTGTTGACTAATATTTTTCATCTTCCTAAAAAATATCTGAAAAAAACCATACCTTGCTTAACATATACAATTGCATCTAATTCATTTTTATATTTTGTATAAAAGTTATTAAACTGGTCATAAGTAGTATATTCTAAAACCTTTTCTAATTCGCTAATTGTAGGTGATTCAGAAATCTTTCCTTCTTTAATTAATTCAATCCTACTTCGAATCTCCTTTTTAATTCCCGCTATTATATTCTCAATCTCTTCAATTACCTTAGGATTATTAGGATTGTTTAATTTAGTATCAATTTCTTCTTGTTGTTCCTCTGTTTTGCTATTTAATTCACTTGTTTTATTAAAAAGAGTTCTTTGATTATGATGGTGATTGTTCAAAACTCACATTATCCCCACTATCAAAAAAATTATAATTAAAATTGCCGTTATTAAAACAGATAATATTGTCGCTAACATGTTTACTTAAAATTCTTACTTATCCATCTTATAAATAGGAAAATAACCAATAAAATTACTGCTATAATTCCTCCTCACACAAGTTTCTTTCCATATTTTTTGGGGATAAATCCTAAATATTTTTGACTTTCCTCCTTTTCTTTTTTTTCTTCCTCTTTTTTAATTACCAAAAAATCACTTTCGCCACGCACAATCATTCCAACAATATTCATCAAGTTAACGCTTTGTTCTTCACTAAATAATTTGTAAGCGGGGTCATTTTTTAATTCCACCCGGAAAGTAGCAATTTTCTTCTGTTGTTCTTTCATGAGGATGAATAATTGCTGTTTTTTTGCAGGGTCTTTTTCTTCTTTTCAAGATTTCGCTAAACGAGTAGACTCTGCTTGCATCTTATCTAATTCATCTAATTTATTGTTAAAGGCTTGCAACATTTCCCAAGTAGAATTTTGAGTTGCTTCAATATATTCTCTTAATTGTCGTGCTAAATCACGAAGTAGCAGAATAACTTTTTTATTAAAAGCAGTTTCCGTGCCATCTAAACCAATACAACTACCTCGCAATAAACTTTTGCCTTCATCATCATTACATTTGCTTTCTAATTCTTGAAATTTACCAATTACTCTTGCTTTCCTTTTATTAAACTCTTTTTCATTTTTACTCTGACTAATTTCGATTTGTTTGCTAACTAGTTCACCAAACTGGGCGAAATTTTTATTAATGCTGTTTAAATCAGCATCCATTAAGTGCCTGCCGCCATAATTACATTCGCCACCAACAAAATAATTACCTTTGCAAATATTACATTTTTCGTGTCCTTCCTCAGCTTTACCATTGCGTTTTTCGGTGCCAAGACAATGAGGTTTTCGCACCATATTCAAAAAATCTCTTTCGGTTATTTGATATACTTCATTAGCCATGAGTTTTATTTACTGGAAAGTAAGGAATTAATTTTCTTTCAGATTCATAAAAAGAGAGTGAAAATTAGAAATAGTCCAATTAAAGATAACGAAGCAAATCCCCAAGTTCGTTTACTTTTTCAATTAAATTGTCAAGATCTATCTTGTTCTTCTTTCAAAAGTTGTGCAAAAACATTCGGAGTGGGAATTTCTTTTTTTTCGTTGTTAATTACGGCAGCCTCTTCTTTTGCTTTTTTTAAAAGGAGAGTTATTTTATTAATTTCTGCTTTATTTGATTTGTCAACATTTGCTAATTGTTTAGCTAATTGGGTTACTTCTTCGTTTTTTAATTCTACTTTTTGATTAATTCTATCGGTATCCTCTTTATTTTTTGCCTCAAGCCGTTCCATGATGGCTTGCATATCTTTTTCTTTTATCTCTAAGGGCTTGGATTTATCTTTTTTTAGTGTCTGGAGTTCTTCATATAATTTTGCATACTCTCCTTCTTTTGGATTATAGGGAGTGTCTTCGTGGTCAACATTTCTCTTTCCTTCTGCCTTGTTTCTTTTAGCTTCCTCAGCATCCTCTTTTTTTCTTTGTTTTTTTTTCTCTTTATAATCCTTATATTCATCAGCATCGTAGTTACTTAATTCTTGTTCTATTTTATTCTTTCAATCAGAAATTATTATTTCTTTCCTACTCCACATCTGACTATCAGTACGAAAATTCAATAATGAATATTCCAAAGTAAAGCCTTTATAAAGAACATTACCTCAATCGTTGTTTTGTGATCACCCAAGAGTAAAAAAAGCGTAAGCTCCACTACATCCTCCATCTTCTGCAATTCTAGTCATTTGTTCTACCATAATTTTCTAATTAATTTTTCCTCAGGGTCAACCCTTATCTTTACTTTCCTTAGATTCATCAATGATTTTCTTTTCTTCTTCTTTGCTGGTCGCGATTATGTTTCAATCTAAAAAGGTTTTTGAGTTTTGTTCGGTGATTTGGAAATTGGGTACTGCCATGAATGGTTAAAATGAATTAATAATATTAAAATATGAAAAAAAATAATAAAGAATTAGAAAAAATACTGCAAGAGGCAGAAAATCCGAAAAATATCGGACAAGGTGCTTGGGACTTGCCTGCTAATCCTACTCCGGTGGAAGAAATTAAATTTAATCTGTGCCAAGAAATCTTAGGTTATAAATTAACTAATAATCTCACTCGGGAGCAAGTTGCTGAAAGAATTCAATTAAACAAAAATAAAACCGAGGATATTCTTTTTTGCCGCCTGAACAAGTTTAGTTTGGATAGTCTAACTAATGCTGCTAGCAAATTATTCGCTCCTGACCGAATAAAAATCGTGGTTGAAGTCAACAAAACACATGCCCGAACTATTTAAATTAGATAGTAAGGAGTTTAGTGAAGTTGACCAAGAATGACAATGGACTTACTCTTGCTTATTCCCATTTACCTTTAATTACCAAACTATCAACAAAATAACCATTACTGACCATTATCAACAAAAACTGGGTCGGGAGTGAATCACTAACAAATTAATCCTTAACATCTTAAATTCAAGACTTAATGGCCGAAAGATGGAATTTTGGAAAAAACACGGTATTAGGGAAGTATTTATTTGGGATTGAGCCTCTTATCAAGACCGAACTTACCATTTTACTTTTTGATTTAAGGACTATACTAATAATCATCTTTGAATTCGAAATTGTTATCCATTAGACTAATTTTTTTTAAGGGAGATTAGTTAACTCCCATTTTTTTTATTTAAGAGAAGCAAGAAATCCGCTAAGAAGTTTTTTCACAAAGCCAATTAGCATTATTCCTAAAATAATGCAAACAGCGAATATCCCTCAGTTTTTGTAACTAGTTCAATTAATAGAATTAGACTCAGCTACAAATTGTTCTTGACTTAAATTGTCATCAAATCCTTGGTAAATATTATCAACTTTTTCATCTCCTTTTTCAATTTACTAATTTCGCTTTGAAAACCAGCAATATTTTTGTTATGAGTTGCAATTAATGCATCTATTCTACTTTTCTCAGCAGGGTCATCAGTGTTTTGTTTTTGTTGAGCTAATTTGGTCTTTTCTTCTTGTTCGAGTTCAACTTTTTTGTTTAGTTTGTCAATTTCATCTTGTTTTTTTCTGTTTCTTTTCTTGTGATATTCAATCCGATCTTTTCTTCAATCTTTTCTGTCTTGATAAAGTTGCTTGGGAGGTATTTTTTCTAATCCAGGAACTTGTTTAATATCATTCGCAGGCGTGCTACCAAAAGCCTCAGTAATTTTTTTGGTGCCATACACCGCTGCAATTCCTCCCACTATTCACGGAATAGCTTTAACTATGCCTACTACTAATATTGGAGCTACCATATTTTTCTTATAATTTCTTTAATTTTTTCTTTCATACAATTTAATCTCTAATAAAATAATCTGCTAACTATTCTTGCTACCAAAAAAGAAACCAATTATTTTCTTTATTATTCACAAAGCAAACAAAATTCCGGCCGCCAAGGCCAGCAAAGCCCATTTATTAGCTCAGAAGTAAGTGCCAAACTCACTAACATTTTTTATCCCGCCTTTGGGTCAATTAAATCAATTTTTAATTCCGTCTAACATACAATTATTTCAATAAATATTTTCCTCTTTTATTCATTACCACTTTTGGCACTGCCAACCATCCATTTAATTAGTCAAAATACTAATCCAGTAACTACCAGTAAAACACCAGTCGCATAACCGTAATCTCAGTAAGAGTAGGCTTTTTGGTCCAATGCTTCCTTAGTCTTTACTTCTTGGAGGATAGCTTGAGCTTCCTTGATAAATGCTTGCTTTTCTTCACTCACGCCTGATTTACTTAATTCATTGGTTAATTCTTCTTTCATGTCTTTAGGAGTTTTATCATCTAACAAACTATCCAGTAAGGTTTTAAAGTCATCTTTCTTTTTTTCCTTACTCTTGGCCGCAGCCACAATTTTCTCTTTGGGGGTGGTGCTTCACCACCGGAGGAAAAAATAACCGACTGCTAATGCTATTATTGTGCTTATTATTAAAATTATTAAATTCATATTCTATTTGTTTTTCTTGTTTAATTTCTTAAAGGGCAGATTAGAGGATGCCCAACCTCATGGCATGGAGCCTTATCTCAGATTTTCCTATGGGAAAATGAAACAAAATTCATTAATCGGCACGAGTTAAACTTAAAAGTAATCTTATTAACCAAATAAGAAAAATAATGAGGATAAAGGCAATTACCCCCAGCATTACTCAACCTCAGGAATCAATTTTTACTCAACCCATTTTGCTGTTCGGACCTTCGAAAAGACATCCCAAATTTTCAAAAAAAAATGTTATCGGATTCATGATTATTCTTTTTTTGCTCCTCTAATTAAACGCATTACTACAAAATAAATCACCAAAAGGATAAAAGCCGACAGCAAAAGCTTTCACCAACCACCTTCACTAACTACTCACCAAAATTTACCACTTATTCAAGTTCAAATATTTTTAAAATTCATGTGTTTTTTTTACTTTTCTATTCATTTTTGTTGGGTTTTACTACTTTCAATAATTGTTTCAACAGATAATTCAAAATTACTGCGGCTACAAGAAATGTTCCGCCGGAATATAAGATATTAGTCAGTGACCAATCAATACCATTTAAACCCTTAGCTTGAATGATTTTTAAATAATTAATTTTGGTTTGGTGTTTAGCAATATTATCTTTGCTGGCTTTTAATGTTTTCTTGGTAGTTTCATTGTTAGCATCTAAATCTTTACTTTCTATCTTGCTTTCTAATTCCTTTAAAGTTGTTTCCGACTGCTCTTTCAGTTTTTCGGTCGCTTCAATGGTAGTTTTAAAATAATCATCTTCATCTTTTTTTTCGCTAATTTCCTTATAAAGAGCAATATCCTCTTTTTTTAGTTTACTACCATTAGTTTCTAAGACCATAAATCAGGTTAGGGCTGCGGCTCCGGCCACTGAGGCTAAGAATATTAAAATTCCTCACATAGATTATTTGATGTTGAGACCATTTTCGTTTGCACTTTCATATATTTAATATTTTAGACACATCAACTAATGTTAGCACACGTCATCATAAAATTAAATATATGGAAAACCAATCATTTAACCTATTCTCCCCGTTCTCTAACCAAGGAAGAAGTAATATTTTATAATTTATGACTGACTGAAATAGTTTTGAAAAATACTTAAAAGAAAACATTATTTCTCCTTCCACCACCTCTGGTAAAGACATGAAATATGTTCTTAAAGAGGAATTTAAAACTAAATACTCCTTAGGAAGTGATGTAGTGGGAGATTTAGAAATAGTGTTAGCAGAACTGCTGGACAGTATTAAAAATAATAAAAACAAAAGTATTATTAGCAATAATAAGTATTACGAATTACCCGATTTAACTTATACTGATAGTAATAGTGGGACAACATTAAAAGATTTAGAGCAAGCCTTTCCCGAAAAAGAAAAAACTCGTTTTGGACTGAAAAAGAACGGTCGAGATTCCGATATGAAAGAAGAAACTTGGAAAACGTTGGAACAAATTTATGAGGAATGGTGTACGGAGCAAACCCGTCCTTTTCGCCTGAAAAGAGAGGCTAAGGATTTTACCAATAATTGACGAACGAATTCAAAAGAAATGGCTTATATTCAAATAATTAAAGATGATAAAAATATTAAAAAAAAATTAGAAGAATGATTAAGAGAATATCAAGAATTAACTTCCGATGAAAAAGAAGAATTAAAGAAAGAAAAATCAATTGTGCAAGAAGATTTAGATTTAATAAATAGTATTCCGCCCCATAAACTTTCAAAAAATGATAATACCGATAATACTAATACTTCTTATGTTTCTTGGCTAAAACAGCACTGAAAAGGGGCTATTATTTGTAGTGCGGCAGGAACTATTTTAGTGCTTCTTCTAATTTGAGTAATTAAAAAATTTACTCCTTCTTCATAAAGCTATGACTTGAAATGACTATAAAGAATGAATATTAGACCAGGTTCTGGATGCAACTCCTAGTGGCGGATTTACTTATTATTCAGTTCGCGACCCCATCCAAAGCAAATTTCCTCAGGAAAATTATCGGGATTTGGTTAGTGAGTTTGAAAAATTATTTTTGAGTATTGATGGTTATTATTCTAATCTTTCGAAATATGTAATAGATAGTCGAAATAGTAATGAATATTATGACTTACCAGATTTTTTTAGTGAAGAAGATGAAGAAAAAAGTGATAAAAGTTGAAGCGCAATGTTTCCTAATCCCAATGAAGTCTGTTTTGGCAAAAAGAACAGCATTAAAGAGACAATTAGTAAACACAATTTTGATATTCTAGCGAAAATTCACCAAATGTATCTCCGCGAAGTAAGCCTAAAAGAAGAATTAGAAAGAAAAACCACAGAATATCTAGGTAAAGATGCTGACTCAATTAACGAAAAATATTTGTTGAAAAATGACTGTCAAAATTGATTAAATAAATACGAAACTTTAAGTAAATTTCACCAAGGTAAGTTAGGAGCCGAAAAAGAGGGTATTGATAGCTTATTGCGAGATTTAAATTTAACCAATAATCATCAACAACAGCAGAATAATGATGATAACAATAATCCACCTCCCAGCAATAGTAATTTAGTTAAGTATGGAATTATCGGATTAGTAATCTTAGTGGCCTCGGTTTCCCTATACTTACTAAAAAAATGACTATTCTAATGTGATGCGACAATGGCAATTTACACTTTTTTAATTGACAAATCTGGTATGCTGTATTTTTCCTCCCAATCCAAAACTATCAAAATTCCCGTAATTTACCAAGATAAGAAAGAGGAATTTAACGCCAATTTAGTTTATTCTTCCGAACAAGAATTAGTTCCATTAAGTTGATTACAAGGTTTAAATTACCGAAAATTTGAGGAGGGAGAAATACCGTTGGAAGCGACTTTTGCTGAAGAAGTTATTATTAAGGAGGGAGCTAAATTAAATCCGACCAAAATTACTGGCGAATGAACGGATGCTATGGAATATCTTAATCGTGAGTATACTCCTGATTGACGCCACGAAGTTCAATTTCTTGACTTAGAAAATAAAAAATTAACTGGCATTCTCGACTTAACTATTTTCCCTAATTTGGAGCAAGTTAATTGTAGTCATAACTTTTTGCGAGGCATAAAAACCCCCGCCGGCATTAAAAATATTCAAGCCGCTAATAATAGCATTTCTAGTCCGCAACAAGTTAAGATAAACTGAGCTGATAGTCAAATTAAAATGAATTTACTTCACAATCCACTGGACTTAAATGAATTAGTGCAGATAATCCAAGGTTTACAAAAAAACTCAGTCAATGAAAGATTTGAGATTAATCGCTTAAAAAAATCCTTAGCGGTAGTTCAAGCTAACCATGATAAAATAAAAGCCGAATTAGACCAAGCCCGAACTAATTGAACCGAAAACCAAGCCGAGCAAAAAAGCAAATTACGAGTTTCGCAAGAAACCATTAGCGAATTAAATCGGCAATTAAATGAAAAAGAAGAAGAATTAAATTTGCGGGAAAATAATCAGGAAAATCAAATCCCCACTTCTTCCGCTAATAGCTGATGAAAAGAATATAAAACCTCACTAATTTGAATAGCAATATTCTTAATAATTGGCGGTCTCTATTACTGAGGGAGGAAATTTTTAAATTAATTTTATGGATATCGGAGTTTATTTAGCAAGCAATTATCTTAAAAAGGGAGACCGAAAAAACGTGGAACAACTTAATTTGGCTAATTTAAAATTAACTGGGGAATTAGATTTTACCGGTTTAGGATTTGATAACTTAAAAAGACTAGACATTTCTAATAACAATTTAACCAAACTAACTTTGTTAAATCCCCAACAAATTACTTATTTGGATATTAGTAATAATAAATTAAGCGAATTAAATATTGATGGTTTGGATAACCTTACTTTCGGGCAAATTAAGAAAAATCCGTTACCCGACCAAACTAAAAGAGAATTTTGAATTAAAAGATGAAATTATTATAAGGATGTAGAGAATCAATACCCCGACTTGCTTAGTCCCGAAATAATGAAGTTGGTAGATATTAGTGATTTAGATGATTTTATTAATAATTATGATTTTGAAATGGAAGGGGATGCTGATTACCATAGTATAATTGGTGGTGGTCTCACTTCCTTAGACGAATATGCAGTGGAACAATTAAGTCAAACCGCGTTGGCAAGAGCCTTGATTAAACAGAATGAATTAGTGGAAGGACAAAAAAACGAACAATATGAAAAGGTAATTAATAATTATGCTCGCAGTTTTCAAAAGTCTAATTCTATGTATATTCAATATGAATTAACTTTAATCCAGCGGGAAGTATTAAGAAAAATAGCCGGTGAAGAAGACCCTGCCGCTACCTTTCAAAAAAAATTGCTGGAATTAGAGGAAGTCTTTAAACCAATCCGTGCCAGTATTGATGCTGGGCAAAAACCCTCTTTGCCGAGCGTTGACAAGATAAAAGAAAAAATTACTGAATTACAAGATATAACCCAAAAACAAAAAGAAGATATTAGTCAATTATTAAATTCTTTAAAAAAGACTGAAACCCAACGGCGAAATTTGGAAGAAAAAAACCGCCTTTTCAAAGAATCGTTAGAAACTGTTTTCGCTGATTCAAAGGAATATGAGCAAAAGAATGAGGAATTAACAAAAAGATTAACCACTTATGCTACCAATGAGCAGCAATACCAAGACAAAATTAAGGAATTGGAAACGGAAATTAAAGACTTGGTTGATAATCATGGTTCAGAAATTAAGAAGTTAAAAGAAGAAATTACTAAACTTTTGACGGACAAAAACGAATATATTTCACAATTAGAGCAAACTATTAAGCAATTAAGGACTAAATCGGAAACTAAGAGTATGGAAACCCAAACCGAAGAAGAGGAAAAAAAACCTCCAACTACTAATTACCGAAAATGGGGCTTAATTGGCTTGGCTATTTTAGCAGTAGCAGGTTTAGGTTGGTGAGGATGAAAAAAAATTATGAATTATTTTTAAAGGTTTTTCCCTATATGACTAATAATGACGATATTCTTTCACTTATGCAAGAACTAAAGACAGAAGAAGAAGAAGAAGAACGAAAAAAAAAAAAAAACAAGAACAGTTGGAGGAAAAGAGAGAACAAAATAATATGACAAACCCCAGACAAGAATTTATAAACTGATTAGAAGCAGACCCCATCAGGAAAAAGAGTTTGCCAAATTGGGAGAAATTTTTTATTGCTATTAATGATGATGATAATGCTCTAAATACTTTTTTCTTTGTTAGGGCTTTTGACTTTATTTGAAATACTAACGATGCACCAACCAATATTGGCAGATATTTTGAAATTCATAATAGGTGATGCAGACATGAAATGATGATTGGCTATGATTCTTGTTTTTTTCCTTACACTATTTTATTAGACAAAAAAGAAGACTTCACCCAACTAAAAAAAGAAAAAACCCACTTAGAAGCTAAGCTCCAAGACTACCAAAACACTATTGATAATAATCGCCAACAATTAGACCAGTTAAAAAATGAACTAACTAAAAGCCAGCAGGCAAGAGAAAGTTTAGAAATAAAAATTAAAGAATTAAGCAAAAATCAACTTTCTGCGGCAGAAATAGCAGTATTAAAAAAAATTGATAACTTTTTGTGATTAAAAAGAGAAGAAAAAAAAGAAGAAGATTATGAAAATTATGTTAAGCAAATTAGGGAATTTTCGGAAGAATTACAACAAATACAAACAATTGATTTTAATGAGCATATTGGTGATGTTATTAACAATTTCGGTGATATCTTCAAGGTTATTGCTAAGAATACTGAAGAAGTAGTATTAATAATTAAGGAATTAAAAGCCAAAGAACAAGAATTAACCACCCTTCGACAACAATCAACTGCCTCCACTGCTAAATTACGGCAAGAAATCACTGATTTAAAAAACCAATTACAGAAAAACCAAACTGACCTACAATCTTCGCAACAAGAACGAGACCAATTAACTACTCAAATTCAACAATTAACCACCAAAAACCAAGAACTAGAAACCCAACTAACTGCTCTGGCTGTATCTAGTGGCTTACTTGCCCAGCAATGTGAAGACCTAACTAAAAAGTTATCAGAGAGCGAACGAAAAGAAGCCCAAACTAAACTAGAAAATGAAATTAAAGCCAATTTACTCCAACAAAAAGACCAAGAGTTAAAAAATAAAGAAACTACTATTACTGAACAGCAAGAAAAGATAAAAAATTATCAGCAAATTTTAAGAACTAGTGAAGAGAATTTAACTAACTGTCAAAAAATAATTACTGCCAAAACCGAAGAACTAACTAAATTAGAGGAAGAAAAGGAAAAATTAGAAGAAGAATTAGAAACCGCCCAAGAGAAAATTAAAGATTTAGAAACTAATTTCTTAGCGTCCCAAACTAAAATAATGGAATTAGAAGCCCGTATCCAAGAATTAGAAAAAGATAATAGTAAAGATACCGAGATAATTCGCTTAAAACAGCAACTAACTACTGAAAAACAAAAATCTCAGCAGTGGGACAAAAAACATAAAGAACTAAAAGATGAATTAGGCCAACTTAAACTGAGAGAAGAAGAATTAGAACAGAAAATAAAAGATTTTCAAAAAAAAGAAGTGGAATTAGCCGAAGAATTAGAAGAAATAAAAGAGAGTTTTTGGCAAAAATATAAAAAACCTCTTCTGTGAACGGGCGGGATAGGAATAGTGGTTATCGCTATTTGATGATTGATTAGAAAAATTAAAAATTATTAATGTTCCGCAATATGCTCCAAATGGAAAATAAACACCAAAAATGGTTCAACAAATAAAGTGATTATGACTAAGTATAATATAGATAAATTTTGAAAAGATATAAGTATTGCTAATAAGTTGAAGTATGAAAATTATATGCTTACATTATTACAAGAAGAATTTGAAGACTGATTAAATAGGAGTAATGAAAATAGTAGCGATTTTGAAAGATTGCTTTTTAAATGAAAAACAAAAGTAGACCAAGAAGAAGAACAAAAAAAAAAAATATGTTAACCGACTTTAAAACCTGACTAAATGCCAACGAAGAAAGAAAAGAGGGATTAGATAAATGGGATACTTATTTAAATTTTCTGGAAACTAAAAATGCTGACCTGGAAAATCTTTTTGTTTATGCTGACTTTGCTAGCACTATTTCCCAAGAAGAGCAGGCTAAATATATCAAAGTTATTGAAGATTGGGTAGAACTCCAAGAGCAAAGGGAAAATACTCCCTCGCCATCAAATTCTTTTATTTACTCACAATTATATCATAAAGACCAACAAATAGAACAATTAAAAATTGAACTTCAAACCGAAAAAGATAAAGTGGCCGGTTTAGAAACTGAATACCAAGAACTAATGAAACAGTTAGATAATATTAAAACTGAATTAGCTCTTACTCCCAGCACTCCCCAACCAGAAAAACAAACCCTCAAAGATAGAATTAGTTATTTCAATAATTTTATTAAGAAAAATCGCCAAGAAAGCCAAGACCTAAGAGAAAACATTAAAAAAGAGCAAAAAAAATCCCAAGAAATTAGAAGTTCCTTAATATCTTTGGAAAATCAACTTAAAAACCAAGAAAATAAATCGGAAGAGGTTAACAAACTAACCCAAGAGAATGAAAAATTAAAACAACAATTATCTAATTTAACTAACAATTTATCCCAGCAAGAAGCCAATGTTAACAAGTTAACGAAAGAAAATGAGAACTTACAGACCAAAATAGCAACTGACCAATTATTAAACGAAGAAAAAAATAAGCAATCCGAACCAATTCCATATGGAACTTACTTTTTCTGAGGGATAATTGCTGTTGTTATTTTAGTGGGAGGCTGATTTGGTTATAAGTGAGCGAAAAAAGGTTTTTAATTATGTTTATGTTCCACTATCTAAAAAAATTCTCTTTAATATTAATAATAATAATTACTATAATAGGAGGAACTTGTGGCTTTTTTTACTGAAAAAAGAAAAATAACTCTCCAACTCAAAATATTCCTAACCAAGAAAATAGTGAAAAAAATGAAAATAAAAAAGTAGAAGAACTAAAAACCGAAATATTAATCTGTTTAGACAATTGACAAACCAATAGTCAAGGGGATACTAAAAACGCTATTAAAACTACCGTCAAAAACTTAAATAATTCGGATTTGAATAATAGTCAACAATTAGCCACAGTCAAAGAATTATTAACTAATCATCAGGAAAAGGAACCGAAAGAACCGATATCGGACTCTGATTCGGATGATGGTTACGAAACAGCGGATGATGAAATTTGGGAAGAACCAGAGACAAAAGAAGAGAAATTAACTAAGAATTATCAAAAATTACAATCTTTATATCAGCAATGAGTTCAAGAAACCAAGAAAAATAAAGAACCAAAAAAAGAATTATCTGCTACCGGACAGATAAAAAAGAAAATAATCGCCTATCTACAAGAATGAAAAGAACAAGCTCTTGCCGATAATTCTTTCCACCAAAATTGTATAGGTTGTATTCACTTATTAGAAAACAATGATGATGAAGTTGCTGAGAATATTCAATTAGGCACTCTCCAATTTTTGCTAAAAGGACACCAAGATGAAAGTAATCATATCTATCAGAAATTAAAAGGGTTGGCTCAAGACTGAGAAAAGGAATTAAAAAAGAACCCCAGTTGAAAAGAGGACAAAAAAGAATGATTTAAAGAAAAAAGATGACTAAGCGATTTTGAAATAGACTGAGCCATTCAGCAAATTAAGCAAGAATACTCAATTACTCCTAATTCTGATTATAAATTCTTAGAAGCCATGAATTTTATGTATGTTAAGGAAGCGGGGAAAGATAAACAAGCCGGTGGATTTATGTCTTTTCCCATTTTGCTAAATGAACTAACTAGTTTTGAAGGAGAATTAGTGTTTATTCCAGTCAATAATCCTAATTTCCATTGAAGTTTATTAGTTTATGAGCGAGCCACTAGAATTTTTTACCATTATGACACGCTGAAAAGTTCGCCCAACCATAAATATGTGGAACCATTAGTTAATGAGTTATTAACACAAATATTACAAATAAACGAACCCGATTTAGACAAACACTTGAAATTTATTGATACTGTTAAACAAAATAACTTTTATGATTGCGGAGTAGCCATAATCGCCATAATCCAGCGAATAATTGAGAGATATGAAACTGAATATGATATTTCTGATAATGAATTGAGTGTGGTAGAATTAGGAGAGTTTGATTTTCCCCAAGAACGAAAAGAATTGCGAGAAAGATATATTGTAAAAAACTAAATTAATAACATATGACCGCTAAAAAACAAGAAGATTTAAAGGTTAATTGTTTTCAATGCCAAAAAATAGTAATAGTTAAGTATATTCCTCCACGAAAAAAATATTCAGATAGAAATAACTGGGAATGATGAACCGATAATAAAGAAAACGAAAGCAAATATATTTGCGATAAATGCCTTTATGTTTTATTTCACGAAGACAAAAATGAGTATTTAAAAAATGTTCTTAATCACACCAAGCGAGCAACTATGCGAAATTACATGAGCCTTTTGCGAAGTAGAAAAAAAGAAAAACTACCTTTTTAAAAAAAATGTTTATACGGATATCATTATAATTATAAAATATTAAATATAAAGCAATTTATACAGAGAAATATAATCAAAAGCGGAAACCTCACGGAAAAAAAAATATTCTAACTGAAAAGAAATTTTTAGAAGAGGAATTAAAAAGTATTGAAACTGTAATTCAATGTCAAACTCGCAAGAATGAAATTAAAGAAAGGTTAAGGGAACTAGAAGAATTTTTGTTTTTGGTTCATATTCAAATGACAAAAGAATGAAAAAACCAAGAAAACTAACTTTCGAATAAAGGTAATAACGAAAAAATATTACTTTTTTTGGGAAGTTATTCATTACTCCCACTAATCCGACCTATGAAATCGGATTAGGGAATACAATATTTATGTTGCTCTTGTTAGAAATAATGGATTGTCATTATTAGAGAGCAGGAACCAATCCCAAAAACAACTAACCGAAAAAGACAGAAACCTTTTAGAGTAAGTTAGAAGTTATAATAAACCACTCGTATTTAGTATTAATTATACTCTCTAATGATATAATTAATTTTTAAGGCAAAATAGATTTTAAATAACCTTTTTGATAAACTAGTTAGAAAAATTTAACTAACTTATCACAGAGATTATTCATTTTTCTCTGTGATGTCAACCACGACATTGATAAAAAAATGAGCGAGAGTATCGATATTCCAAACAAGATAATATTCAACTTATCTTGGTCGAACAACCCAACCATAAAACATATCAGAGTAAAGCACGTTGAATTGTCTCCTCTGAATGCTCGGAATTGGTGCCGAGTGGATAGTTACCGCAGATTTCGCCCATTATCTATCTATAAATGAAAATGTTAGGGACAATTCCATCTATATAAATATTTTAACATTTTCGAGAGATAGCAGAGGAGAGGTTTAGCGTTTTTTTTTACCTCTATTTCTCTCTTTACTTATTTTATAAGTAAAATTATCTCATTAAACCTTATTTTGCCCTTTTTGTCTTTTCTTATTTTTAATTCTTTTTAGTAAGATAAATTAGTTAGATTAGAACATAGTTATAAAAGAGAAATACAAAGAGAAAAACAAGCAAAGAATAAAAAACTTATTAATAAATGCTCCAAGCCCAAGAATATTTAAAAAAATTTGACTCCGATAAAGTAGGTATCACTGTGTTAAATTTAAATGATAGTAGTTTAACCGGAGAATTAAATTTAAAAGGTTTTGCTAACCTAGAAAGATTATCAGTAGAAAACAACGAATTAACTTCGCTAGATGTGCGAGATTGCCCGAAATTAAAACACTTAAATATTAAAGGTAATCCAAAATTAAGTTGTTGTTATGTTTATGATTTAGGTAGGTTTGACAGTATATTATCTGATACGGGATTTTTACGAGATAGCTCTCTTTCGATAAATGGTAAAGAATGATTAACAACCATTTCAATATTTGGCGATTCCGATATTTGTCAAACACGAATTATTCCGACTAAAAGGCATCTCCGCAATTTTTCTACTTCTTCTTTAAATTCTAATAATTCTAATGATAGCGAACGGGAAAAAGAGCCAGAAAAGACCAAACCTAATAATAAAAACCTTGCTGAAATCTATTTTTACCCCCTCGTTTCCCAAGAAAATGAACTGGAACTCAAACTAACACCAACTTTACCAATTTCCTCGGTTGGCACTAAATATTTAAAAACAGTAGCGGAAAATAATATGCTACCGCGTGGCTCAGCCTTTTTAACTAGTTCCGGTGAATTAGAAAGTCGGGGTATTGTTAATATTATTCATGCCGCACCTGGTTCACTGAGCCAAAAGGATGAAGGCAAACCTAATCAGAAAGCCGTTATTACAGCCACCCAAAACAGCATTATTTTAGCTGAAAGAAACGGAATTGAAAGTTTAGCCATTCCTTTTATCGGCAGTAATATTTTTTTGTCTTCAATTGGCGGAACCAAAGAACAATTAGCTGAAATAATTATGAAATCTGCTATTAACCAAAGAAAACAATTAAAAAAAATAGTATTTGTTCCTTATGGTAAAGAAGATAAAACCATCTTTGAAAATGCTTGACAACAAATAAAAAGTCAATATCCCAAAGAAAAAGCGGCGGGAATAGAAATAAAAGAGGGCAATATTACTAACTTTGCTACTCATAATTGTTCGGTAATTGTTAATGCGGCCAATATGGAAGGGCGTTTTGGGGCGGGACTTTCCGGAATTATCGGTCAGGCGACCGGACAAAGCGACCAAATTAACCAAGAAGCCGCTAATTATATTAAAAAGTTCAATAAAATCGTCCTAGAAAAGAAATCAGACACTAAAAAACTGGCAGAATGGCTTACCGAAAGCAATATTAGCGAAGAAGAATATAATATTTTAGAACCTAATTTGAAAGAAGATGAAGAATATAGTTTAGCCGAACTAAAAGAATTATTATTAGTGGAAGAATGAAAAAATATTAATCTCGGTTTTAAAAATCAGCCTAATTTGATAAAATCATGAATGGATAAAGGTTTTAATTATCAACAAGTCCAAGAATGAATAAATGTTGGTCTTGGTCTAGAAGAAGCCGAATTAGCTGAGTGATTAGTAAAAATAAAAAGAGGTAATTACGCTCAATCCGAATGAATACTAAATAATGGCAATATAGAAAATTTGAGGCAAGAATATCAACATTATCAAGTTAATCCTCCGAAAAAAAGTTTATGGACTAATACTTGAACTTATGTAATTGCTGGTGGAATTATAATAGTGATTTTACTTGGTCGGTGAGTTATTAAGAGAGTTTTTAAATAATGTTAGGAATTGTTAAGAAAGCAACAATTAGCATTTTAATTTTGTTGGCATTACTGATTGGCGGCAGAACTATTTACAAGTTATACAAAGCACCAACTACCGAAACTCAACCGAATGAAAAGGAAAGAGATTGGGGGGATATTCACCAAGATTTTAAAAATAATCCGGAATTAATAGAAGAGTGAGAGAGACACAACTTAAAGGATTTTGAAGTAAAAGACATAATCGCCCACGGTTTTCTACCAAATGAAGCTCTTTTTTATTGTTGGGGACTATACAAGAGCAAACCTTACTACAAATTAAATAATACCGAATTAGAAGAATTAAGAAAGGAATATGAAGAAAAAAAAAAGAATACTTAAAAGAAAAAGTATTATATTCTTTAAAATATTGATGAGAAAAAGACAGATGGGAAAAGGAGAATGAGGAAGAAATAAAAACCATTGATAAAGTTATTCAAAATATAACTGATGGTCAAGAACTAAGAAAAGAACATTATCAAGAAATAAAATCCTTACAAACTAAATATCCCAATTATAAAAATTGATACTTAGAATATTATCTAAAAAAGTGAGAAGAAATTTTAAGATAAAATTAAAAAATAATTAAAATGTTTTGTTATGACAAAAACTAAAAACATTCTCCTCTTCGGAACAACAGGCAGTGGCAAATCTACCTTGGCTAATGTGCTTTTAAACAAAAACGGTAATTTTGAAGAAGTTTTTAAAACAAGCCATAGTGGTATCAGCGAAACCGAAAAGGTTCAAACTGCTGAATTTGTTGAAGATGGTGTTAATTATCGGATAATTGATACAGTCGGAATTTTTGACAATAGATTAACCCAAGAGGAATTAATTGAAAAAATTGTTTATGCTGTTGCTGCTACTGTTCCAAGTTGAGAACAAAATGTTTTTAATGAAGGTGGTATAAGTCGAATATTATTCGTTCATAGTGGCTATTTTTCTCAATATGAAATTGAAGCTTATAATTTGCTGAAAAAAGTTATTTTTGGTGCCGACATTGTTCCTTTTACCACTATGGTTCGCACTGGATTTGTTTCTTTCGAAAATGAAGAAAAATGCCAAGAACTTTATCAAAAATCGACTAACGAAGAACATGTTCGATCCGAAGTTGCGGAAATATTCCGTGAGACTAAGAGAATAATAGTGGATAATCCGCCATTAATGACTGAATGGGAATTAGAGGACGAGGAAGAATGAAAAGAAAGGCAAAGAAGATATACAGAAATAAGTAAGGAAAAACGAGAAATATCACGGCAAAAGTTATTAAGCCATTTAGCCACTTGTCAAGATACTTATCACCCGACCAATCTTGATAATCTCAAAGAGCGAATTGATAAATTTATGACTAGGGAAAAATTAAAAAGAGATGGAGGAAATTCTAATACTTTTAAAAATAACCTAGAAAATGACTTAAAAGCGAAGTTTGAAAAGACAGAAAAAGAATTAGCAGAAAAACAGCAAGCCGAAGAACTGGAAAAAAAGAAAAAAGAGTTAGAAGAACAAAAAAAAGACCAGGAAAACCCAGAAATAGCCCAACTAACTGCTTTAAAAAACCAAACCAAAGACTTTTTTAGAAACCTGGAAAAAATGTGTGAAAATGGATTTCCTAAATTGCTAACTAATGATGATTATAACGGATTAATTATTGCCATTAGTGAAAATAAATGACTATCAGAAGCAAATAAAAGGATAATCAAAAGTTTAATGTTAAGTCAAAGTGGACCAACGATTATTCGTGCGGCAGATGACCCCAATTCTCCCAGTAATGATGAATTAAAAGAATTAAAATTGTCTGAGGAATATTATAACCTTATCGAACAATATTTTGAAGAAGCCAAGGCAGAAGTTAAAAAACAGAATAGAGAGGAGAAAACCGAACTAGTTAATAATAAGAATGGGAATTTGGGAACAATATTGTTTAGTTGCGGAATTGGAGCAGTAATTATTTTTGGGGGAATATGATTGATTAATTGTATTAAAAATTAAGGCAAAAACTAATTAAAATATTAAAATATTATATTATGACACAAGTTAGAAATATACTACTAATAGGCAGAACAAAAAAAGGAAAATCCACTTTGGCTAATATTTTAAGCGGAACCAATGAATTTGAAGAAAGCAAAAGCGGTAGCAGTAATACGAAAGAGATACAAATAAAAGACTTTGAAGTAGAAGTAAACAATAAAAATGTGAAATATAAGGTGATTGATACAGTAGGATTTGATGATACTTGCCTTAGTCATTATGAGGTTTTAGAAAAAACCAAAGAAGCTTGTAATGAAATTAAAGATGGTTTAAGTCAAATATTTTTCGTGACACGATTGGGATTTATCAAACAAGAATTTGACACTTTCAACAAATTAAAAAATACTATTTTTGGTGAGAATATTGGTAATTATACAACTATTATAAGAACCAATTTTGAAGATTTTGAGGATGAGGAGGAGTGTAAGAAAGAAACCAAAAAAATGAAGGATGAAATACCTGGTTTTACCGAGTTATTGGCTGAATGTAATGGAATAATTTATGTAGATAATCCAGTGCTAAGTATCACCGGAAATAAAAAAAGAGTAGAAGCCCAAATCACTCTCAATAGAGAAACCCGCGAATTATCAAGGAAAAAACTATTAGACCATTTAATCTACAATTGCGGAGATTATCATCCAGTTAGTTTGGAAGGCATGGTAGGAAGAATTAGCAGTTTCCTTACCGAAAAAGAAAGACTAGAAAAAGAAATAGAAGATTTAAGAAAAGCGGATGAAAAAAATAGAAAATTGAGTAGAGAAGAAAGAATAAAAGCATCCGAAAAAGAACAAGAACTTCAAGCCCAAATTGAAGTTTTAACGAAAGATAGTGATTATTGACTAAAAAAATATCTTAGTAGCACAAACAAAGAAGATAGTTCTTGTAAGATTTTGTAAAGAATGCAAAAAGAGACAAAAGTCTGATTTGTTTGGCGAAAAAAAAACGAACAAGGAATTGAGATAGGAAAAATCCACGAAGGTTCAATTGAAGCCAGTTTAGAAGTTATAAATGATAAAGTATTAATTCCCTTAAAAATAAAAAAACTTGGTAGTCATAGGTATAACCGACCTCAATGAGAATTTGACCTCCCTGTTTACCGAAAATTTATTAACTATTCGGTGGAAAGTTCTCCCATTTCTTTAAAAGGAAGAACGATAAAAATTGATACTTTAATTATTTGTTATGGCGATAAAACTAATGAAATTACTAATATTAATGATTATTTTTTTGAGGGAGCCGAAATTAAATTAGTATTAGATAAAGATTTTCTTGCCAAACAAAAAGACCCTTATAATTATTGAACATTAAAAGGGCATAGTGAAAAAGGTGAGAATGGAAATGAATTAGGTTCATTGGATGTTTACAATAATTATGAGATAATAACTCCTAACAAAACAATTGTTTTCGCTAATTCCTTTAAAAAAGAAAAGGAGGCAAACAACAAAACAACAAAATACACAGTAGAAGGCTTTGAAACTTGATTAAATGCTGATAAAAGTCGTAAAAGAGGATTATGACTTTGAAGCCAAGTTATCGCCAAAGTTAAATCCGACTCCGACCTTTTTGCTTCTTTAGCGACCGGTCAAGACCAAGGGGGATGAAATATCTCTGACCCGCAATTTCGTAAAGATTACCAATTTGAAGATTATTACCAAGTATTTCAAGAGTGAAAAGAGGAAGTGGATGCCGAAGAAACTAATAATGGAAAAGAGGAAGAAGACAAAGAACAAGAAAATAAGCAAGAGGAAATCAAAGAAACTTGCCCCCATTGTCAAGGTAATTTAACAGTTAATGACCAGCAAGCCAGTTGTAATACTTGTCGCAAAGAATTTCAAAAAAATAACGATGTTTGAGAAGAAAAAACCGACCAAACAATCGGTAAAACCAACCGCAAGAATAATCCAAAAGAAAAGAAACTAAAAAACTACTATGATATTTTGGAAGTAAAAAAAGATGCTTCTGAGGAAGAAATTAAAGCGGCTTATAAAAGAATGTCACGAAAGTATCACCCTGATAAAGCTACTAAAAACGGATTAACCACCGAAGAAGCTACCGAGAAATTCCAAGAACTTCATACCGCTTATGAAGAATTAACCGAACAAGTCCAAAAACAAGCCCGCCGAAAGAAATTATCTTCGCAAACTGGAATAATAGCCTTATTTGTAATAGTAGGTTTGTTAATTGTGTATTTATGAAAAAAGTATTTTTCAGTAAAGTAAAATAATAGCAAGAACAAGTTCGACCAGCTTAATCAGTGTCTGGTTGAGAATTTACTAATCTTGATAATTCAATATCATTACGATTTTCTGCTTGAACATTAACCAGCTTTTTGTCTGAAAAGTGATGACAGAGTACGAAAACTCAAACTAAAGTGCCAATAATTATCAAGTTTCAAATCGCCAAAAGTGTTCAATTAATAATGTTGTTGTCTTCCATATACTTTATTTTACAAATATATTAGGGATAGGTGTTATCAAATATAGAGATGTGTAAAATAATGAATATATGCCAACCAAACCACTAATCGTAACTGAAAATATTTTCCTAAAAATGAAACCCCAAAAAAGCAAAATTATTAACAAAACTGCTACCGGACTACCTATTTATGAATGTATTAACAAGACAACTGATGGTAAATGTAAAAGTCTGCAAGTCGGAAAAAAAGGTAGCGGTCTAGTCTTACAAAAGGGCGACCAGTGTTTTGATTGTCAATTTGCCGGACTACCTTACTTACAAACGAACAGCAACTCAACCCAACTTTTAGTGCCAAAATCTCCCCATCGCAGATCTCGTTCTTTTGGTAATCTAACTACTCAACCTAGTGAAGATAGCGACTTAATGTCACCCACCAACTCTAATTTACGCCGACGCGGAGCCATTTCCAAAACCAAAAATGAAGAAGAGGATAACGATTCCAACCTTAATCAATCAATGACCAGTGATGGGAGCGAAGAAACTCCAATCACAGTGACTAATTTGGCTCTCGATTTAAACGAATTAATTACAACTCTTAAAGATTTTTTTATTCAGCAAGACACCACTGAATTAATCCAAACTAAGCAACAGTTAATGCAAGCACTAATCATCCAGCAAAAGTTAACCAGCGAAAATGAACGGTTAAAACAGCAAATCAGCGAGCTGCGACAAGATAAGTTATGAGCAGAAGAAAACCGTTTAGAAAGATTAATTGTTAGCCACAACATAGCGGAAGAATCAGCAAAAGACTTAGTGACTGCTTACCAAGTCTATGAAGAATGATTGAATAATAATTGTGGCAATTTAATGACCGCTCAACGTAATATTGAGTTAGTTAAAAGAGAATTAAGGAATTCCCAAACCCAACTGACTCTTGAAAATTGGCAAGAGATTTGGCGAGTTTGTGCCAGCATAGCTAAACTGCGAGTAGCCAGCCAATCACAATTGGTGGCGACTATTGAAGTGCAGACTTCACCTTAAACAATTATTTTTTACTTCTTCCTTTTTAACTATTTCTTCACACTTTTTGCATTCAAAAACTTTTTCAGAGCAATCATCGCACCAATATTTATTTTCTTTTCTAAATAAGGAGTTTTTTTGCTTTACTTTGGATTTCCTTTCATTGGTTAGGAAATATTTCTTTTAACTCTTTATAACCTACCCGCAGAGTTATTTGACAACTTTTATTTTTTTCTAATTCTTTGGCCTCAATTATTTCAACTTCTTTTTCCTTTTGGAAATTAACCGAATTATAACGATTTTGTAAATTGGTTCAAAAATCTTTATTGACCTTAAAATAAGTAGACAGTTTTTGAGCCACTTGTTGACTAATATCTTTTTTGCCTTGACAAAAATCTTTTATTATTTCATAAGGAATATTAGTTTCCTCAGCCAATTTTTTTTGACTAATCCTCCTTCATTTTAATATTCTTTTACTCAATATCATCCCCGGATGAGTAAAAGGTATTTCTCTTTTGTTGTTCGGTTGAAAATATTGTATATTCATGGCAACTGGTTTTTTATTTATTTTTTTTCATCATGGAATTCGCCAATTTCTAATCGGATTATTTTCATAGTCTTTTCTTGTCAAGTAAAAATAACTCTGAATTGACTATCTAAATTAAATTTCCATTGACCTTTTCTTTTTCCTCGTTTAATTTGCCTAATCTTGCTTTTAGGTGATAATAAACCTCGCAATTCCAAAGGATGTTTAATGTCATTGAGAATTCGAAGAATATCTAAAAGTTCATCACCTCCCAAATGAGACGGTAATCTTTTTACTCTTTTCCCTTCATGCCATAATCTGGCAATATCTCTATCTTTGAAGTCTTCCAAAACATCACTTAGCAATTTAACTTTCATCTTCAATCTATACCTTTATTTTATACACTTTTTATACAACCTCTCCTAAGCCAACTTTCACTAGTTTATCAATGCTTGGCATTTCATAATGACAGGATAGTATTTTAGAACAAAAATGACCTCCATCCTCAAACTAGTTAAGAGTTAGGTGGGGTAGTTCACTAGAATATGTATGATAATGTTAGAGGACGTGTCGGCAAGAACTTCGTAAAATAATTATATGGTAACCGATATTTTAACAACTTCGCCAACAGCGACAACAACAACTACTCAACTATTTATTGATAATAATCTAGCAGATGATGCTCGTGATACTATTAATAATTTTTCTATCGAAAAACTTTCTACAGATAATAAGATAATTGCTGGTGCAGCAGTCGTAGCAACATTTTTACTTTTATTTACTATCGGAACTTTGATTTATTATTGTTTAAGAAGCCGAGCTCGCCGAATAGCATTGCGAAGAGGAGAAATATTAGAAATAAGTAATCCAATATCTCCTATTTCGCCGGGCATGAGAAGGAGAAAATAAAGTTTAACTAATTGGATAACAATTCCGCACTCATAGCCAGTCAGAATTAGTATCCTCAAACCAAAAAACTACTAAATAATCTTTATCTTTATAAGAAGTTTTTTCCAAAACATAAATGTCGCGGTTATTAATTCTTTGCTTGGGTTTCATTCGCTTTCTTCCGTTTAATTTTTCTTTTAAAATATCCAAGATTAATTCCTTAGTAATTATTTCCCGACCTTTCTTTTTTCAAGGATGGTCAGTGATGGTTATTTTAGCGATTAGTCTTTTTTTGAAAGTAAAAGGGAATAAGCAGGAGTAAGTTCATTGTTTCTCTTGGTGAACTTCACTAAATTTTTCTTTAATTAATTTAAACCACTCAGACATGCGAAAGACCTTTTTTTTGCTCGACAATGACTTTTATTTCGGCGGGAGAGAATAATTTACTAATAGAATTTATTAAGTTGTCAAAATCAACTTTGTCAATGCGACAAAAAAGAATGTCTTTGGTTTTAGATAAAGTTAAATTAATCATCTTGGCTATTTCTTTATCAGTTAGGTTATTATCCTCCTGATAACCCAATATTTTCTCGCAAAGTTCATATTTAACTAATTGAGAAGGAGTTGGGTTTTCCGGTAAGTCTCAAAAACCCTGACCGATATTTTTTGGGTCTTCGGCTTCTTGGAGGGCTTTTTCAAATTCTTTATCTCTTGGCATAATAAGTAATTTTAGACTTACTGAGACACTAAGGTTTATTTTTTCTTACTAATTTCTTTTTTCAAATCAGGACTAAACTTACACTTAGGAACTCGCTTAGCGGGAACAGTCATCTTTTTCTTCTCTTGTAAGTTCATGGCTATTCTTGGTTTAGTAATAGCAGTTTTCAAAGTAAAATAACCTTGTAAGCGGACTTCTTCTTTGTTAATTAAGGCTTTTTTGGTTTCGGATAATAATTCTTCAATTACTGCTTCTATTTCTATTTTAGTGAGATTAATTTTCTTTTTTGATAAACTATTAGATATTCGGTCAGTTAGTTGTTTTTTGCCAGCGATGATTGATTTTGCTTTTTTTATTACCATATAATTATTTTAGGTTTGAAATTTTCCTAAAAAGAAAAAAAATTATAATTTGCCTTGTTTTTTATTAGTTTGATTAGTTTTGAGATAGTATTGAAAAGTTTTAATTGCTTTCATTAGTGTAAAGTATTAATTTTAATTTTTAGGAGGGATTTCTATTTGGGCTTGGTGTTCTTCTTCGGTTATTGTTTCCACAGTAGTATTATAACTAATATTAGCATCAGCACCAATAGTATTACCAATTAGAGCATGACCTTGGTTGACATTAATATCACCAGTAGTGATGTAGTTATTTACTACTTGACTAGGGTTAACTTCAAGTAATTTGATATCTCTTTTCATTT